CTCTCTCTCTCTCTCTCTCTCTCTCTCTCTCTCGCTCTCTCTCTCTCTCTCTCTCTCTCTCTCTCTCTCTCTCTCTCTCTCTCTCTCTCTCTTCATTTAACTCATGATTCTTGTCTTTCAACCCACCATTGTCCATATACCATAGCCAAGCTTTCACTTCTACTTCTTCATTTTTAAAATTTGTTTTTTTTACCTCTAATGATATATAGTTTACCTACTTAATTAACCATGAGGGAATACTAAAATGTTACTAATTAAATTAAATTATTTAATTTCATTTCTTATGAGTATCATTTTTACCCTTAATTTTTTTGTTTTTAAAAATACCGGTTTAAATTTGGTATGCATTTTTTTTAAAGAAAAGTTATTAATATTATTATTTCATTAATGTGATTATTTTCAAAATATGACTGTTAGAATAATACAAAAAGTCTTAATTAGTATATTTTGACACTTGTAAACACAAAAAGTATATTTTGGCGTTACCATTTAGAAAAGTTTTTTTCCTATATATAATACTAAACACTAGACTTTTTTTTCAAAAAGATATTTTTTAATTAATTAAAATTTATAAAAAGGGAAATATATAAAATTGCAGTCAAAACAGTTAAACTTAGTTGAACATGTGTCTTCCAGTTACGAGGTGTTTTTAACTCAATTACTAACAGTTTTGACTCTCTCTTTTTTTTTCCTATAATTAGTGAAAAACTATTAATATTGAAATATAGCTGTTTCAAAAAAGTAACTTTAAAATATATTTTTTAAATGTAATATAAATCCAAATTACATAAATAAATTAAGGTCTTACTCGTACACGTGCTCTCAAATGTATGGTACATATTATGATTATGTTTTGACCAAAAGCCAATTTATTTTTCTTAATAATAAAAAAGGTTAATTACAGCTCATATTTTAATTAATACAATAAAATGATTTTCTTACTGCTGTTACATTTGTACAAGAATATGTAATAGTAGTATTTTTTTCTAAATTTGGTTTCAAAGTTATTTACTTATGATTGCCACTTGTCAGCAATGTGGTTTTGGATTTGTTGGGTCTACTCCTAGTCTCCTACGCTCCGTGTTGCAAAACGTGAAACGGGCACACGCGCGCTCCTTACTTCAACCGTGTGAATCGTGTAATTCACGCTCCACTTGTGCGCGTAGCGTTCTAACTGAATCAGCTTTACAACTTAGCTTCTTTGTTGGTTATTGTCTAAATATAAGCATTGTGACAGTTTGTCTTAAAATCATTAACTTTTATTTAATTAATTAGTAGAGATTTAAGAAATCAATAAATGTATTATTAGCTCCTCATTTTTTGTCGAGTGACCGTTTTGTCTAGAAACCATTAATTAATCCAATTATGTGAATCACTCGGAGGTAGAAGCTTATTGAGTAATGAGTTTAATAATGTCGAAATTCAACTACATAATTTATGCATATGAAATAAAATTAAAATGCATATAGTATCTATAATAGATTATCCTCCATTTCATTGCAAACTATATCATAATGTTTTTCTTTTTCTAACTCGAGTTTAAAATAAGTAATCTATAAACTTAAGAAACAGCATCATAGTTCACAGATCATGGAATTGGCAAAACCAGATTGCTCCAAGGTTAAGTTAGATTCATACTCCAATGCCTTCGCCTGGAATTGCTTGCTTGTATTTAGTCTAAAAACCATCAATTAGTCCACTTTAATCAGTTGGAAGTAGAAGTTTATTGGGTAATGAGTTTCATAATGTCGAACTCAACTATTATGCACATCATCATCACATGTTATAACATTAAAAAGTCTATAATATCCATAATATATGAATTTCTCATTCATTGCAAATCAAATATCATAATGTGTGTTTTTTCTTTAACTCGCTGACAAGATAACTAATCTGATAAACATTAAGAAACAGCATAATAGAAAGTTTTATAGAAATGATTTTTCATTCCCATGTAGCAGAGATCATGGAATTGGCAACACCAGACTGCTCCAAGGTTAAGTTAGATTCATACTCCAATGTCTTTGATTCACCTGGAATCGCTTGTGTTAGCTTCAGTGGCTTCTTCCTATCTGATTCCTCAAGCTGAGAATAGCAGAAAGACCAGAGAAGCTACAATAGAGACAGCAATTAGATCAGAAAACCTCAGACAAAAATACTGAGCAAGAATCAATGTTGTTTCTTAGGACCTGAATCGTGTCTGTTTTGAGGAAATTCCTTTGAAGTCTTTGTCCGTTGGGTAAACGGATCCCAACTCTGCATTGTACGCTGCGATCACCTCCCTTTGGTTCTTCCGGAAGTGGTGGGAATGTTGGCAGTACCGCAGATGTAACTGCTTCAACCGCTACTTCATCAGGCGTTATTGTCGATTGATCATCTGAAGAGTCTTTCATGTTGTTATCTTCCAAGGAAGCAGCTAAAGCTCGTTGCAGTTCTTCTTCTTCTTCATCTTTTGCAACATCATCTAAAGGAATATAAGCCAAGGTCAATCATTTTTTCCCAACAGACTAGACACTGAAGTTGCAGAAATTTTTTGAGACTAACCTTTGGGTTTGGAATGAGGAGTCAATGAGAAGCTGCCTCTTGGTCGCTTCTTTGAAAGAGAAACAAAGTGTTCACGAGGACCACCATCCATGAACGGCACTAAATCCTCTAGCAAATTCTCTGGTTCGACCATTCCACTCCACATTCTCATCCTTTGACCAGTGGTTGGATCAATTACAAGCACCACAGGAATAGATTCGAGCTTATAGTATGTACAAACCTTCCTTCCTTCTGTGGTATCATCATAGACCTAGACCAGAAAAGGAGGGATTTTAACCAATTCTGTAAAGAGAATTTCGGAAAGCAAGCAGAAGGTTAAGGGGTAAGTTTTATATTAAACCTGCCAGAAGATGAAGTTGGCTTTGATAGTCTGAGAAACAGCATCATTCGCCCAAGTATCTCGATTAAGCTATGAGAAAGAAACACAATTAGTTAGGATGTGAGCGGGTGTAAAATACAGTTTAACTATCGGAGCTGAAACAAAAAACCAAACGGAAGAGAAGATAAACCAATCCAGTTCTATTATTCAAACAGGCCAAAACCAAAACAAACGAGAAGGAAAGCCCACTTTTTCTTAAAAAATCTTTCACAATGAAGATATATTCTCTAAGAAATCAAATCTCAATTGAAATGAAAACAAACAAATATGAAAATGAAAAGAAAAAAATCTAAACTAAACCCTAACCAAAAACAGATTGGACACCCCTATATGTGCGTGCTATCGTCAAAAATTTAGTCGAGAAATAAATCCAGAAAAAGGAAATATCAGAGAGTATACCATGTGTGAGCTGAATTCCGTGGTAGATTGAAGGTTGACGAGAAGCCATTTATCCTGAGAAGATGAAGTAGCTTTTGCCTGAACAAAAAACCATAGAGAGAGGCTTAGAATAAGAAAGCAGAAAAGCAATTAGCCAAACAAGTAACCGAGTCAAAAACCTGTTCAAAAGAGCCATGGAACATCAGATGAAAAGGAGGACGGTACAACGATGCCAAGCTGTCCCGAGGAGCAGATGATGACTCTGATGCAGAGGCTGAGGCTGACGCTGAGGCAGAGGAAGCACCTTCATCTGGTTCCCAAATTCCCGGGCTTTTTGGCTCTTCACTGAAGTTCCGGAAAGCAATCAAAGAAGTTGGTTCAGGCTGAGAGTTTCCCCCCCTCATAGCCCTAATCACAAATGCAAGTAAATTATGAGAACTACATTCATCATGTACTGCTAGAAAAGTGTATCATCAGCATTAAAAAAATAAACCAATATCGACATAGAATGGGTATATGATTAAACATGTCCGAGATGCTGATTTCAATGGGATTATGAAAGATGAAAACAACAATTTTAGAGGAACGTGATTATACTTCTAACAGTGGTACATAGTTTGTGTACTTGTTAATAGCTTCCCTGGGACGTACAACTTTACATGCATTTTTTCCTTGTCTATTGAATTGGTTGAGGCAAGGCAAGGAACTGAACCAACATGACGTTGACAGCCTGACACATAGTCAACTAGAGCAACCTTAACTACATGATCATACAAAGCGCCTTGAGAACAAAAGACTAAACACTATGCTTCAGCTGGCTGCCAAAAACAGAAGTTTGGAGTGATCTAACTGCAGAAGCAATTGTAATGTGCTCCCCAACAGTTGAGATTCCAACAGAGCCAGAACCTGACTTTTGCTAACAACTTAGTAGAGCCAACTGGATATTCAACCAGGTCTGATATGAGTTAACAGCATCAATTAATCCTAAATGAGAATCCTAACTAGTGCTAACTGGAACAATAGTAAATCCAAAAACTGCACTTGGAAGAAGAACAGTAGAGAAATCAACCAACCCCTGCGAATCAAGAAACTAAAGAGGGTAACTCCAAAATTTCAAGTAACCTACATCATTGGTTGTTACTACATCCACTAAATCTTCAACATACAATCTGCTGTCCGGAGACGCAGCTCCGAGGATAAATCTTCAACCTAGAAACAATATCCTGATTTAAGAAAAAACAAAGAAGCAAGCGAAAAAGAGACTAACCCATAATACACTGCGTCACCATAAAGAGTCTCCCTCACAACAGGCAAAGGAGCACGGACTTCATCTACATCGCTCTGAACTATCCCTTGATTTCCTGTGTCTGTACCCGCCCTATAAAATATAACAGCAAACCATCAGGTCGAACAAACCAAAAATGGATAATACTTACAGTGAAGAAATTATAACATTAATCATTTATCATACCCCCAAGATTGTGTAGCCATGTGATCATTGGATTCTGGCTGAGTGTGTGTACCAGACGGAAGCATACCACCTTCATTTCCAATGTAAAAAAGCTGAATAGCTTCGTCAAGCTTCCAGCTTGTTGCCTGTTGATAAATGAGTTACTTACAAATCATATGAATTAAAAAATGATCACACACAAAGAATATAAAAAAACGCCAAGCTAATCTCATCACAATGCAGATCGTAACACCATAGGAACCAACCACAAAGATCTCGTCTATTCTCAATCCAGATCAACCGATAGTTACCAAAAAAAAAGCTCACTGCATCTAATTACAATCTAGTCAAGAGTGCTCATCAAATTTTGCCATAAGCTGAAAAAAATGAGAGACCTAATCTAGGGTTTCAACTCGACATCCCAGAGGTTCCTAAGCTGAAATAACTCCGAAGCAAACACTTACGACCCAAAAGAGCAGTGAATCAGAAGAAAACCAATCAAGGTTAAGCTCACTCACACTGATCCATCAGTTTGACCAAAGGCACCCTCCGAGAAGAAACAAATCTACCAGTTTCGAGCACAAACCTGTAAGAACTGCCGAGCAGTTTCAGCGGTCTGTCCGACAGCGATTTCAAGGAAGGAAGAGACTAATCTCTGCTGGTCACCGGAAGACACCATTCCTTCCATTGCTAAGACCACAAACCCTCAAAAAAACCTCTAATTTCTGAGAGAAAAATAAAACAACAATTACAATAATGATCTGGCAATGAAAAGAAAAAAGGGAAAAAAAGCCCAGAAATTATAATAGAAACGAATCAGACTTGCCCAGAAGATGAGGATTAAATTAAGAACTGAAGAGCCGAATCCTGCGAGAGGAGAAGAAGAAGGGAACTGCAGACAAATAAAACTCTTTTTTTGATGATCTTACTGCCAAAAATACACATCTCTTGAGCTCGGGTTCACCGGATCAAAAAGACTATTATACCCCGAATAGACTACTATATAACCTCAAGTCGTGTCGAGTGATTCGTGCTAGGAAGTGGGGTTGTTTATGACATTTTCAAAAACACATACGCATGTTAAAATTGGTCGGTCCATCATTGAACTCATTTTTAAGATATTGCCCCATTATTAATTATTATTAATCATACTATCATTTAAGTTGTTTTAGACTTAAACACATCACATTTTTCAAACTTTTGCTGTACAACAGTTACGTAAATATTATTTTTGTTTTGGGTTAGATCACAATTAATTTAACTTTTTGATTAATTTATCAAAGAATATCATCACTATCAAGGATTTTTATGGGCAAATTTGCCTCAGGAAGTTACAAATATTGAAGTGAAATCTGTCTAACAAATTATCAGTACTTCTGTCTTCTGTGTCTCTATTTTCAGAGAGTGACCCTCATGCTGGTTTTGATCTTTCTCGCGGTGGAATCCGCAACCATGACTTCATTGACTCATAGACCGTGAATCCAATCGCAACCGATGGAACAATCTGGCAAACAAAGACAATCGATGAGTCATAATTTTGGAAGAGGAACAAAAAGTGGAATCCAGACTATGATCTTGGATCCACTGTGTTTTTCAATCTGTTTTACCTTAATGTAGTTGATGCTTAAACCAGCAAACAACTGTCTCCAACCCTGAGTTCTAACTATTGTGCTAAGCCCGTCAAATGTGTTCTTGTAACGCTTGTTGTTGCCTTCACTCGTTATAGGCTGCAGATTCTCTACCTGTTGTCACACAAAAACACCAGATAAGTTATGAATTCTGAAATGTTGCAATGCTCGAATCTTGTTTGTGGTTTGTTTGTTTTTACCTGCATTTGTCTCCTAACAACATCCAATGGGTAAGTGATGGTCTGGCCAAATAAACCAGCTAAAGCTCCACAAGGTAGATGCATTCTAACAGAGTTTTGATGCTCTTCCGGAACATGTCTTTTCAACTCCTCATATATGTAGAACTTAAGGCCCGCGTAAGGAAGGATACCAATCAGTGTTGGCCCTGCAAAACACACAAGAAAGTGCCAACCTTTGTTAATCATCTTCAAATCCAAATTAGGAAAAGTTCACACACAAAATGGGGTCGAAGAGTCAGTTTGTTACTAAACTAAACTACCCAAGATTAAACTAGATTTCTTTATAGTTGAAACGACTTCCTCTACCAATTTAATATACACTTTAATCATTAATGCAAGCAAATTTTATGAGCTTTACCTATGCCTCGATATAGCCCACGTGGTCCCCCTTCTTTATAAGCCATTGCAAGCACCTCTTTTATGCCTGAATATGTAGGTTGACGGTAAAATCCATTTGCACCGCCTTGGAGACTCTGTCTTGTGTCAGACACCTAAAATGGAATAACAACGGCATAAGAGAAGAAACAAAAAGACATCCTTCATGTTCTGTAAGGAAACAGCAAAAGCAGGGTATTCGAAATCACAAACCTGGTAAGCTAGCTTAGTGCGAGCTAAATCAAGAGGATATGTGCACAAAACTGCTGTTCCGCCTGCAGCTGAACCAGCCACAAGATCAACAATTGGACCAGAACCTAAAGGAAGATTGTTTCCCAAAATCCAGTCACGATAAACTTCATACGTCATGTAATGAAGGGCAGCATAAGGAATAATTCGAATAACACTTGCCCCGTTTCCTCTGGAAGAATTATGCACATCAAAAGAATTTAGAAAAGTGATTGGGATAAGCTACAAAATAAGAGTCACACTACTAGGTACTTACTTATAAAATCCAAGAGGACCGTCAAATTGTAACACCTTCTTTAGCGACTGGGACACACCAAGAGTCTTAAAATCATTTGTTCTAGTCTAGTGTTGAAAGCACAAGTACACAATCAGTAGATGGTAAAAAAGAAAAAACAGTACTGAAGCTCAATGAACAGCAAAGCAAATATCTTCGAATTTGATCAAACCAGTAAAACAGATATAATCAGAGCCATTGAAAAATAATATGATGGGAGAATCACCTGCAATAGAATTTTGATCCTTTCCAAAGGTGCAACGGCAGTCTTAGCAATAGCCCCAGCAGCTCCTCCAGCGATAAGGGTCTTTGCAAGCACAGGCAATGTATCCACAAGGCTCATCACATCAGCCGAGAGTGTGGAGCCTTGTGAAGAACCCATCTCACTTCAACTAAGTCAAATTCGGAACGTTCTCTCCTCTAATCTGAAAAAACGCCTTATCCCATCTAAATCTAGGGTTTACGGCGGCGGCAGATCTCTTACCGAAACTTAAACTCGAGAAACAGAGAAATCCCAGAAAAGAGCACGAATAGCTTAAAAGCAGATTCTCCTCCTCTCTTACAGCAATATTCATTAACAGCCTCAATGAAACACTCTTAGATGATCCAACCCCACCTGAAGATCAATTCATTTTCCCACAGCTCAATCGCAACCAAAAATAAAAATCTAGTCTTTAATCTAACAGATCCAGATACTATTCCACAGCAGAACGAACCCACGAACAAACTCGATCGATTGAGCAAACGAACAAATACCCTTTTCAGACTGATCAAAATCGAACAACTCTTCAGATCCAAACGAACCAATCAATGGGACAAAATTCGTCGAGGAGAGACAAATGAAACCCTACCGCTAATTCACGAACGGGAACCAAATGTTTTTGGGAGAGATATGTATATATATACGAAGAAGTTACCGGAGAAAATTCAGGATATATATGGGGCTGATGTATAGCGAGTAGTGGCTCGCCGTAAAAATCTGAGAGAAGAATTAAGGAAGACGAAAGTTTTCGATTCAAACTTCGGTCTTTTGCTCTGTTTAGCTTACTCTCATTGGTCGCGCATTTTCACAGGCTCGAAGAAACAGAGTGATACCTTTTTAAGTTTATATCACATGTGACATGTTGCACCCAATTTATGGTGGAGCCGCGTATTCATTGGTCACATTTAACCAAATAGTATCGAATATTTTTAATCATCAAAAGAAATAACTATAAACTCTGACATTATTATTCAGTTTCTTAAAATGAAAAAAATCAATACACAAATTGGTGGCAGAAATTACAAACAATTACAACAAAGAATCAACAAATAAATTTAACAAGCAATAAAATGCATGATTGTTGTTAATTAACGAAGCTGCATATCCTTCTGATTTCTCCGGTAGAGCCAGTAAGAGGTTCAATATCACCCATCTTGATCATGGCTGTGGCAAAATCTGCCGCGAATTTCAATCGGTTTCTGCTATATTCCGACACAATGCCGTCGGTTGATGCACCGGATCCGAACAAAACTTGATCGGTTACTAAAAGTCCTTTCTTTTGCATTAAGTTCTTGTAGTAATTGTTGTCGAAAGAATTAGGCGTAACAAGATCCAAGGCTGCAAGATTGCCATCACTTCCCACTGTTGGGCATCCGCGTTTGCGCGTCCTGGCAAATCCTGCGTCGATGTCGCTCGAGTTTTCGTAAAGCCTGTCCCGGAACAAGAAGCATTGAGATTGCCCTATGGTGTGAGCTCCTGAATAGCATACACAAATATATAAATATCACTTCGAATTATGCATGGTATACTGTAACAAGAGCCAATGTAATTACCATAATAGCATAGCAAATCACAAATTAAAAAAAAATATCAACATTTATTAATGGAAATTTTTTTTCAATGGTATAGAAATATAATCTTGCACGAACCTGAGAGAGCCACAAGGTCTCTTGTGTTAAGGCCTTTCTTGCTGAAGAGACCAGAGAGTTGGTCAAGGCTATCTTTAAAGCCAGGAAGTTCACCACTATTGGCCAGGGCCTTGAACGCGTCTGTTGAATCCCTCCTTCCGAGTCTCACCGTCCATCTCGGGCCTCCCACCTAAATATTGTAGTTGGACAATTATTATATATATATATATATATATATATGGTTTATTATTAAAATGATGTTTGGTACATATTATACATAAATATATAATTAATCAGTAACATACATATTCGGAAGCGTCTCTTGCCGCAACCGCTAAGATGTCAGCGCAAGAAACAATGCCGGGACAAACTTTCTCGACTTCGGATTTGGCTTTGTCTATGACTTCAAAACCTCTTACGGATTTGAAGTTTGGCAATGCATCTCGCTCGCTTTCTATCGTTGATGTCCCCTCGAGCAATATCGACGCGTCGCAACCCTAAACATACACAACAGTATTATATATGAATGTGTTTCCAAAAATGTGAAACTACGTACTGAACTAGTATTTGGAAGAATGAAAACTTACATGAACAAAACAGTCGTGGAAATGCATGCGGATAAGAGACGCGGCCATTCGTCGCTCACGAGCTATGGCGGTTCTAATGGAGGATCGAATCTTGGTGAGAGCATTCGGACAAGATTGATCGTAGAATGTTGGAGAAAGTTGTGCTTGACAGATCGAGAACGAGAGGATGATGCTCACCGTCATCAACGTAAACATTAGTGAAAATCTCTTCATATTGGAATATCCCCAGATGTAGTTAACAATCCTAATATTTTCTTGTTGGTGAATTTGTTGATCAAGAATGGTATTTGATTGAGCTTGATGTTGAATGTTACAAACCCTAAAGGGGAGTATATATACGTGCATATGGGAATTTTCACGCGGTGTCGCATTTTTTTTTAAAGGCTGTGTCACTGTTCAAAGTTGGAGACTGTGTGATATTAGAGAAAATATTTATAATAAATAAAGATTGTTGGGGATCTGACTTTGTATTTTGGTCAAATTGTTAACTTAGAAAAGAACATAACTAAAGGATTGGGAAGACAAAACAAGAACATCATTAGTAAGCGCTTAATTTTAGTTTCTATTTCTTATAATCATATATAGGTTGGAATACGGATCTGAAGACTATACCAAAAAATTATTTGTGCGATTAGTATGAAAGGAACAATTGACGACAACCAGAAAAGAAAAAGTCAAAATTAAATGTCAAACACGTACAATATATACATAAAGCTCGGAAGTTTTGATTAAAAGATACTAAATTTAATTTAATTTCCTATCCAAATCAACAAGGCACCAAATTAGTTTCAAAACCGATGAATGATCCGTTTGCAACACCTTCTGTATTTGGTTCATGGCCAAATGTTTTCTATCGATTTGGTTTTTGTTAGGAAATAAAAATGGAATTAAGCTACGTATACATACCTTGTGAAAAAGAGTGGTTAGATTAATCAGCCGACTTTTGCCCCCCAAAAAAGATTAATCAGTTGACTTGCAATGTCACTACGTACATATTGTAAAAGAGAACCATATTTATGATATTATCCTCAAATTTTATATATTAATTACTAGGTTAGTTTTTTTTATCATGATAAAAGTTGTCATAAGAATTTGTATGCCTTCGCTAAAAGAAACCAAAAAAAAAAAAGAAGAAGAAGAATTTGTATGCATCGCTATCGACGTTCATTACCATATACGTACGTAGTCGTGTTTCACCGTTTTCGTAGTAAAATATTAAAGGTTTGATTGTTACATGCAGACATAAGTTTAGTTGTAATTATGATTCCCAGAAATTAAAGAAACACCACAACTTCCTTTTGTTTTCTTAGATGATTATTATTACATGGTGACTCATCTCTACTCCACGTCCGAAATCTATGAATATCAGAAAATGTGGAACGTATATCAAAACAAAGGTACAATGTCAGAATGAACAACCGAGGATAGCTGTCTATGCATCAGCTTCAGCACCACGCCACCACAAATCTAGATGCCTGTAAACGTATATATTGTGATTTAATATGGATGATGAGCATGTGTGTTTCGTACGTTTCTCTTTTGATGGAAATTAAAGGTCAATTCAACTATGTTCGACTGTTACTAGACGAGTGCATGGATCCAAACTGTTTTACATGATCCAATCACATCAAAGCTGTACTCAATTATAATTCAAACCAAATGACGTATATGTATATATTTATTTTTTTATTACAAGTCAATTTTAAATTAAATATCTATTTTTAACCACGGAACATATTGTTTATACAATTTTTTCCAGTGAAGAAAACTCACTACAACGGAGAATACGCACAGAGATAAACAATATCATCAACACTTGAGGCTAATTGGGTTTTTTAGGGTATCTTTTGTTCTACATCGTTCACATCTGAAATTGGGGATTAGAGTTTAACAAATTTTGATCGAAATGAACCAAATTTATCTAAGGTTTCGAAGTAACCCGACGAACAAAGTTACCTAAAGAGGGAAGCAAAGCCGAACAAGTTAAGTATCAGCCTCAGCCCACCCCACTTGTGCATGGTTAGTGGTATGGACAATGCGACATCACATTATCCTTTTAAAAGATTCTTTCACTACTTTTCCAAAAAGTCAAAAGTCAATGTTCAAAATTTCGTGTAACCATACGGTTTCTTCTAATTTTTAAGTTATATTTGTATGGTCAACGTAGGCTAGCTTTCCATAAATCCAGTGTTAAGTAATGCAAGAGTGGAAAAGGGATGGTGAAAATCAAATACTCCCGATAACACTCTTTTGTTGAAAACAACGTATATCTCAAGAAAAGTAAATAATTGTTGAAATATAATATTTAGATCATTTTTTTTTGTCAACAATATTTAATTCGTTATCATAATAAAATTTATTACATTTTAACAAAAAGAATAATTATATATTTTCAGATTGTTAAATGCAATAATGAGAATGTAAATATATAATCGTCTTTTTTAACAATTCACCCTTAAAGAGTTATGAGAAATCTCATTGTATACATAAATTTTAGGATGTTCTGTACTGATACAAGCCTTGAAGGAGAAAAGGCAACTTAGGAAATGGTCGTCATGGTTTTAACGCGCTCCCGCAGAAAAAAGTGACCGATTTGATTGTTTCGTTCCTATATATAACACTCGTTTCATCTCATTTCTCAAAGTCACACCAAATCATCTTCAACTCTCCGATCACTTCTCAATTAGCTCTTATTACATCGTTTGTTTTACTACTTAAATCACAAAAAAAGATTAGAGTCTCTTGTTGTTACAACAAATGACGATCTTCAAGATTCTTGTATTGTTATTGAGTTTGTCTTGTTTCTCTCAAGCACAGCTTTCTCCTACTTTCTACGACCAAACTTGTCCAAACGCTCTCTCAACCATCAGATCATCAATCCGATCCGCAATCAGCCGTGAGCGTAGAATGGCTGCTTCTCTTATCCGTCTTCATTTCCACGACTGCTTCGTCAATGTATGTAATTGTCATTTGATCCAACATGTACATACATGTGTTTCATGGACCGCTCTAAAATTTATGTTTATTTCTTGAAACTTTTTCGTAGGGTTGTGATGCATCGATCATGCTCGTGGCAACTCCTAACATGGAGAGTGAGAGAGATTCACTAGCAAATTTTCAATCGGCAAGGGGGTTTGAAGTTATCGATCAAGCCAAATCCACTGTGGAGAGTATATGTCCCGGCGTTGTTTCTTGCGCTGATATTATTGCCGTTGCCGCGAGAGACGCTTCTGAATACGTTAGTCTATATCATCTTTATAATACACATATCTTCAAATATATTATCATATCTTAAACTACTATTTTTACATATTTCCTAGAAATATAGCATTTTTCGTATTACAGTACGTATAACAAACGATCATAGTTCTAATTAATACTTAAATATTTAAATTTTGGTATCATCAATAGGTCGGAGGTCCAAGATATGCGGTGAAGGTTGGTAGGAGAGATTCCACCGCCGCGTTTAGAGCTATTGCAGACAGTGGCGATCTCCCCAGCTTCAGCGCAAGCCTCGACACACTCTCTGAACTCTTTCTTCGAAAAGGACTCAACACTAGAGACCTCGTCGCTCTCTCAGGTTATTCACCCTAGAAATCACACTTTAATCTCTAATTTTCTTAGCGTTTAAGAAATTTCTTGTGACACAAGTAAACCCTATCTACAGGAGCTCACACCTTGGGGCAAGCTCAATGCTTCACGTTCAGGGATAGGCTTTACGACAACTCGAGTGACATCGACGCAGGATTCTCCAGCACACGTAAGCGTCGTTGTCCGGTCAACGGTGGAGATACGACTGGAGCACCTCTAGATCAAGTGACACCAAACTCGTTCGACAATAACTATTACAGAAACTTGATGCAGAAGAAAGGTCTTTTGGCGAGCGATCAAGTTTTGTTCGGAACCGGAGCTTCAACAGACAGTATTGTGACGGAGTACAGCAGAAACCCATCTAGGTTCGCGTCTGATTTTGCAGCTGCAATGATCAAAATGGGAGATATTCAGACACTCACTGGTTCAGATGGACAAATCCGAAGGATCTGCTCTGCTGTTAATTAAAAGAGTTATTATAATATAGTCTTCTCTCCGAGAAAGTCTCAAGAGTATTAAAAATCCAAATTGTTACATGTTTACATGTATATCATCCATTTGATTCATTATTGTTGTAATTGTGCGTACGTAACTAATTTCCTGCAATAATTCGTTTGTTATTTGAATATATATTGGAATTAATAATTTGGCATTAACTTTGACTTTTATTATGTTACACATTAAAACTGAATATAATAAACCTTTTAAACTAATGGTTAACGTCATTAGTCACAATCTCTAAAAAGTGCATTTAAATCCAAACTAGCATTTAACTAATCGACGTATGCATTGCATACATACACGTGGAATTATGATAACAACGTCGCGTGTCGGTCACCGCAACTTCTCCCGACGGAGAGAATCACCGGTTATTTCCGGTTACCTCTTATAATTTCTTCCACGTCATTCTTTGTGTTCCCTGTCACAGCCGTTCTCAAAATCTTATTTCGGGTAATACTATAATTACCTTTAAAGTTAAACAAAACAAAAAAAAGTTGGAAAAAGGAAAAATAATAAAACCTAAAACAGAAGAAGAAGGAGAAGGAGAAGGAGAAGGAGGAGGAGAGAGGAGAAGTGATTCGATCGATCAAAGGAGCTAAATCTGTAAGGAATCTGAATATTGTGTGTTTTTAAATTCCGGAGATGAGAAGCGGCGGTTTGGAAATGATGTTATCTTCGTCGGGGATTTTGTCTTCGTCTTCTTCTTCCTCGGCGGCAGCAATCTTAGCGCTTAATTTGAAGGAGGCTACGAATTGGTGGTCGGATGTGAACGAATCTCCGATGTGGCAGGATCGTATCTTCCATATTCTCGCTTTTCTATATGGGATTGTTTCCGTCATTGCTGTGGTACTTGTCCTTCTGCTTTCAAATGTTTGGTTGATTTGAGTTTGGAATTGGGAAATGGGTTATTCTGAAATCGAAAGATTGGGAATTCGAAGATATTGAAATGAGGAGATAGATGCTGGGTTTTTTTTTTTTTTTTTTCGGTACTCTTATTGCTTTGTAAAAGGTATTGTAGGGAGTTCAGATTGTGGCCGGAGAAAAAACATAAATTGATTAAAGTTTTCATTTTGTAGATTCAATTGGTAAGAATACAATTGAGGGTTCCAGACTATGGCTGGACGACACAGAAGGTCTTTCATTTTCTCAACTTCCTGGTGAATGGAGGTTGGTTTTGTTGCACAGCCTGATTTTGTTGTCGTCTGTTTAGTTTTTAGTTTTTGTCTTTGTATCTTTTGTTGATTGCTTTCTCTTTTTCCTTGTAGTTCGAGCCCTAGTTTTTCTCTTCAGGCGAGATGCACAGAATATGCAGCCAGAGGTTTGGTGTCTTCATTGATATTGTGATTTTAACCTCATTGATGGTCTATGTGGATTTTCTGAATTTGCAAGGCTCGCTTGGTTTTACTTGTAGATTCTGCAACATATCTTGCTTGACATCCCAAGTCTTGCTTTCTTTACCACTTATGCGCTCCTGGTCCTCTTTTGGGCAGAAATTTACTACCAGGTTAAAGTTGATTCTCTGTATATTATTCTGAATTTTATCTCTGATGCGTTGTTGTTGATATATACTCCCATCCTAACAGGCACGTGCTGTATCCACTGATGGACTGAGGCCAAGTTTCTTCACAATTAATGCAGTTGTATACCTAATTCAGGTGAAACTACTTCTGTTTGGTCCTTTCTGCAAAGTTCAGAACTTTAGATCTAACTTTGAACTTAGTGGACCTGAGCTTCTTCTTAAATTTCCTTTTGTATCCATTTGTGTCGGATTGATGTGGCTTCCTTAACTTTATCATTCATGTGAATGTATTAAATTTCAGATTGCTCTTTGGTTGGTATTGTGGTGGAAGCCAGTTCAACTTATGGTAATAGTTTCTAAGATGTTCTTTGCAGGTATAGCTTGAAGCATAATTCAACTTGCATCAACATTGATTATATTCTTTTTATGTATTCTGTCTCTCATCCGTTATGAATGTATATTGCAGGTGTCTCTTTGTTTGCAGCACTTGGATTTTTACTATATGGAGGAAGGTAAGTGTGTTGCCGTTGCATATGCTACACTACGATGGTAGCTTAGTTATATGTTTGTTACCTGCTCCCACAAATGAGTTGTTGATATCATTATGAAAACTGGGATTCCTGCCTTCCTCTGATGGCTGGCGGCTACACTAGATCCTTTTTGTGCCATCAGGCCTTATCTATATATTGCCACTGTTATAAAGGAAATTGCCTTGGTTTATCATCTTTGATGACTATTTTTTTGCAGGCTTTTTCTGATGCTTCAGCGATTTCCAGTAGAATCTAAAGGGCGCCGCAAGAAGCTACAAGAGGTGAACATTGGATAGTAAACCAGAGTTACCTGATCTTCTATTTCCATTCTTGGATCTTTACCCCCTTCATTTGTTATACGAATTGCAGGTTGGTTACGTGACAAGCATATGCTTTACATGTTTCCTCATCAGATGCATCATGGTAAAGATATACTCATCATACTAATTGATATCAATAGTTCAATAGACCTTGTCTTGTTGGTTGGATCCTCTTTGTTTGTCGTCAATCTCCGAAACTAAAGCTAACCAGATCTTTCATTTCATCATCTTTTCATGGTCTAGATGTGCTTTGATGCGTTCGATGAAGCAGCAGATCTTGATGTTTTAGATCACCCAATCCTAAACTTCATATATTATCTGGTAAGCTCTCTCTATTCACCTATTGACCTACCATAGATATGCATATATACACACACAGTATGTGGATCTTAGAATCTAAATGTGAAACTTCTTCTGAAAATCTCTAAACAAAAAGTGTGTTGTGTTTACTTACAGTTGGTGGAGATATTGCCTTCTTCACTGGTCCTCTTTATCCTAAGAAAGCTTCCACCAAAACGGGGTATCACACAGAATCATCAAATCCAATGAACCTGTTCAGAATCGAAGGAAGCACCGAGGTAGCTACAGTGCCTATACTGGGTGGTATAGTAAACAGAGAAAAAAACATAAGAAACAGCTGAGAAAGGGGTCCAAAGGTGATCCTATCTTCTTTTTTTCTTCAGTAAACCGGAAGTTAATATCGTGTAGGTACACCGGTAAACCAGAGGGGTTCTTGTTCCTTGATAGACAAAATGTACATGTAAGGAAGGGGTTGCAGAACAATGAATTGTGCTTTCTATCTTTAACTAATTGAATGTGGATAATTAGTATAATACTATAATCTCTCTTGTTTGAGAATTTCTAATACAAAGTAATATACCTGCGACCGTGTTGCTCTCGGTTTCCAAGTTATGTCCAAGACACCGATGAACAATTGGTATTTTGACAAACATATGGACCTTGGCCAGTCGCGTTCCATTCGAAGTAGTTTTTAAAAAAGAAGACAACTACTCGTTTTTGACTGGTTGGTATACTTCTACCGGTCTTATCTTATCTGCTTTGTTTATTGAAACTTAGGTGAGAATTTCACGAACGAATGGCTTTGTCGCCAATGAGTAACATTGTCTACTACATAAGAGAGTTTAATAACATGTCTATATTAAGATCTGTATGTTAGTAATATGAATAAATAAGAGACAGAGACGTAAATAAGACACCAAATTGTGGGATTGTTGTTCTTGATCACGGACTTCTATCTAAAGATCATCAGTAAAGAAAGCACAAATGTAGAATCATTAGAGTCGTCCAAAGGCACCGTTGGATCAGAGAATTCAAAAGCTACCGATCCAACGGCTCATAACGAGTGTCTCATCGCGATTATCAAGAAACTAAACGGCGAGGATAAGAGAAGGAAGTCAAAATTATTAGTAGACGCCACGTCACGTAAAACCCACTGTCTCTAGGTGACGTGATTCTTCTTCTTCTTCTCTCTGAACATGAAAAGCTTCTTTGTACATGTGTCACAATATATGGTCAATTTACAAGTAAAATAATGTTACAAGCAAAATTAAAATATCTCAAGATATATTCTAAATTAATTTTGGAACTTCAGACCATCATAAACTAGTTTTAATAAAGTTTTATCATTGATTGATAGGGGATTTACTTAAGCAAGGACTTAAAAAAGCTTGACACGTGGTCAAAGATAACGTTTTTTAAAAAAACATAAAATGACGCGCCAAGTCGTCATCTACACTGTAACACCTGTTTCTTTGCGTTTCTGTGTTCCTCTGCATGAAAGAACCGGGTTCTCAGAACCCTAATCCAATTAAAAAGGCTAAACTTTTGAACATTTTGCCATTGAAGGACACTTTTCGTCTGTAAATTAATGGCTAATAAGGACTCACTCTTTCCATTATTCTCACTTCAGGACTCGCTTTTTCACCTCTCTATATATATAAACCAATCATCTTTCTTTCTCCTCCAATTTCAATCAACACCAACAACAAACCCTAAGCTTTTGGTTTCTGGATCTGAAACTCTGATCCATGACGATTATCTTCGATCGCCACTCAGATCAGAACGGTTCGTTATTCCTTTATCTCTTCTGAGTTTATGTTTCGAGTTTTCTAGTTAAGTTGTGTCCATTCATGTTCTGTTTTGAAATGATCTGGTTATTTAGATTTACAGAAGTTTGTATGATCTCCTCGTGAATTTAGAATCAACCTTTTCGATTTTTATTATGTTTGTATGACTGATTGAATATGATGATTGGATATGAGTTACTCGTAGATGGACGAGATGAGACTGTAGAGAAGAACCAGGGGATTGTCAAAGAGGAAGAAACAGAGTTGGTCTTAGATGCAAGTTTTGAGGCTCCTCATACCAACTCCTTTGGTCACACCTTCAGGTAAATATCTTTCGAATCATATTCACACCAAAGACTGCAATATCGAAACTTTATTCATTCGATATTTGCTTCTGTTGTTGTCATAAAAAGGGATTATGACGCTGAGAGTGAGAGGAGAAGAGGTGTGGAGGAATTTTACAGGGTTAATCACATTGGCCAAACCGTTGACTTCGTGAGGAAGAGGAGGGAGGAATACGGGAGGCTAAACCGAACTGAGATGAGCATTTGGGAATGCTGTGAGCTTCTAAATGAGTTCATCGACGAGAGTGATCCGGATATGGACGAACCTCAGATTGAGCATTTGCTCCAGACAGCTGAAGCCATCAGAAAAGATTACCCTGATGAAGACTGGCTCCATCTTACCGGCCTTATCCATGGTAATCTCTATTTGATGATTCGTTTCGATCGCATTCACAGATTGGTTTACCGGTTTTAATGATTCTGTATTGCTGTGTATGTGAATCAAGATCTTGGAAAAGTTCTTCTTCATCCTTCATTTGGTGAGCTACCTCAGTGGGCTGTTGTTGGTGAGTATTGTGTGTTTTGGAGAAGATCGTTTTGTTATTTTCTCGAATGACTTGTCTCTTTTACAGGGGATACATATCCGGTGGGATGTGCGTTTGATGAATCTATTGTTCACCACAAGGTATACAAGATCATTAACCACAACTTGGCAAACTTAGTTTTGAGTTCTAAAAAATCTGAAAATCGATTCCCATCGCGGGTTTCTTGATGTACGTAGTACTTCAAGGAGAATCAAGACTATGACAACCCGAGTTACAACACCAAGTATGGGATATACACCGAAGGCTGTGGGCTTGATAATGTGTTTATGTCTTGGGGACATGATGATTACATGTACCTGGTAAGTTAATGACAATCCCAACATTTTGTTTTCGAATTTGCCAACATGTAAGAATCTCTATTCGACTACAAAACTGAATTTCACAGGTTGCAAAGGAGAATCAAACTACATTACCATCAGCCAGTCTTTTCATCATCAGATACCATTCCTTCTACGGTATTTGAAAGACATCTCTTCCGGTAATATGGATGAGTCAAGATTATAAAAGTCAAGGGTTCGTTTTCTTTTTTTTGTGTTTTTGTTTTGCAGCTCTTCACAAATCAGAAGCATATAAGCATTTGATGAACAAAGAAGACAGAGAGAACATGAAGTGGCTGAAAGTGTTCAACAAGTATGATCTCTATAGCAAAAGCAAAGTTCGAGTAAACGTGGAGGAAGTGAAACCATATTATCTCTCACTTATTAACAAGGTAATGTATATATATTCACATTTGATATGTCAAATTTAGAAGCAAAAATCAACTTTTTATCGTTACCGGCTAAATCTATCGCCTTTTGCTTGTTTGCAGTATTTTCCGGCGAAGTTGAAATGGTGAAACTCAACAAGTAATAAAGTTTTCTAATAAAATCGATGTGATGAATGTGAAAAATAGATTATAGATATGGATATGGCTTGATGAATAAAACAGAGTAGTGTTGTTTTGTTTGTGCTTAGTTTCATCTTAGGAGATGTTCATTCCCATATATAAAGGCACATATAAAGTCAGTGACTAATAGATTATTAGATAGGAAAACGTATTGAGCTAAAACCAGACTCTCAAAAGCAAAATTAAAACTGAAAACACTTAAGCTTCGTTGAGATCTTCCAAAACGCACATAGCGAGTAAAATCATACCCGTAGCAATAAAGTATATGGAGGATATCCCATAGGACCTGCAATATGAATCATCATCAAAAAGTTACTCTTAGAAATTAAAAATATGACTTGTCATTTGCCAAGTAAAAGGGAACATGAGATCGATGTTTCTTACTCTGAGTTTGATTCCATATCACAGATCAATTCCTCGAGTTCTATACGTCCATTGAAGATTTGATGGACACGTTTGATCATGGGAGCCCCATCTTGGTCTCTCCCAGCCTTAGAATATATACACAAAATGTAAAATTTTCACATCCCAAAACTAACTGAAAATCTTGAAGATACAAAAAAAAAAAAACAAGCATTGGTGGGGATTGTTGACTTACAATACCAACAATAGTCAAAGGCGTACCAATCTCAAGAACTTCCTCACAAGTTATGCAACTTTTAGGATCCGTAATCTAAAAGAAAAAACATCATTAATTAGCACACACACAGTAGTTGAATCCAGTGGAAAGAAGAGGAGAAAACAAATGTTACCTTAACATTTTTCTGAGAAAGCAAGCTTTTGAAGTGTTTAGCCACTGGATCAGTAAACTCATACGCTTTTAAAATATAATCAAATCCTCTGGCACGTTTGTAACCCATTACATTAACCTGAGCAGTACCGTCCTCCTAATGTGAAATAATAGAAATTAAATTTATGGCTTTGAAGAGAATAAAACATTTTTTATAAGAGTTATTTGTGTGTGTGTGTGTGTGGATGAGAAAATAAATGACATACCAGATACCAAGGAACCTCCTTACGGTTCAACAAAATAGCCTCATCTTCCAGCATTGGAAGATCTTCAAAAAACCTCTCGTAAACAATTGAGGCCTCAAGGAAAGAAAGAGCAAACATGGTTTGGTTTTGACAAAAATAATCTTGTCTTTGATGTTTTTAACAAAAGGAGGGCACACAAGCTTACCGTTTCCTGGTAGAAAACACCCGAAGTTTTAGAACGATTGGTCTCTATGGGTGAGGTTGATCCAACTGTTCCATATACCACTATTGAGTTCCATGGCTTACTCTCCAGAATATGCTGCTCTGAAAATTTTGTAATATTTTTTTTTTTTTATAATCATCGATCTATCATGGAAATAAACACACACAAGCCAAAAGCCCAAAAAACTTTTAAAATAATCTTACCCAACCCTTCCAGCTTGTCCACCGAGGTAGCTTTATTTAGAAACACAGCGTTCCTGAAGTTGATGAAGAAATCAAAATCAAGATCAAAGTAAGTGTGTGTTTCCAAGCGGAGCAGAGCAGAGATTGATTTATAAGAATGGACTAACGTTTTATTGCTGCGGCTGCTATAGCTGAATGCGAAGCCAATGCCTATGAATATAGCAGCAAGTTCAATCATCTTCTATCTCCTCCACTACGAATTGTTCGAGTTTGAATATAAATGCTATTATAGTATGTTGATCTTTGAATATTAGGGTTTTGTTATAGAAGCCTTGAAGTCATGGGAATCCATTATCCGGTTTTATTCGATCAGAATTGTCCTAGACTTACAATAAATTAAAAATTAATATTACCATATACTAAAAATTAACATAACCACATAATGAACTTTTTACGTCTACATGATGGCTGCGAGATGACCATGCTCTCTTAATTACCCCTGTTTCATGTACATATATTAAAATTTGTTTGCTCTTCTATTCATATGTATAGCATTGTAAAAATTCCATAAACCTAAGCACCATGTTTCATGGGAGGCAAAACGGAGTGACAGATCCAAGTGGTTGGTTAATCAATAGAACCAATTTTGTTGAACAGATAAGTTTCAAAACACACCATAAGACAGAGTTTGAGAAGTCTTTTTGTCTGTCACAACTACTCATTCTACCATTTCTAACTATGGGGGATAAACATCTACTAATATCAGAGACAAACTCAGTGAACTTTTTACTCGTTGATATCTAGCGGCATTTTCATTTCTCACAGAGTAACACACCAATAATTGCTAAGAAAAAGGCGATATGCATACAAGACCTGCAAAATGAAACAAAACCACTTTCTCTAAGAAGAATAAATATGATTTATCACCTCACAAGTAAAGGAAGGAACATCAGATCTTTCTTACCCTGACTGTGATTGCAGGTTGTAAACTTCTTTGTCAACACATATATATCCATCGAAGACCAGAGAGGGTAGTGCTTTGATTGTGGGAGACCCATCTTCGCCTCTGAAAGCCTTTTAGTATAAAGAAGAAAACAATCAGAATGTCTATATTGCACATTCCTAACTTGTCAATGAAAAGTGAATCATGAACAAATTTAGATAAGAACCAAAAAAAGACTTACAACCTTAGCGACAATACTCAAGGGCCTACCGATCTCAAGAACATCCTCGGAGCAAATGTGTGTAACAATCTACAAAAATTAGAAAGAAAGAAGAAAAACACAAGATATAATTGCTTCAACCAGAGGTGTAGTTGTTGTTGGAATAACTAGCGAAAGACGAATTGCATATACCTCAACTTCTTTGCAAAGTTCATTCATAGGTTCAGCAAACACATTTCTTCTAAAAGTACCATAAAACCCAACTACATTAACACGGCCAGTGTGGTCTTCCTGATTAAAATACAAAGAGATAAAGAATCAGGCAGAGTAATATAAGTTTTCCAACAAAAGAACATTAGATCATGAATGAACGTATCTTATTATTACCAGAAACCAAGGGACAGTCACAGTCTTATGGCTTAAAAGAATCTCTTCGTAATCCATATCCAAGAAACCAAGTTCATCCTCTGTAGGAAAAACAAGTTTGGCCTGAGAGAAAACACAAACAACAAAATATGTCCCAAATGATTATATTTCGGTCCAACCAGAGAGATAACACAACAAGAGCCAGAAATTTTCCAAAAAAATTGAAACAAAAAGCCAAATAACCTTTTCAGTGAGAGAGACAGCCAAAAGGCCACTGCGATTACACATGAAAGCTGCATTTGATCCGACTTTTCCGCATACAGCAACAAGGAGACCCGATGTATTGTTGTTACCAATCAAATCCTCTACAAAACTCAATATATAGGTCTTTTGATTGTTGCATTTTGAAAGCTAAAAACCTCAAAATCCTTTTTTTCCCATCTTTCTTTTAAACCCTTAAAACCTTACCCAAATCTTGAAGCTCTTCCACGCGGACAGCACGGTTCAGAATCTGAGCTTGCCTGTGGTTTCATAACAGAGAAGACAAATCTTTTCACTACAATAACTTTTCAAATCTCATTAGGATGAAAACCAAATAAATATATCATAGCAAAGTCGAAACCTTTTACACTTCCAACTCCTCAACAAGTAATATATAGCGGCACCACCAAGACAGCAAGCAACAGCATTAGGCGTTATTTCTTCTTCAAAATCCTTAATGGGAGTCTACGATTCATGAAAATGTCCACAAATTAGTAACATTTTTCTCAAATGTCAGCAAAATCACAGTAACGAGGGTAAGAATCTGAAGGAAAAAAACAACCTTTTTCTCGACACGGAGCAAACTCTTGAAAAATTGAGAACCCATCTTTCGTTTTTTTTTTTTTCACCCAATAACTTTTGGAAAAAGTAGGAACATTTGATGAGTCAAATAAAGGGACTCGTAAAATTTCCAATAAAATATTTAAATTTAAATTTCAAAATGGTTCCTTTTATTTTATTTTGTCTTGTTCGCTTAACTAGTCAAAGAGAAAAAAGGACTTGAGAATAACCAGTCAACTTTGATGTCACTTTCTTCGTTCGCTTCATGTGTCTGTATCTGCTCCTCCTCCTCCGAGTCTGAGTCATTGAAATTCTTACAGTTAAAAGTTGCGATTTTGGAGATTAGATTCACTTTATCTCTTCCTGTTTCGACATGGGTCTTTCCCATCATCGGTGGGTGATGCTGCTCGTTGCTCTCGTCTTAGAGCTATCATGTTTCGTCTACTCATCACGTTCTCCGCAACTCACGTGCCATCCACGTGACATGGAGGCCTTGCGTGACTTCATCAACGAGCTCGAGCCGAAGCCAGATGGTTGGGATTTCAATTCCTCTGCAAACTGCTGTGAATGGGTGGGGATCACTTGTAACTCTTCTTCTTCGCTTGGCTTAAATGACACAGACAAGACTACGAGAATCACCAAGCTGGAGCTTATGAGCAGAAAATTATCAGGTAGATTGTCTGAATCTCTTGGGCTGCTGGATCAGATCAGAGTTCTTAATCTCTCCAATAATTTCATCTTAGGCTCGATCCCTCCCTCTGTTTTCAGTCTGGTAAACCTGGAAACTCTATATTTGAGCTCTAACGGATTGATTGGCCAAATCCCACAGAGCTTAAATCTTCCTTCGCTTACAAGTATCAATCTTTCATCTAACGAGTTGAATGGTTCGCTTCCTGCGCATGTTTGCCACAACTCCACCGAGCTTACGCTTATAAGACTCGATTCCAATGGATTTTCCGGAGATATTCCATCTGGGTTCGAGAAATGCGCTCTGCTCGAACAACTCTTCCTTGGTAGGAACAGTCTAACTGGTAATATACCCGAGGATCTGTTTCGGTTTCAAAGGTTGAATCTTTTGGAGATTCAAGAGAACAGCCTCTTTGGTTCGCTCAGTCCTGCACTTGGTAACCTCTCTAGCCTTGCTCATCTCGATGTCTCTTCGAATAGACTCTCCGGTGAAGTCCCTGATGTGTTCAACAAATTGGTCGAGCTCAGGTACCTCATTGCTCACACTAATAGATTCACAGGAGGAATCCCCAAGTCGTTGGCAAATTCCCAGACTTTGATCTTGCTTGACCTGGGGAACAACTCATTAAGTGGTCCTTTACGTCTGAATTGTTCTGTGATGACTAACTTGACCTCACTTGATCTGGGATCCAATAGATTTAGTGGCTCTTTGCCTGAAAATCTACCGGCTTGCAGAAACCTGAGGAGCATTAATCTTGCCCGGAACCTCTTCTATGGCCAAGTGCCTGAGAGCTTCAAGGATTTTCAAAGCCTTTCTTACCTGTCGCTTTCAAATTGCAGCCTTGTTAACATTTCAGCGACACTTCACGTCCTTCAGCACTGCAAGAACCTGACGACTCTGATTCTCACTTTGAATTTTCATGGAGAGATGCTACCTGATGACCCGAGTCTTCATTTCGGGAAGCTGGTGGTACTTGCTATTCCAAACTGTAGGCTTACCGGTCAAATTCCAAGCTGGTTGAGTAAGAGCACCCATCTAAAGGTGTTGGATCTATCATGGAACCATTTAACTGGAGCTATCCCGAATTGGTTTGATGGTTTGACCGACCTTTTCTACCTGGATTTGTCGAATAACTTGTTCACAAGGAAGATCCCAAAAAGCTTAACCAGACTCCAAAGCCTCGCAATTCGAGATGTCTCATTCGATGACCCATCTCTAGATTTCGCATTATATAAAGAGAATGAGGACACTAGACGACTTCTGCGGTACAAACATGTTTTCATGTTCCCTCCAATGCTTGACCTCAGCCAAAACAATCTTTCTGGACCCATATGGAAGGAGTTTGGAAACTTAAAGAACCTCCATGTATTCAATCTGAATGCCAACACATTATCGGGATCGATCCCTAGCTCGCTTTCGGAAATGACAAGCCTAGTGGTTCTTGTTTTGTCCAATAACCGTATTTCTGGTTCAATCCCAAAATCTCTGGAGAATCTAACATTACTGTCCAAGTTCAGTGTTGCTAATAATAGTCTCTCAGGGAAAATCCCTTCTGGTGGTCAATTTCATACATTTCCTAACTCGAGTTTCGAGGGAAACCATCTCTGTGGTGATTACTTTCTTCAATGTAAAGTGAAACTACCAAGAACCAGCGAGAGTGACAGTGATAGTGACTTTGTCTTAAATTTTTCATATGGAGCAGCTCTTGGTTTCGGTTTATCCTTGGTTGTTGTTTCTTTTCGTTGGAAGCTGTTAAGCTTTTAATTTTCGCGGCATCAAGTTGTTCAGCTTTTACATACCACAACTTCATGAACTCCCATAATACATACCATACCACAGTGACTATTTCTTTGATTATTCATATGGAATGGCTCTTGGGTGGTCTATCATTGGTTATTGTTGCTTTCCCACCTGCTCAGCGTTTCAGCTTCCCATGTAAATGGTATTGTACCATGTTTAAGTACTAATACATTATATGTAGATGGAAATTTATATCTGCAAAATATTCTTCTTTTCATACCAAAAAGTGAATATAAAGTGTGAACAAGATATATATATGACTGATGAAGAGATATTTGCAGGGCTACCAAACTAAAAAGTTTCCTTGTATCTTGCCTCACTGATCACCCCCAAGCATTTCAACTATCTTTGTCTGAGTCTTTAACCAGAAGGAGAGCCAATCCTATGGGCAAACTGCTGGTGTCTGATTCTTTTCGCTGATGGGGTTTTCCACTGTTTGATTTAGGCTTCTTTGATCTGTTACGTAGCTCTTTTTTCTTCCACACGAATGGTAACAGCACCGTTCTTATGTATTCCACACCGTATAGGACGGCTAAAGCCACAGCAATAGTTCCAAAAATCTTGCCTATCAAGATATTAACCCTGCAAAATAACAAAACATTCTTTCAACAAATCTGTATCATCAGCTCCCAAGTAAATTCTATGACAGTAACATGATGAGTGGTTCTTACTCTGACACGGACTTCAGTTCATCAATCATACTGTCAAATGAGCCCTCTCCACTGTAGACCCGAAAAGGTTGTTCCTTGGGACTTTGAATCATGACATTCCCAGCTTTGTCTTTTACAGCCTACGATATAGACATGGACGAAATTAGATGTAACTTAGCTTGCACAGCCCGCAAAAAATCACTATTCTTACAGATTCCACATTTAGAGAATAAAGAAGAAACAAACAAAACATGGGTATCCCTTACCTCGCCAACAAAAGTCAAGAAAGTACCAATATTAAGAGCACGCCCATGGCAATTATGTTTAAGCACCTAAAGAAAACATCACCTTGTTGTTTCAATCCAAACAGAGAAAACAATGAATATACAGAGAAAAAAAAATGAAGATAAGAAGAACCTTTGTGCCTTGGGGTAAAACAACCCCGTTTAAGAGTTCACTTGCAGGCATATCAAGTACATACTCATTTAGAATACCATAAAATCCTTCAGCATCTTGAACTCCCAGTACATTCACCTGACCCGTACTGTCTTCCTAAATGTGAGAGAGTAATAACCAATTAAGGATGCAGGGTTAAGTTTGCGGACAAGAAATAGCAAATGAACGTTTGAATGTATCTTACCAGATACCAAGGAGTCTCCTTTTCACGTAACAGAAACTTAAAAGACGTCTCTATCGAACCACCATTTTCCAACTCGAGCTCACCTTCCAGTTTGGCCTGAATTATACATGTTATGCCACCATCAGAAAATTAATGACTCACGATGCAATAACACCATCACAATAGCAAGCACACATATATGATGCCAACATTACAAAAGCAATCTTACCTTTTCCTTCACAAGAACACCCAAAAGACCATTGCAGTTAAGTGGCGCTGCAGAACCAACTCTTCCAGAGACCACAACAAGGAGATTCGTGGTGTTTTCTGCAAGCAATTCATCTAAAAACAAAACAAGAAACAACTGGATCGTATAATCCAAAACCAATACAGATGAAGCATAACGAGAATTCCAATTATTACTAAAGAGAAACATACCTAAGCATCTTAAGTCGAGCACACGAGTGATACTCCCCAAATAGTTAGCTTTCCTGAGCCACCGCAAAAACACACACATTAGCTGATTTGATAAAATTAAAAGCAAAACATTCAAATCACCACAAAGATTGGGAATGAGGAGGCCTTACCTTTGAAGTTTACGGCCGCGAAGATAAAATGCTGCACCACCGCATGAGAGGTACACAGCCAAATCAAGCAACTAGAAAATTAAACAAGAGTGAGCATCAAAAAGATACAATCGTTCCAATCTAAAATTGGGCATTTAAAAACCACAATCCTTCCACAAGATTGGTATGGGCAAATCACCATAAGAAGAAACACGAAACCCTTTAGACATCCTAATCGGAACTATAAAAACCCCTCAACATGCTTTCGAGAAAATTCCAAGATTGGACTAGTAGAGAAATCCAAGGTTAGGTATATTACGAAGCATAGACTTTCCATCGGGAGGTCGGAGGTGTATCCGCGTGGTCGATTTAGCTCCGCGATAGTAGAAGAACCCGAGAGAAGAAAGAAGAAGGACAGTGAATGTGATGATGAACCCTAGTGTCAGTTTAGGCGCGCAAGAGTTTTATTTTATTTTATTTTAATCATCAAAATTCGTATATTTTATCAATAAAGAATCTACCAATAGCATCATGTTATTGCTGCTGGCTATGTAGTTAAAATTAGTAAAATATCTTATCATATTATTATGTAAATACCTGATTTAATTTATTAACGAGATTATACTACCTCATGTGATTTTACTCAATAACTCATTAATTATTAAAGGTTGTAAAAGGCATCAATTTTGTTTTTCCATTGTTTGGACTACAGTAAAAATGGCAGAAATATACTTGAGTAGTTATAGAACCTGCCTAGAACAGAAACATATTAAAAATATTGACCCAAAATTAATAAGGATAATAATAGGAAACGACTTTATATTATTTAGAGTCTCCAGTATATTGTAATTTAAGAATTAATGAAAAACAAACAGTATAATAAAATTATTTACTAGTATTTTATCATTATTTATTGAATAATTTGATATATAGACTATAGATAATGACTTTTGATATTAATAATTATCCTTCAGTTGCATAAAAAAAATAACATATAGATAAATACAAATTGTGCAAAAAATAAAATAAAATAGAATAATAATAATTAAAAAAAGAAGGTAGAGATGTTGTCGCTTTAATCTGTTCCAATGCTTTGAATCCCCCAAATTGTCTTTTGTCTCCTTTCCTTTTCGTTTTTAGGGTTTTTTTTTTTTTTTGTTCTTAGCTCTGCTGCTGCTGCTGCTGCTGCTGCTGCTGCTGCTGCTGCTGCTCTCTCTCTCTCTCTCTCCTTCTTAAATTTCCCCAAATAAATTCTTCTGAAAGGTTATTAGATTTCACTCTCCCCGAATACGAATTCCATCCAAGTATACAAATTTCCCTCATAAGGAAAAATTAAAAAGCCGATCTTGGCTTTTTCCTTTTTCTTCTTCTGCATCTCGATACTTAGGACGTATTTGTGAGGCTGATTCATTCTCATCTGCGAAGTCTTTTGGCCTGAAAGCAATATGGAAGGAATTCAGCATCCTATACCTCGCACTGTCGAAGAGGTCTTTAGCGACTTTCGTGGTCGTAGAGCTGGTCTCATCAAGGCTCTTTCTACTGGTGAGCTCCATCTCTTTCTTTCTTACTCTGTTTCTTTTTTTGCTCCATTCTTTGATAATTTGTCTAGATTTGCGAGTTTTTATGTTTTGTGCTCTTTTGTTTCAATTGGGTTTTCTTCATTTGCGGGTTCTTTGGTTTTATTCATTTGCTGGGATTTGACGATTCGGGGTTTATTCATGTTTTGTTTTGCAGATGTTCAGAAGTTTTACCATCAGTGTGACCCTGGTGAGTTATTCCGTTACCCATGTTAAGTTTTGTATAGCTTCATGACGCTTTGATTATTATTATAGCTTGTTTAGTTGGTTTCAACAGGTGTATTTCAGTGCAGCAGTTCCTTTTTGGCCTGAATTAGGGAAGAATTTGTGATGGGAAATGCATTTTTTGCTTCATTAGCTTTTGTTTTTCTAATTTCTGCTAGATTACTCTAGATATTTTCTTCATGATTAGATCCCATCTGCAGTAGTTTTGTTTTCTTGACCCTTTGTCTAGTTGTCTCCTCTGTTAGTAGTTTTACCTTTCTGTCAGAGTTGCTGTCTGTGTGACTGTCTCAACAGTTATGTTGGTTTCATAATTTTTTAACGGGTTGGTGACTTTAAGTGTTTGTGTGTTTCAACATATATGTAACTTTGATTTAGTTCGTTTTTTGTGTGGTTTCTCATCTTAAGGTAATTATTTATAACTTATGCAGAGAAGGAAAATTTATGTCTTTATGGACTTCCAAATGAGACATGGGAGGTTAATCTTCCCGTCGAGGAGGTTCCACCCGAGCTTCCTGAACCAGCTTTAGGCATCAATTTCGCAAGGGACGGAATGCTAGAAAAAGATTGGATCTCTTTGGTTGCAGTTCACAGTGATTCGTGGCTTATCTCTGTTGCTTTCTACTTTGGTGCACGTTTTGGATTTGGTAAGAATGAGAGGTAAGATTCTTTCTCTGCTCAGTCTTCTATATAATCTCGCTTGTACACATGTTTGGTATAGTTATAATGACTGTTATGGTAGCTGCAACCGTTCTAGCATTGTATCACCATATAAATGTTGTTAAAATCTCTGGTACACCTTTAAACTCAATATATTTTGTTCTATGAAAAGTAATTATGGTTTTATATCATTTATTTAAGTAGAGAGAAGTGAACCCACAAGAGTTAATTTTCGATTCAGTGATCATGTGAGCCTCTTATTTTTCTCTTGAATTCAAATTCGTTGAACAGTGTTTGTATTCTCTGACATTGTAGAGTCGAATCATTTAGTTATCTTGCCTCTGAGCTCGTTAAATTTTCTCAGGAAGAGGCTCTTCCAGATGATAAATGATCTACCAACCATTTTTGAGGTTGTGACTGGCAATGCAAAGCAATCTAAGGATCAATCTGCTAACCACAACAGTAGCAAAAGCAAATCTAGCGGTGGCAAGGTAGAAGCTTCTGTTTACTCTTTTTCTTTTTCCTCTCACTGTCTAGCTATCTCTGCTGGATCTTATCTTTATTTACTCTGTTGTTTTCTCATGCAGCCTCGTCATTCGGAATCTCACACTAAGGCTTCAAAGATGTCCCCACCACCAAGAGAAGAAGATGAGAGTGGAGATGAGGAGGAAGATGACGAACAAGGTGCGGTTTGTGGTGCGTGTGGAGACAACTATGGAGGAGATGAGTTCTGGATATGTTGCGATGCTTGTGAGAAATGGTTCCATGGAAAATGCGTGAAGATCACACCAGCAAAGGCTGAGAACATCAAACATTACAAATGCCCGAGTTGCAGTACCAGCAAGAAAATGAAAGCTTGAAGGTGATAATAACATTAGATACTGTGAAAGAGGTGAACGTTTTCACAGTTGAAGAAAAGACAGAACAAGAGTTTAGTTGTGGGAAGAAGAAGAAACAAAAGGCTTCTGATTGCGTAGTTTTAATGGGATTGAGACAGCTTACAGTTAGTAATGTCTCTTTCTCTTTTTTTTTTTTTTTTTTTGCTGTTAATGTTTAAATGTTATGACTAATTTGTCTTATGTTTCTGAGAAAAGTCTGTCTTGAAGCACTCTCTAGTCTATGTCAAGGAGGTTCTTCTTTCTGGTTACTTGCTGTACACTTTTACAGCTTTAGCTTCTAAAGCCTAAACTCATTAAGCCGATTACCTCGTAGAACATAACATTCAATCACAATGACAATATATTTGATATCTTTTGGACTCTCAATAATCCTTTCTATTTTATTTTTGTCATAAACATTTGAGTTACTGCAGCCTTAAGATGGCTCAGCCTCAGGGATATAAAAATTTCCATCAAGAGATACATGGGAAAGAGCAGGTACAAGGAGAATGCGGCACAGAGAAACATTAGAGGATTTGGTGAGATTACAGCCATAGCAAGCGCATAAGAAACTCCCAGAGAAGATCCAATCCAAAGGAACCATGTTGTAAACAAGCTACCGATTGGCAGGAGACAAAACGTGTAGAGTAGGGCGCAACAGAAGCCTATAGTGTTGGAAACCCATAGGACGATGAAGAATGTCTGCTTCATCACCGCAGTACCTCCATCCTCGGATTGGTGTACACCTCCCGGAGGCTGAAGTGCGGTTTGATAAGTGGATGTGATTATCAAAGTACATATAATCAAGAAGACTGCACGGCCTTCTTCTGATGTGTCGGACCTTAGGCGTCTGAGGCCAATGGAGAAATGAGCCCAGAAAGTGACTGGTGACTTAAAGTGATCGGACGGTTTCTCGAGTTTTGGAAGAGAAGCAGCCCCTTTGCACCCAGTTTTTACAACAACTTGTTCCATATCCAAGTCTATACTCTGTTCTTGGTTTCTAAAGATATCAAGTAATGTTAAACCATCACCATTTACTTCGTTCGGTTTCACCAGCTGACGTTCTAGTAACAGTTTTACCGCCTGCATACATATATTCTACAGTCAGTCCAATTATGAAACAAAATGGATAATTGAGAAAAATCTTAAAGGAGTAGAGAAAATTTGAAGCTTTAGGAAACCATGCCTGATGATCTTCCTTATATGCTGCAAGATGCAAAGGCGTGTTGCGAGATAAATCTTTTTTATTCAAGATATCAGATTCAGTGACTGCAGAATCTCTTTGACTCATTCTTTGGATCCAACCTGTAAGAATATGTAGAACTTCAAATCTATCATTAAGCACAGCAAGGTGAAGAGCGTTATGACCATTCACAGTCACATCTTGGATACATTCAGGGCAGGACATGAGACAGTCTACCACAAGATTTACTTCTCCTTTTACCACAAGGAGATGAAAAGGTGTGATTCCTTCTCTCCCTTTAACTCGAGCAAGTCCGGGATCAAGCCAGAGCAGCCATGTTATGAACTCTCTATGATCTTTTTCCACAGCAAGATGTAATGGACTATACCCTTTTGTATTGAGCTTTCTGGCAAACGATGGCTTAAGATTCAGAATTTCCATGGCGAATGGTATGTTCCCAGAAGCTGCAGCTACGTGGAGCGGAGTGTTGACAAATGGCACGTCATTAATGTTATCAAGAATGTAAGGATTCTCATCAATAAGATCATAAAAGTTGTTGATGCTTCCTGTTTCAGCAGCATGTAGTAGTCTTGGATCCATAAAGAGAGAGAGAGATAGGGAGCCTTTTGCAGAAGAAAAGTGTTTTGTGATCTAAATTCAGCAAAGATCGAATACAGTTGAACGAGAGGACAATAATGGCAGAAATAGCCTTTACCAAGAACCAAGGACCAACGAACCCATGCAAGAAACAATAAAGAAAGAGTTGAAGACCAAGAAACCACATGTACATGTGGAAGAAGAAACAATTTAAGAACAAGTGGGACTCTGGCATCTGGATTTTTCCTCCAAGTATGAAATTTATTTTATTGGACGTTTCTCAATTTTGGCTCCAAAAGTCATTCATGAGAATATTCTAATTACAAAGGCTCACAAGGGACACTGCTTATGTTGAAGGTTTTCATCTTCGCATCCTCAAAGTCCTCTAATGTCTAAACTGTTGTATCAAAACCTACCAAAACCAGCTTAATCGGGGAACAGGTGCCACTACTGTCTGATGGCTCCGCGCATTGCCTTACGAAAATTTTCACAGAGAGGAGATTCTCTTTAGTCTAAGCAGATACAAGACAGAGAGAAACTAGTAAAGCATACCAAGTGGAGAAGACATCTCTTTAGCTCATTATCTATCATTCATCACAGCCAAAATACAGAACATTCTGGCCATTAACACTCGCATCTTGGAAACATTCAAGGCAAGCTATGAGGCACTCTGACACCACAGATTCTCATCAATCAAAGCATCATAAAACGTCACCGATGCTACCAGATTCAGCAGCCTGTTGAAGCCTTGGATCCATAAAGAGTGACAGAAACGTAAAATTGCATATAATAACAAGACTCTTTAAAGATCAAACAGAAGTAGAGGGAAAGAAGACGTTTACTACACAAATCTAAAGTAAGGAGACACGAGGTGGGTCCTAAAGTTAGTTGCTTTCAAAGCTCTCATCTTTGCTTCTTCCCCATCCTCTCATTCTCCTCTTTTTATATTAATAGAAGCAATACTTTTTTGGCCATACCATTTCCCAAAAAGATTAGACTAGTCGTCTTTATACATCCCACAGACCCACACCAAACCAGTCTCTCTGCACTCTTCTTTCTTTTTTTATTTTATCATTTAACACAAAACTCCAAAAGACAAAACAAAAATGTTGTCGAAGCTTCCTCAAAAACAACACTTGCACCTCTCACCGTCCTCCTCCGCCATGGAAATGGCCCGGCGTCCACGTGGCAGACCTCCTGGTTCGAAAAACAAACCAAAAGCACCAATCTTTGTCACCCATGTGTCCTCCGAGCCTCCTATGAGCCCTTACATCCTCCAAGTACCCTCTGGAGTCGACGTCGTTGAAGCCATAGACCGTTTCTGCCGCCGTAAAGGCATCGGCTTTTGCGTCCTCAGTGCCTCAGGCTCCGTCGCTAACGTCACTCTACGTCAGCCTTCTCCGGCAGCTCCTGGCTCAACCATTACTTTCCACGGGAAGTTTGATCTCCTCTCCGTTTCCGCCACTTACTTTCCTCCGCCGCCTCATTCCTCCTTGTCACCTCCTGTCTCTAATTTCTTCACCGTATCTCTCGCCGGACCTCAGGGGCAGATCATTGGTGGATTTGTTGCTGGTCCCCTCGTTTCCTCTGGAGCTGTCTACGTCGTCGCCGCTAGTTTCAGTAACCCCTCCTATCACCGGATACCTGCGGCGGAGGAAGAGCAAAAAATCTCGGTCTCGGGGGAAGGGGAGGGCCAATCACCGCCGGTCTCTGGACACGTGACGGCGGGAAGTGGAGGAGAGTCGATGTACAGTGGCCACTTGGGTGGCTCTGATGTTATATGGGCCACCAACGCCAAAGCTCCTCCGCCGTACTGACCAAAGCGATCTCTTTTCCAACTAGGGTTTCTTCTTCTTTTGCTCATCAAGAATCAACCAAAGTAGTTTTTACTCTTTGTTAGGCTTTTATATCAAGCTTTCAATCTCTCAGTCTCTCACATTTGTTGTGTCAAGCTTTACATATTATAATCTGATTTGACTGCTTTATATGCTTCCCCAAGTTTAGTTTTGTATTCTAGAGATTCATACAATTTTAATTTTATAATCTTATTGCATTGTTTATTGGATCTCCAAAGGTTGACTGACTACTTGACTGTATAATATAATGGTTTAATTGATTTCTTTAACTCAGCAACTTTTGGATCGAATTCAAGTATTTTATCAGCTCCGATACTCACCAAATAAAACGCTTTGATGAATCAGCACAATAATCAGATATGCGCTGCAATGGTTGTGAGAAATGTTTCCATGCAAAACGTGTGAAGATCACACCTGAAAAGCTGAGCACATCAAACAGTACATATTCCCGAGTTGCAGTAACAAGAAGATCAAACCTTGAAGGATTACAGTAACATATAGAGACTGTAAAAGAGGACACTCATAGTTGAACTAAAAGACAGAACAAGTATTTAGTGAGAAGACGAATCAAAAAATATTTCTTGCTTAGCCTTTCTGGGATTGAGATAGCTTTAAGTCTCTCAATGCCAGCTAGTGTCTTCTTCTTGGTATCAAGCTCATTTATTAATTTCGAGAGCCTAATGAGTAATGAAGCTCATTACAATACAAAGATTTTTTATATATAAGCCTATTACTACTTGGCACAGTACATTGCAAGTTACAACTCATAAGCGAGATGTGTCATATGTTGAAGGGTTACATCATTTGCATTCTCAAAGCCCTCTCTTCTGTTATATTAGTGTAGTATCAAACCTTCCAAAACCAGCTCAATCGGGGTTTAGGTGTCACCGTCTCATGGTTTCGCCAACGAGTTACTAAAACATCCAACAAGAGAAAGAGAGCAAAAAGCAGGAAGAAGGCAATGGTCGCTGAGAGAAACACTAGAGGATGTGGTGAGATTACTGCCATTGCTAGTGCATAAGAAATGCACAGAGATGTCCCTGTCCAAAAGAACCACGTTGCAAACATACTACCAAGTGGTATGAGACAAAAGGTGTAGAATAAAGCGCAGCAGAAACCTACGGTGTTGGAAACCCAAAGAAGGATAAAGAATGAATGTTTCATCACCACGGAACCCGCATTCGCATCCTCAGATTGGTGTACACCTCCGGGAGGTTGGAGTGCAGTCTGATAAGTAGCTGTTATTATCAAAGCACATACAATCAGAAACACTCCCCGAGATTCATCAGAAGTGTTAGACCTTAGGCGTCTCATGCTCGTGGAGCAGTATGTCACAAAAGTGATTGGTGATTTCAAAAATTCAGACCTTGCTTTGGATTTTCGCACGGAAGCCGCCTCTTTACACCCGGTTTTTAGAACAACTTGTTCCAAATCCAATTCCACACCCACGGTTCCCTGTCCCTGGCTTCTTAACTCTCCACCAGCAGCTCGCTGTCCCTGGCTTCTTAACTCTTCCCCTGCAGCTCTGTTCCTGATTTCGTAAGATATCAAGGAATGTTAAACCGTCACCATTGACTTTGTTCCGCTGCACCAATCGACATTCTAGTAAGAGTCTAACTGCCTACACAAAATAGTACATTCTATTAGGAATCTCATATTGAAAAGATTATTAGTTTAGAATAATCATATTTCACACGACTCATTGTCACTTAGAAGAGTTTTTATATCTGATATACAAAATAGAATTGAAAGAAAGTAAAGCATGCCTGATGATCACTCTTATATGCTGCCAAGTGCAAGGCTGTGTTGTAGCCGAAATCCCTTTTATTCAGAACATGAATCTCAATCGAGTCAGCATTTTTTTGGCTCATTCTCTGGATCCATCCCGTAAGGACTTGGAGAACTTCAAATCTGTCATTTATCACAGCTAGATGCAGTGCATTTTGGCCATTGACATTCACATCTTCGATACATTCAGGGGAAGTTAGGAGGCACTCTGCCACAAGACCGGCGTTTCCTCTTAACACTAGGGAAAGAAATGGTGTGATGCCATTTCTCCCTTTAACACGGGCAAGGGTGTGATCAAGCCAAAGCATCCTGGAGACAAAGCCTCTTTGCTCATTATCCACAGCGACATGCAATGGACTGTAGCCGCGTGTGTTCAGCTTTCTGGCAAAAGAGGGTTTAAGATTCAGCATCTCGATGGCAAATTGTTTCTTCCCAGCCGCTGCAGCTACATGTAGGGGAGTGTTAACAAATGGCACCGCATCAAAGTGATCAAGTATGTATGGATTTTCATCAATAAGAGCATACAACTCATTGATGCTTCCAGATTCAGCAGCTTGTTGAAGTCTCGGATCCATAGAAAAAGAAATTTAGGCAAAAACTCAGTGATCAAGACAAAGATTTTTCAGATGTTGGTTTTCTATTGTGCTTGTGGCCTCATTATCCAAAATTTAGGTTATATACATTCTTAAAACAAAAGAAACTGTTGAGCTTAGGCATTTCAGGAGGAAACTTCGAAGCAAAAACCAATGAATAAGTGAACCCCACACGGATTTAGTTGACAAAACATGTTAGAGACATGTCACATAGAATACTCGTAAAACTAAAGAATGCGACTAACTTTGGCATTTTACCAGGAAGTTCCATAGCAAGAAGCCAAGAACCATTGCAACTTTTAATGGATGACTTATTTCCATACTAACACGAGGTAGGTCCTAAAGCGTTTCCAACCACTCCCATTTTTACCAATAAATAATAAGATTATTTTTTGTGGAATGACAAAATTTCCACCGACTATAGATTGTATAAACCTACATAATCATAATTAATCTTTTGAAACTTGTAAGGGATATGCGTGTGACCTTTCGATATCATTATTTATTTGGAAAAAACAACGTAACTACATATTCATTCTTGACGCATTAACCATGAAAACGTTGTGTTATTTCTTGGTAATAAAGAAACCTATTGGTAATACTTTTACAAATCACTTTTAAGGTTTTTAGCAAATTAGTTTGAATTTTGGTTTCTATCATTTGCTTGGGTTTAAGACTCTGGTATATGCTTTAAGGAAAAAGGTTTAAACTTCTATATTGAATCAGACTCAAGGAATAAAAAACTCACCGAGTTTAGGCTGGTATTAAAGAGCGTGCGTCCATTGGCATTTTCTCAATTAATCTCTCTGCTTGCAAACTCAGCCCAACAAATCATCCATACAAGCATAATGATTTATTGATGGATTTGTTATTGATTCAAATATTTTCTGGCCTTCTTGGAGTAATCCTGCACGGTTGCAAGCCGTCAAGACACTAGTGTAAGTCGTATGGTCCGGCTCAATGCCTTCTCCTTTCATTTTTGAGAATAAACGCAGCGTTTCAACCCCGTCCCCGTTAGCTGCAAACGCTGATAATAACGTGTTATAAGATACAACATCTCTTTCCTTTGTTTCGTCAAACACCCGTTTTGCTTCCCACAGGTTTCCACACCTAGCATACATGAAGATCAAAGACCTGTATCCTGAAACGTTCAGCTTGATTTGGTTCTTACTAATGTAATCTACAATGCAATTACCCAATTCTAGATCACCCATGTGTCCACAAGCCGAGAGAACACTAATCATTGTTACTTCATCCGGTTTGGAATCTCCATAGTCAATCATCTCTTCGAAAAACTCAATGGCTAGTGCAGGTTGTCCGTTGTGAGCATACCCAGCAATCATCGAGTTCCAAGAAACAATATTTCGCTCAGGCATTATATCAAAAAGCTGCCTAGCTGAAGTCAAATCACCGATTCTAGTATATCCAGATATCATAGCATTCCAAGTGACAAGATTCTTCTGCGTACCTAGCTCGTTGAAAATTCTCCTAGCAGATAGAATATCTCTACACTTAGCATGCATATCAAGCAATGCCGTCTTCACATAGCAATTCAACCGAACTCTCTGCTCATGAATCAGTTTAACAAGTGAATGAGCAAGGGAAGGATCAGCACGGAGAGAACATGCAGAAATAACGATAACCCATGTGGTCTCATTGGGCTTAACTCCAAATCGCAACATATCATTAAACAATCTAATAGTTTCCTCTGTAAACCCATTTTGGGCATAACCTGAAAGCATAGCATTCCAAGAAACAACGCTCTTCTCAGGCATCAGATCAAAATACTTCCTTGCATTTTCCAAATCCTTAAGCTTTGCAAAACCAGTAATCATCACTGTCCAAGAAACCACATCAGTATCATTCTCCGGCATCATATCAAACAATTTACAAGCTTCCTCCTTATTTCCCCATTTCCAATACCCAGAGATCATCACATTCCAATCAGAACCCACTCGGTGAGTAATTTGATCGAACACTTTGCGTGCACTCTGCACTGACTCGTGCTTCACATACATATCCATTATCACATTCCTCACATAAGGGTCCTTAAAAAATCCCAATTTCTCTACAATAGCCTGAAACAAAACCCCGAATTCCCCAGCCGATTTGATCACAACGGGGAAAGACCAAGCGTCAGGCAAAATCCCGCAACGCGATCTTTGTTCGTAGAGACGAAGAGCATCATCGGCCATATCCATCCGCGAAAGGTATTTATACATGGAAGTGACGACGAAGACATTGGGAAATGCCACCGAATCGAAAACGAGCCGCGTGTAATAAGGCGGCGCACGGAGACGCGTGCAGCAGCTAATGAGACGCGAAGCCCAGAAGCTTTTACGACTGAGGAAATTGAAGACGATGAGCTGAGCATGGATTTGGTTTAGCTGAGGAAAGGTTAGAGCTTGTAAAGCTATGGCGGCAAAAGATACAGTGAGTTCTCGAGACATATATATAGCTTCACGTTCTCTCTCTCTCTCTCTCTCTCTCTCTCTCTCTCTCTCTCTCTCTCTCTCTCTCTCTCGCTCGTAGCTGTTTCGTTTTTAGGCGAAAATGTAAAAAATTTAAATTTCAAGTTAAAAATTACTGTATTATCTCTGCTTGGTAATAAGTAAATTGAGTTGGACTTTTAAACTTGATAAGATCGATTAAGGCCCATTATTGGGACATTTGGCCCAATACTATGTAATACCTTAGGCTCGTTTAGGCCCATTAAATATATCAGTATTAAGCCTTTAATCAATTGGTTATTGCCTTTATTGGTTAATGATTAGAACAAATATTAATGATTGAATTTGGTACATTGTACCATATTATCTCTAGCTATATCACCATGGTTATGATTGTAAAATTACGAACTTTAGGACCTTCTAATTACCAAAAAAAAAAAAAGGACATCTAAAGGATCTCTCAACCCCGACCAGATTTAAATCAGTGGGGGGTTGTCTATATTCCTCCTTGGGTATAATATAAGGTTGTCTATTACAATCTACATGTTATGTTATCCAAAAATATAACATGAAGACAAGACAACGTTTACTATTTTATTTTAGAAGACTGATAAATTTAACCTTGAGAGGGCCACATTGAAGAAGTTGGAAAACGTACAAAATAGTGGCATGTGCATTTCGTCGTTAGTTTGTTTTCGCATATATGAATGATTTGTAATGCATTATTCAATCAAAAGAACACAAAAGACACAAACTATAAGGACCCCCTGAGGAGCTCTTGTTCATATGCATTTAAAATACATATTTGTATGTATATGTCAACCCGATCTGAGCATTATTATCAATGGAAGCTAAGATTTGTTAAGAGTGTGAGAGAAAAAAAAAAAAAAAAAAAAACAATGGCAGTAAATAGGCATGTGATGTTGAATTCGTTTTTGTTGGACTTCAAAGGAACGAACCAAGCAATAAAAGTAGCTAAGAAAGTGAGATCTAAAAGAGTCAAAGACATTTGTCACGAGTTATGACTTATGAATGCAACTAAAAAAGATTTTAAATAGATAGATATATGTGGGTTGGGTTTTTTTTTCTTACGAGGCAAAGCCTGAAATAATCTTTATACGTTTCGTAGAATGACCACAACAACATACATTATTCAGAAATTAGTATTTTGGTCTCAGATTGTTAGACATGTAAATTGTCAGAACATGTAAAACATACCCCTAGTATAATAATAATAATAATAATACATAGTTTTAATACAATTATTTGTTGATCAGAAAAGCCCACGTTGCATGAACAATTATAAATGACCGCTAAAAACATAGCTTTATTATAATTATTAAAAAGAAACAAAAATTAAATAACAACTTAAAGGCTATTTAAGAAATCCAAAGTATTTTAAAACTTATATCCAAAATTAAGTCATTTTTGTAACGAGATCGGCGAGATGTAATAACGCAAAGGCAAATACACTTTTGTCAAAGAAAAATACACTTTAGAGTTTCATTAATTTCCAAAGTTGGTTTTTCTGTTGTAATTTGCATCTGTTATTAATAATTTATCTTCCGACTCAAAAATTGGGTAGTAGTACAATATAAACTCTTAATTAAAAGACAGTGAAGAGGCGTGAGAAGAGTGAGCACTGCCGCACTGGCCACTGGGTTTTTAGATCTGACACACCGCAAGAGAGAGAGAGAGCAGAATAAATAAAAAGGAGAATCCCGAGCGTCACCGCTCCCTTCCGACCCAATTTTTCACCTTTTCACATTTCTTTTCGTGTCTTTTTCTAAAATATTTTTAATTCTTTTCTTCTTCTTTTTTTTTTTGTAAAATAAAATTAAAAAAATATATAGGGAGAAAAAACAGGGCCTGTGATATTTTTGAATTTCTCAACAAATCCCTTTTCTTCTTCACCTCTTCTCTTTACTCTCATTGTCGCCTTCGCTCTCTCATAGTCTTTAGTTTCTGAAAATAGAAGATTCTTCGTCTTCTTTCTAAATTCAGGTTTAAGTTTCCCGGCTTAACTTTTGCTATAAAAAAACCGAGTGAGAAAAGTTCAATTTTTGTCGTCGTTTTGGGGAATTTCGATTGAAATGTGTCTGAAGCATAATACTTGAGAAGACAAAAGAGAGGACCGAAGTAGTCGAAAGAGTGATTCTTTGTTTGTTGTCTTCTAAAAAGAAAAAAGAAAATGTCGGGTCTGAAGATTTCGGATCCGAGCAAATTGCATCTGAAGAAGGAGCTTACTCAAGTCAGGAAAGTTGCCAAGGGTTTACGCGATCCCGGTACCACTTCCTCTTGGAAATCTCCTCTTACTTCCTCTAGATCCCTCGCTGTGCCTGAGCCTCCGCTGGAGACCAATACCGTCGAGGCTCAGTTGGATTCTCAGTTTCCCAGTAGTCGAGGTGTTGGGAACGGGAAAGAGAAGGAGAAGAAGGTGTTTTTGTATAATTGGAAGGCTCAGAGGACTTCTAGCGACAAGAGTGGCTTTTCTAAATACAGTGGAGGTGAAGATGGCACTTCGTGGATCCAAGCTAGTGTCAATGGTGATGATGATGATGATGTGAGTGATGCTAGGAACGGTGGAGATTCGTATCTTGGGGATACTCGATCTGCTTCCATGGTTTTTAGATGCAGAGACTCGAATCTTGTGTCACCTGGTTTTGCAAAGATCAGAAAGAATGGTGTTAGCAAGAAGAAAACTAAGAAATTGGATTTGATGTCTCGATATCATCATCAGTCGAAAGAATCAATCTTTGGCGTAAGAAACTCTGCCAAAGCTAGGAAATTTCCAAGTAATCTCCACGCAGCGTCAGGTTTAAGTGTGGTGAGAGATGAATCTGTTGAGATGTCTGATGAAACAGAGGATTTTAGCAATTCTGAGAATCCTCGCAAGATCACTAAAGTGTCATCTCCTTTGCTTTCGAAGCTTAAGCACAATAACTGGTCACACTCCTCTTCGAAGTTCATGAAGGCTACTAGTAAGAGAGAGGATTCTTCTCATACGTGTAACAGTACACCTGCATTGTCGACTAGCTCATACAACATGTATGCTGTTCGTAATCCTAGCACAGTTGGATCTTGGGAGGACGGTGATGATGACTTGGATGATGATAACTTTGATTTTACAGGGAGACAAGGTTGTGGGATTCCTTTTTATTGGACCAAGAGGAATCTGAAACATAGAGGTGGGTGTAGGAGTTGTTGCTCACCTTCGTTTTCGGATACTCTTAGAAAGACCGGGAGTAGTATTTTATGCGGGAGTCAGCCGGTGTATCGTAGACATAGACATACCTCTGGGAGATATAATAAACAGAAACTTGCTTTAAGAAGTGCAAAGGGTGTTTTGCCTTTGCTCAAATATGGTGGTGGTAGTAGAGGAGGGTCATCTATTGGAATTGGGTATAGTGATGATGGTCTTTCTACTGATTTCGGAGAGCTTGATTTAGAGGCTCAAAGTAGATTAGATGGGAGGAGATCGTCTACTAGTTGTCGGAGTCTGGATGGAGGAGGAGATGGAAGTACACCGGAAAGTATCCAGAGCTTGAGCCAAAAGTACAAGCCTATGTTCTTTGATGAATTGATTGGACAGGGTTTAGTTGTTCAATCTCTAATGAACGCTGTGAAAAAGGGTAGGATTGCTCATGTTTATCTTTTCCAAGGTCCTAGAGGAACTGGGAAGACATCTACTGCGAGAATTCTTTCGGCCGCCCTGAATTGTGATCTGGCGACTCAAGACATGAAACCTTGTGGGTATTGCAAAGAATGCAGTGATTACATGTTGGGGAAAAGTAGTGATTTATTGGAACTTGATGCTGGTAAGAAGAATGGAGCTGAGAAAGTTAGTTATCTTTTGAAAAAACTGCTGGCATTAGCTCCACAGAGTTCCCCAAGATTCAAGGTTTTTGTGGTAGATGAGTGTCATTTACTACCATCTAAGACGTGGCTATCTTTGCTCAAATTTCTTGAGAACCCTCTGCAGAAAGTTGTCTTCATATGTATAACGACCGACCTTGACAATGTTCCTCGGACCATTCAGTCAAGGTGCCAGAATTACCTCTTCAACAAAGTCAGAGATGGTGACATTGTTGTGAGGCTAAGGAAAATTGCTTCAGATGAAAATCTAGATGTGGAATTGCAGGCGTTGGACCTGATTGCTTTGAATGCTGATGGCTCGCTTCGAGATGCTGAAACTATGTTAGATCAGTTGAGCTTGATGGGAAAACGAATTACCGTTGATCTTGTAAATGAGCTTGTAAGTTATGGTGTTTTCTCTATGTTTCCTTTTCTTTGCATTAGGTAAAATTAGACCAGTGAGTGATTTGATTGTGACTGCTGCTGTTTGAGCAGGTGGGTGTTGTTTCAGATGACAATTTACTTGAACTTTTGGAATTAGCATTGTCATCAGACACGGCAGAGACAGTTAAGAAAGCTAGAGAGTTACTGGACTCAGGAGCTGACCCAATACCCATGATGTCTCAACTGGCCAGTCTTATTATGGATATCATTGCTGGAGCATACAAGGCCTTGGACGAAAAATACAGTGAAGCCTTCCTTGATGGACGGAACTGTGAGTTTCTGAAACGTCAAAGTCGATAGTTCTGATATGCTTAAATTAAACTAATAAGTATTGGGAATCCACAGCTAGACATAATGATCATACGTTTTCTCCAGAACTAGAATGATTTTCTAAAAAATTTGGCTTATCGATGCCTTCAGCTCTGCTACTTTTTTTGAGTGCTTTGTATTTGGCCAATCTTATTCGTTTTTTTTTTTGTAGTGACTGAAGCTGATATGGAGAGACTAAAACATGCTTTGAAACTTCTCTCTGAGGCTGAGAATCAGCTGAGAGTTTCTACTGACCGTTCAACATGGTTCATAGCTACCTTGTTGCAGCTTGGTTCGATGCCTTCTCCTGGAACCACACACACCGGTAGCAGTAGAAGGCTAAGCTCTAGAGCAACTGAAGATCACCCACCAAGCATTTCAAGAGAAGTTATTGCTTACAAGCCGAGATCAGGCCTTCAATGTAAAAATTCAGCATCCCCAACTTCCATGAGAAAAAGCGGAAATCTTGTTTATGAAGTGAAATTGTCTTCCTCGTCTAGCGAAGTTTTAGAGAGTGACACTGCCTCGCATGATGATACAACGGCAAGTACCATGACACTTACGTGCAGAAATGCAGAGAAACTAAACGATATCTGGATAAAATGTGTAGACAGATGTCATTCAAAGACATTGAAGCAGCTTCTCTTTGCTCATGGGAAGCTTTTATCAATCAGTGAAGTTGAAGGTAAAGCCTAAAACTCCTCTTAATCACTTTACATCTGAAGGAAAAAAAACTCAAGCAATTGCATACTAATAGAATCTTGGTTGCAGGTATTCTAGTTGCTTATATTGCATTTGGAGAAAGAGAGATCAAAGCGAGAGCTGAAAGGTTCTTAAGTAGTGTCACAAACTCAATTGAAACGGTATTGCGGCGAAACGTAGAGGTCAGGATAATCCTCTTGTCTGAAACTGAGTTACTCAACACCAAGCAGACCAGACAAATAGCAGTTACAACTAGTTCAGATACTGAAAGTGGGCATGAGATACCAATGAAGAGGATTGAAGCAATCATCCAAGAACAGAGATCAGAAACTGAGTGGTTACAGAAGACTCCTGGTTCCCAAGGCCGGTTAAAACCCGAGAGGAATCAAGTTCTACCTCAAGAAGACACCAATGGAGTTAAAGTTTTAAAGATTTGTGAAATGGGTGAGTTTCAAGAGAATCACGCTGGCAAAAGAATGGAGCATTGTCCTGTTTCTCCGAGCTTACTACACAACAGCAACTTCACAAACAACAAAGACAATTTGTAAGTAATAATCTTGATTCAGTAAAGCTAAAAAAAAACGGATTAAGAAAGGTCGTCATGACAAACAATTGACTTGTTTTGGTTTGTGTAGAGGATATGAATCAGAAACAGGGAGAGGAGTTTGCAGTCTGCTTTTCTGTTGGAACACACAAAAGTCTCCAAGAAGAAGCAAAGTGAGTTGCTTGAAGAAATGTTTCTTTAATGGTGAAATGAAAATAAAAACCAATTTATTTACTTATTTGACGTTTTTGGTTACTTGATTATAGATCAAAGGGACTCCTGTGCGATCACGACGAAGAAGTCGAGAAAGACGTTTCTCCTTGTTCAGTGGATGTGCTAGGCCGAGGAAGTAATAACTAAAAACAATAAAGGTTACTGTGTGATATTTACTGTCTATTGAGGAAAGTAGGAAAGTTAAAAGTAATTATAAATGCTAAAATTGAATTTGATACGCAAATAAGTAATTGATAAAGATATGTAATTTTTTTCTTCTAAAGTACTCAAATTTGATAGGAAAAAAAGTTACTGTTTTATATTGCATTTAGTGGATATATTGGATTTGGTTCGAAACGTATATAGAAAAATATCTTAAAATGATAATTATTATTTTTGGTCGCACTTTATTAAGGGGGTGTTTTGGTTTGTGAGTTATACGGAGTTTTAATGACTTTGGATGTTTGGTAGAATCTGTTGTTATTCCATCCAGATTTTACTAAACTCTTTTAAAGTTTGGTGTAATTAGTTATTGATTTGTAAAAAATCACTCAAAATCTTCATAAATATGGGGTTATTGGATTCAGAGTTTTACAAAGTCATTAAAAGTTCTGTGTTATTCAATTAAAACAAAAGAATCTTTGATTGTTAATGAATTTATTTACAATTTTTAGATAATAACATTAATATTATTTATAAAGAACGAGATTTTGATAAAAAGAAATTAATTAACTAATTGCCTAATTAATGTATGTGTAATTAACACCCACGTGTATTTATACCCACATGAACTCACCAAAGCAAAAACAATCGCTCGCTACATACAAATACAAGTCCTGTCCTGTAAGTCTGTAACAACAGACAATAACAAAGACAAAACCATGAAGATCTCTGCCACAACTATGACGATTGCTGTGTGTCTTCTTCTTTTAATAGCGGTCCAAACAACCGCCAGACCATTCACTGAAGAAACCGGTGAAGTCCCATCTTCTCCTTCAAAAGATCCTCCTCCACCAAACCCATCTGCTAACGACAACAAGAACGTTATGTTTATTGTGCATGATAACAATTATCACCATACTATCTTCCCATGAACCAGATATATAAAAGCGATCAGAAGATGTTTTACAATGATTTATCCTTGTACTTTATCTTCTATTTAACAATATATAAACAACAATCATTTCATATGCAATATTATAAAACATGAACTTATTTATCATGATGCAGTAACATCTATCTACTAACACATACATCCAATAATTAAAGAGATGTGTACATGTTTGATGATATCTAAGAGAAATCATAAGAAAAGATTTAAAATTAAAGAAAATTTGATCTTTTACTTTTTATGAAACTAATAATATTTTCTGAAATTTCATTAAAATAGCCCAACTGTTAAAAATAAAGCCCATATACATAAAAGAAGCCCATGAATGAAGTTAAAGTGAACACGTAGGTAGGGGTCGAGGAGATCACTCGAATTCAACCTGAGGAAATGGCGAAGCCTTTGGGTACTACCGGCGAATTTTTCCGGCGAAGAGATGAATGGAGGAAGCATCCGATGCTTTCGAATCAAATGAGACATGCTCTTCCTGGACTCGGAATCGGCGTCGCTGCCTTCTGCGTTTACCTCGTCGGTGAGCAGATCTTCAGCAAAGCTTCGGTTCCTTCCAAATCAGCTCACCACCATCAGGAGCAGCCTGCGACTTCTCACTGAAGCGCATCGCCTCTTATTAAATTAGATGAGGTAAGTTCGTTTATGAGTGATTGATTCTATCTTGTGTGCTAATTTTCGAAATTTTCTTCTTTTGATTGGATCGCATATGCTTCTCGTCTATGTTAATTTGATGTTTGTGTTTACGTAGTTCTAAGATTCTCTGGTAAAAAATTGATTTTTTCTGCTAATCTTGTTGGATATATTAAAGGGTAGCCAAAAACAAAATTGATTTGTTTTGTGTTTTGCTTAACTCGTTTGAACCTGGAAATGGTTTTGCAAAATGATCCTGATTTCATTCCATTTGTTATCTCTAAGTTTTTGGTATAGCTAGCAGCAAGCTTAAGTTGGTGAATCTTGATCAAAGTATTGTCTTACTTAGCTTTAGCATGACTACAACAATGGAGATAGAAAGTACATTTGAGAGCTGAGAGTGAATAACGAGCTATGCGCAGTAACAGATTTTTCGGGAACCATATATTAGAGAAGTTTGGTTTCAGCTAGGTTATAGCATTGGCAATTTGTTTCAATCATATATAAACTCATGGCATCATCTGGTTTCACTTGGTTTTAGCTTTTGAAATAGCCTGAAGGTATCTTTAGATCAAAGGTCATAGTTCTCACCCCAAGTTCAGTGATTGATCTCTTCATATGATTCTCTAACTCTATGAAGTAGCGTATAAATACTGCAAGCCTTTTTGTTCGCTTGGATAAGCAAAGCTGAAAATTACCTATAGGAGTTAAGGTTGAGTAGATAATCAGAACAATTCGAACTTTTACAAGTTTTGATTTTATTAGTAAGAGCATTGCCACTTGGTGTCTAAAGACTAGTTGGGTTTTAAATGCGGTCTAATCGTTTCGAAAGTGTAGTTTGTATCAGATCTCTTACAGGAAAAACTTGTTGTCTGGTTGCAGATGCTTGAAACAGTGGCAAAAAGGCTGAACTTCCAGGCTTCTTCTCGGTTGCTATCTTTCATTTGATTGTCTTAATAATCGCATGTTTGAATAGAACACAAAGAAGTTGATTTCTATGTTGAATTTGTAAAGCTTGTTGGCTCAAAGGTTTTGTATCCCACAAGTGAAGACTGCATATTCGTGTCTTTGTCGTTCTAAGACTGATACTTGACTAAAACTGCGTTACCAATACCAGATAAAGAATCCAAAGTCTTCTATTGTTTTCAAAATGGGCCTACAGGTTTGCTGATAGGCCCGAGATATTAACCATTGCTGTTGTTTGTTGTTTATTTGCCGAGTCAGAAGAATTAGAAAATGGATATATTTAGGAGACACTCTATACATATGACATATCGTATGAAGTAGTTGCACTCTTATCAATTATCATGTTGGAAGTAAAAGAACAAATTCCAAGTAAGTAAAGGTGAGTGTCGTTGCAGTATAGTCAGAGAAAAATAATGGAGTTTAGACGATTATATGTGTGTTTTGTTTTTTTTCTAACTTTATCCTTTTGTTTACTGAATTATGAGGTACGGGTTTTGTATTTTCTTACACGCTACGTCCATTTCATTCTGCCATATAAACTGTACCTTACAAATATTATATATTATTTATACAAATAGAAATAGAAAAAAAAAAAAAGTGAATCAAAAGATAGTAGTAGTAGTAGTATAATAATATAGATGTCAGTAAACTGATTGCACGTAAAAACCCATAATAGTGTTAAAATATACTACTATATAATAGAACACAGAACTCGTGCGTTTGCTTTGTAAGAAAGTTTTTTCGATACTTGGGAAATATATTATATTTTGCTCAGAATGTCAATAATTCTCAAATAGTTTTGTACTGATTTACGTGTTGTGCCTTTTTATGTTAATGACCAACAAAAATAGATAAGCAAATCTTTATTTACGTACAAAGAATGATTATCTGTTAAACATAAACAATGATTTATCCTCGCTGTTAACACTTAAAACTTAAACTATGAATCTTTAATCTCCAGAAAGCAGCGAACGACTATAGATCTTAGAATTACGTCGTCCTCAGTTATGTTCATTTTACTTTTTTAAAACTAAAGTTTTTCTCTATATAGAAAAAACAAAGATGAAGATTCTTTGTAAATTCGATTTGAATTGCTGTTTCGTGGGTTATTTAGGAATAAAAAGAAGATAAAATTGAAAATTCTTCTTTATTTTTCTTTGTCAAAGATAAGCGATATATTATATTCCTCCACTATACACTATGGTAGTATATATACAAACCATTTTGCAAACAATTATTCATTTCTTAATAAGATCATTTAAAGCAAAATGGGCTATGAGCTGGTCCATGTATTGGTCCCCAGTTCATCTGCTGCACCGTTTCTAGTATTCATTATTTAATGTGTGTTACTTATAAATTTGTATATCTACATCAATTAATACTTATACATATAGTCGATATAATATATGCAAATACATGCAGACGTAAAACATATATATAAAATATAAGACGTCAAATAAATCTGAAAATTCAGAATATTTTAATTTTAGTCAAAATTGCAAAGCAAAAAAAAAAAAGCAGGGAATGTCAAGATTCAAAGCGAGGTTACTTTAAAACAATTCCAATTTATGTATCTTTTTCAACTTATCAAGATACAATCATGATATACAAGGTGCTAGCTAGCTCATAAAATTATAGTATAACTTGAATTTATAAATTATTATGGATCGATCTTGATTGTATCCATGCACCACATGTTAAGAGCTTAACGAAACATATTGGTCTAAAGATGTAAGAATGTCAAGTACATTATAAGTTTTTGGTTTCCCGTGTTTCATTAATATAGCCATATGATTAGATGTCCGAAATCCCGATAAATCAGAATAAAACTTAATTAAACATGTTTGGATAGAGGTAGTGGTGTGGGGCTTATGAATCTCATACCAAAAGAAATTAATATAAAAAAAAGTGAGAATGTTCCTAACGGCTGAATTTTTATCATTTCCTCTTAGTTTGTCTTTATATAGGCTCATTCTGTGGATTGTTTTTTAACTCTTTCGTTAAGTATGTTAATGGAGAAGTTTTGTAATTGACTTCATTTGTCGACTGAGGAACTTTAAGAGTTATAACGACTAAATGAAATATAGTAGTATAGCATACACAACAAAATGCATCAAAATTTATCATTTTCCAAAACTTTTGAGATTAATCAAAATGGTGTGTTAGAAAAGCAAAGGACAGCACACATGCATAAGAATGAGGAACAAAGAGAATGACTAAGATGTGAAATTTAAGCTTCATTTTTTTTTTCTTTTCTTGGTGTTGCTTACAAATTAAAATGCTTGTTGATGTATATAATAATGATGGAACTTCCAAGAATACGTTTTTATTCGCAGAATCATATACCTTGATGAAACTATGATCAACTATATAAGGTTTTTAGTCATTTCGATTCGTTTGTCAAAAGCAAAACTGCTTGCATGAGATTATAAAATCTAACAATCAAAAAAATAAAATTAAGAGATATAATCAATACCTTTTCAATCGACTAAAAATATAGCAAATGATGTTGTTATCATAAAAATATTTAATCTAACCAACCCTAAAATGACTTCATCATGATATGTCAAGGTGGATGTGACTTGAATCTTTATTCTGATTAGCTAGCTAACATAAAAAAATTAATGATTGAAATCTTAATTGTATATAAAAGATCAATAATGAGTTTATATTTTTGAAATTTTCCCTGATGATAAGGATTGTGAAAAGAGAGAGAGAGAGAGAGAGAGAGAGAGAGAGAGAGAGAGAGAGAGAGAGAGAGAGAGAGAGAGAGAGAGAGAGAGAGAGAGAGAGAGAGAGAGAGAGAGAGAGAGAGAGAGAGAGAGAGAGAGAGAGAGAGAGAGAGAGAGAGAGAGAGAGAGAGAGAGAGAGAGAGAGTTGGCACATCTTAAAAGAAGTTTATGTATCATATTTGAAGGAAACAAGCTATGGTTGACCAAAAATTGATGTTTCCATCTAAAAAGAGAAACAAATCGTTTGCCTTTGCACGCTTGTCACTTAAAAACTAGTATTATGATTGAGTTCCTATACTATAACTGGTCTTTTTACCTAATACGACTGGTTTGAATTCTTAACTTTATAAAATGGCTAATACACATTATACAATATGGCTATAGCTGTAATTTTGAGAACTTTCATGTACCTACATCACTAAAAGATATTACAATGTGATATATATATAAAGGTATTACAATGTCTTATAAAATTAATAAGACTCAAAAAAGAATCTTAAGATTATTGATTTTTTGTAAGTATTTTAATACAAAGTTTTACTTGTCTTGTAAAGGAATAAATTCGTTATAGCCCTAAAAACATACATATAGCTAGAGAATCTTGTTTTTATTTTGATATGTAGGAAAATAAATAAAATAAACAGGCCATAAATATAGAACTTAGAGATATATATGAAACTCTTTATCAAAGAATAATTAAAAAGAGAGATGTATATACACAAACTAAAGCGTCATAATATAAAAGAAGAACGAGTAAATACGAACATCTTGAAAATTGTGAATAATTTTTGGACCATCGACCTAACGTCATTTATTCTTGTGGACCCTTTTTTATTTTTGTTACTTTGAACACAAATACATTTTTTTAAAAGGTGAAAAATACTAAAAATATAATATAATACTGTAATTTAGCCAAAGTTTTGGTATTTTGAGTTCAATGCCTCAGCCAAAATATATATGCAGGACAGAGTGATTCTCTAAATCCTCTATGATAAATATAGAGTCCCAACATTACTACTAGTCATCCATAATTTACAAGAGCCAAAACAATAATGAAAATTATATATGGATGGAAAAGAGAAATAACTTTAAAGAATTTACCAGAAGAAGACACAGCAAAATAGAAAGTAAAGAACAAAGTGATTCATCCCATTGTTTAATTATTATATTTTAAAAGTTGTTGGTTCACTAAAACGAATGTAAAATTTTGAAAATTGTAATGGCTGTGACATGATTACTACTGCTAATAGCAGTAAGTCTGAAATATTAAGCAATGTATTCTCCATTTTACCACGACTTCCTGTTTTCAGTGAAACGAACACTCTTATACCTTTCCATCTCTTTTGCCCATGCTTTGCTTCCTAATGTACAATACCTACGAGGGCTCATCATTATAATTAGTTGTAAATATGTATACACACTGGCTTTTTACATGGCTCTTTTCTGTATACATGGTACAGTTTTAGTTGGTTCAGTGGGTGAATATATGATTATGATCAACTCCATATCTATATATAAAAAGTTACAGAAATATTTAAAACAAAATTAGGAGAATTACACTAATATTATGTATTACATATTGACGTCGAATGACGTATGATTGAATCTTAAGAGAAAAATGCACGTAGATAAAATCAGTTAAAGAATAAATAAGTAATAAAAAGACAATGTTAGAATTTCATTTATTAAAATCATACATTGAGTGAGTATTAACTCGGGGATTTATATTTTATTATATAGATAGAGAGGAACCAAATTTATAATAAATACAACGAAGTGTATATATATATAGTAGTAGGACCGTAACTTCGGGTTAATAATATAATTCACATGCATGACATGACAACCCTACCTCGACCTCGAGAGTCCAAAGTCTTCTTACATGTTATGTATATAACAGACGACGTTTATATGAATTATATCTATATTCCTTTTCAAATCCAAATTCGAGGAGACATTATAAAGAAAGAAAGAATGTTCTATATGTAATTCCATAGTCTTAATCATGTAATTTATATTGGATTTATACATTATAAGATGACTGTTTTTAGCTACCACTTCACACTATATATCATGCATACACATAATAATATTTTAAAAAACTTTTGGTTACTATTCAAAAAATAATTTGTTAGTTTTGTAATTAATTAGCTTCTCTTGTTAACTCATGAAAAGTTAAACTTGTTTTATATATTATTATTACTTTTTATGCTTGTTTGTTTCACTGGCTTATTAGTCTCCCCCACCACTCTCTGACACATTTTCTCACTCTCTCTAAATTTTGTTTGTAAAAATTTTGATGTCTGATAGTGCAAGCAAAGCAATCACCCTCCTCCATGACCTTTTATTTTGTCTTTGTTTCTCCCATCTTACCTTTCTTTACATTTATAACACTTCTATAATCTCTAGCTAGGTTAAAATTTCTTGTGATACAGTTAGTAGTCGTTTTACCATTAAAACATATTACTTTTTATACAGAACCATATATATTTATTTTGTGTAATCAGTATTAATATACACTAACAAAACTGACATAATTAAATGCGGTTGTTTTCTATATGTCTCTGTAAATAAAAAAGAGAGAGAGAGAGAGAGTGTGTGAAATGTTGAAAAAATATCTACTTTGGTTTCTCTCTCTCTCTCTCTCTCTCTCTTGCCTTTAGGCTTTCACTACTTAATACTCGATAAGCTCTCTTAGTTTAAGACATTGTCTTCACATCCCAAAAACACACACAAATGCAAATCTTTGTCTCCTCTCTCCCTTCAAAGTCTTTCGTTACAAAACCCTAATATCTTCTAACCCTTTCTCTAGCTTCTCTTAAGGTTTTTTTATTTGGGTTCATGCTGATAACTACATCTTCAAGACTTCAACACAGTTTCTGAACTTTTGAAGCATAGTAAGATCAAGGTTTGCTGCGTTTATAGTTGTGAAGGTATGTGTTCCTAACTCAGTTCAGTTCAACAGAGTTTCTTGACTTCTCTCTCTCTCTATGTCCCTCTTTTGTTAAATTTCTCATCAAAATTAAGATGATGTGTGAATCAAAGAACAGTTGTTTTCATGACCCATTTATTTTTATTTTTGTGTTTACTGGTCATCATAAATTTGCTCACTTAAATTGAAGTAGAAGACTTCTTTTGAAGTGCGTTTGTCAGCTTTTGTTTGAGCAGGCTTGCAATAAGAGTTTCATTTCTCTTTTTTCTGAATTTGTATTCTTCCGTTTTGTCCTATAATTTTCGGTTTTTCCAATTTTATTTTTATTATTTTTGTTTGGTATGATTAATTCAAAATGCTTTCCGTGAGTTGTTTCTTAAAAAGTAGAAACTCCTTGAGATTTTAAAACAAGAAGCTAGTATCCACCTTTTAATAGTTTAATCATTTTGGTCTTAATTATTCACTAATTATTTTTCACCATTTGTCTTGTTTTCTTCTTAGCTAGTCTCTCTGTCCCCAAACCAAGAAACAATTTGCAAATATAAAGAGCAAAGGGAAGACCCCAAGTAATTAAAAAAAAAAGATGGAAATTGCAAGTCAAGAAGATCATGATATGCCCATCCCTTTAAACACTACATTTGGTGCTGCTGGTGGTGGTGATGGTCATGGTCATATGAATATCCATCATCATCATGATCTTCATGCTCCTAATTCTGCTCCTCCAACTCACAACAACATCACTACTCAACCACCACAAATGCCGCTACATGGAAATGGTCATGGCAACAACTATGATCATCATCATCATCATCAAGATCCTCATCATGTGAGTTACAACGCCATCATCAAGAAGCCTATGGTAAAGTACAAGGAGTGTCTCAAGAACCATGCAGCAGCAATGGGAGGCAATGCTACTGATGGCTGTGGAGAGTTTATGCCAAGTGGTGAAGATGGCTCCATCGAAGCTCTCACTTGCTCAGCTTGCAATTGCCACAGAAACTTCCATAGGAAAGAAGTGGAAGGTGAACCCGCCATGTCCCCTTACCACCAACAGCCTCCACCACGAAAACTCATGCTCAACCACCACAAGATAAGATCAGCCATGCCACACCAAATGATCATGCCAATAGGAGTTTCTAACTACAGGTACATGCATAACAACTCTGAGTCCGATGACTTTATGGAAGAAGATGGCGTTGGCGTAACCGCAGCATCAAGATCGCTACCACACATGCCATACAACCAGAAGAAGAGGTTTAGGACGAAGTTCACGCCGGAACAGAAGGAGAAGATGCTTAATTTTGCAGAGAAAGTTGGGTGGAAGATACAAAGGCAAGAAGATTGTGTTGTTCAAAGGTTCTGTGAAGAGATTGGAGTGAAGAGAAGAGTCCTTAAGGTTTGGATGCACAACAACAAGATCCATTTCTCCAAGAAGAACAACATTAACCTCGAAGACAACGACAACAACGAAAAGAGCAACAATCTGAACAATGTTGATCTGTCCGCTAATAACGACATCACTAAGATCGCTCCATGATTTAATAAATAACGTTATTTTTACATATATGATCGTCTATGGTTATTATATTTAGTTATGGATATCTTAGCTATTTTAGGGTTCTAAAATTATTTTCTAGCTGGTTTAATTTGGTTTTATTTATATACATAAACTCATTTCGCTATCTGATTAAAGCCATGGATTTTATATATATTTCTGCTCTTCGTTGTGTTTTGGAAATCATATATATTAAACTTGTTGTTGTAATAAATGAATGACCAGTCTTTCTTCTTCATCTTCTTCTTTTGGGTATGTAAGAAAAGCTACTTTGGTTATATATCATTTTGAATCATTAGACTTTTCGCAGTTCGTGATCATTGTGCTCACAAAATCTGCATGAAACATAAGCTGTATACGTATCTCCTCATAGTCTACATCTTACTTCTGAAACCTGTATAAATATCTAAAATAGATACTGTATTTATGGATAACCACAACTTTATGGCGCCTTAACCTACATATATTACTGTATTATCAATTTAGAACTATACAGAAATATTTAGAAGAAAAAAAATAAAGTAATAGTTTTTTCTGCTAATGGAGATCTGAAGAGTGTACTAAAGATCAGTTTGGAAGTCATGTCCTCTCGTATGTGACGTATAAAGGTTGAGTAAATATGTGGTTGGTGTCACAAGCGATCACATTTATTAACCCCTCTTTGTTTATAACGTATGCGTATGTTCAATACTTAAATATAACAGTTCGACGTACTCTTTAGGTAAATTATAATTCGCTCGTATATAAATTAAAAGATTAGTGGTAAATTAAGATGTTATGTTCTTTATTCATTCACATGTTTCAATTTTCTGTATAGAATAATTGCCTGGAGTTGCATGTGTTTTTGTTTATATAGTGCGTTCATCAAACTCATCCAACTTTTCCTTTTTCAACCAAATTTATATGAGAATGCGAATACGACACCTTTGTTCCGTTTCAAGTTTAACAATTTTATCAAATACAGTAGAAATAAAAGTTAACATGTGCGTTTTCACTACTACAAAGATTTGAACTTTTAAAAATCATCTAATCGCTAACATATCGAGCTAAAAGAAAGGACTAATATAATTAAATTGTGTAGGATGGAGAGTCGTCACTATTACATTTAATTTTGGGGGTCAATAAATAAGAAAATATGATATTCTGAGCCCATATTTATTACAAAGGTAACTCTATTAATATATAAAATGTTGCTGAAAATAAGGTCCCCTCTTTTCTCCTATTCTAAGCTTTTCGATCACACGCATTATCTGCTCAAAACCCAATCCTACACTGCTTCCATAAAAACTGATCGATCAAGCCCAAATTTAGTACTGAGATCGATCAGCAATAAAGTCTTGGTGTGAAGATCTGCAGATATTAACTTAAGTTTCTTTAACCCACACTGGATCATGTAAAGCAATGATCCAACAAAGAGAAGAAGGTGTAATAGATATACTTTCCAAACATTGGTGCTAAAAACCAAAAACTTGGCATGTACTAGCTAGACCTATAATTCCCAAAGAGTGTTATATAACCAAACGGATATGTATTTATGTGCCATTGGATTTGTCTTTTGCTGAATCCAAGCAAAAGCAACGTGAAACCACACGATCAACTTAACTGGAAAATGAGTAGAGAGTGACTTACTTGATTATGACTTTAGACATTACTATATATCTTCATCACGTTCGTGTTCATCAAAAAGTTATTTAGATCTCTCAAATGCTGACTATATCGTCATTAGTAGAGTATTCGGATTCGATTGTGGATTTCCATTGCTTCGATACAAATTGAACCTAAGACAAAAGTTCGCGGCTAGTATTTTCTTGATGATATAAGCTAAAGGAACAACAACTCAAAGACTTGAATTAGAATCGGACAGCAAAAGGAAAACTTCTAGTGCTGTTTTAATTTCGACAAGGAAATTTCAACACTTTTACTAAATAAAATGTTTACTAAAGAGTTCTTCAAAAATATCAAGACCTAATAAATCTCTATCTACGTAAAGATATAATCAAAATCATGAAGAAAAAAACAAACATAAAGTCAAAAGTCGCAGAATCAACGTTATCAGAGGCATACGTTAAATCTTAACCCAAACAGCCACACTCGGGATTCCACGGTGAACCACGAACATCATATAATAACCAGGAGGTGCCACGTAGGAGTTAGTTGGTCCTTCCACGTCAGCTTTATACGCGAAAACAGATAACTGACTCACGCGTCTCACGCGCAATACCAACAACCTCTGGTTCATCGCCGTCGAGTGAGTACTGAACGACGGCGCCACTAGCCGCACCGATACTCCTCCGTCGAACATCCCGAACGCCGGAATCGCGAACGTGACGGCAAAACCCTGACCGTACAACATGTTCCCAGCCAGCTCCACGGTGATGATCGTCGGCCTCACTCGCGCGTACTGCGGATCGAGGTAGCGCGGGAGATAGGCCTCGAGGCTGAGCTCCGTCGGGTACGGTCGCGCCGTGAAATTGTAATTCCGGTGAGGATTACTTCCTCCGACTAAGACTCTGCCGTCGTAAAGAAGAAGAGATGCTGAATGGTACATTCTAGGGGTCCTGGTGGGGGCGAGAATTTCGAATCTCCGGGTCGGGTCAGGCTCGTCGGGTAAATACAAAATCGGGTTGAGAACAGCGTTTGTTGCGTCCTCCCAACCAGCGGTTCCGTTAGCAGCACCGTTAATGATCAAAACGTCACCGGTTGGTAACAGCAACATATCACCCATGACACGTGGCGATGGCATCTGCTCCATGACCCATATCGGATTCGGGTCGGTCACTTTTAATCTCCCGCACGTGCGAGATCCTCCGACGAAGATTTTAGGAATTGTCCTCGCCGCTTTCAAAAACGCTCCCGGGGGAGCACCGCCGCATACCATAACCTCAGCCGCAATCTTCGATCGGTTATTTTCTCCGGTGAGTAAGAGAGGGAGGAGCACGGAGGAGCCGGTGCTTGGGTAATTCCGTTTATCGCCACCGGGAATCACCGGAAACTCCTTAATGATCCTGTGATTGACGAAATCGAACAGAATCGATCTCCGATTAGCGAAGATGAAGAGGTTGCCGTCGGGAAGAAGATGAAGAAACGGATAAAGGTTGTTCTCTTGGTTCGGATCTCTCGTTTCGGCCAAGAAGCTGAGATTGAATACGGATTTTCCCGTATTCTTGGGGTAAAACTCGTAGGAGAAGGATCTTCTGCCGCCGACGATGATAATCCGACCATCGGGAAGAATCTGATTGGTTGAATACCACCGGCGAGAGGAGAGATACGCTCTGTTCTCAACCCAATCACACGAAACGGCACCAACACCGTCGCAGGGTGTGAAAACCCGTACAGTTCTTTCGCCGGCGCCGTAACCACCGGTTTGGATCAAAGAACCGGAGGCGTTTAAAGAACCGGAGGAGCACCACGTGTCGTAACGTAGCGTGAGCGGGCGAAAGGTGTTAGAAGCGACGTCGTACAGGAGAGAATGAGCAGAGCAGTCGAAAACGTTGGCGTTTTGGCAGAGATGAGGAGGGAGAGTGAGATTCGAAGGGCCGTAGTCCGTACGGTCAAAGATGACGACTTTGTTATTGTGTAGAAGCTGCATGTGCATTGCGGATATACCTACACTCGGCTGCAGCAGATCCCACCTCCCGCCGGTGAGTATGGCCAACGGTGAACGTGGGAGGAGCAAATCCGACGTGGAACAGAGGAAGAAGAAGGAGAAACATAACACGACGGCGTTAAGGTTCTTCTTGAACCTTTCTTGTTTCATTGTTCAGCTTCTTGGAATCTGCTTTCTTCCGGTGAAAGAGGTTTAACACGTAAAGCTTCTTTCGGGTAATTATTAGTAATTGTCTTTCTTGAAATCCGTAGGAGAAGAAACATTTATGTGTAATCAAGACTCACAGTGCTCTCAGTACATAACGATCTGGTAGATTTGTATCATATGGGTCAAGATTTTATTTATTGCTTTCGCCAATTTGCATATGAGTGGGTGAATCTGAGATACGTGTTGTTATAGATCACGGACCATCTTTCATAGAGATAACATTTTGGAATTTATATAACAATTTGAGGTATGATCAGTTTCAGAGATCAGTAGTAGTAGTAGTAGCTAGTCCAAAATATAATTTGTTCATTTATGTCTTCTTCGACATATTCTTTTGAAGGGAACATACGCGTCCCGCCATTACTTAGATTCTGACTGCAATGGGGCAGCTCTGTAATTACATATACTGAAGACCAATAAATTTAGTGAAAATCTTGATCTGAAACGACTCCTTAAAAACAAAATCACACTGATATTTGTTTTTCAATAGTTTTGAAGTCTGTATTGAACTATTATTGATAAACTCCAATGTAAGTTTAGCAAAAACAAAAGTAGTTACCTCAAATTGGGTCATTGATAACTTACTAAAAATAATATCAGCTAAAGCCAAAAATAATTGATAATATCCCAAAAAAGAAGGACTAAACAAAGAGATCAAAAATCTATAATTGGGGTTTAGGAGAAATGACCATAGAGATTTAAAATCAATGGTTGTCTAATAATCTCTGCTAATTCTTAATCATCCATTGACTCATCTCTCTCTCTCTAGTCCCTTGTCATTAAAAAGCAATCCGTGATTCATATCTCCAATATTTTAATCCCGGCAAGCCTGATCTGAAACACAGAACCTCCGCTTGAGGTTTTGCCGGGAAAAAATAAATCTCACCGGTTTTAATATCTCAGCATTTTGTAAAAATACCCGAAATGGCAGCAGTGTTTTTGAATCTTGGCGTCTTCTTCTTATCGTTATTAGCTATAGTGGCTCCACAGGTTAAAGCCCACGTTGCTGTCTTTGATAGTTACTGGACGCAACGTCAAAGCGATGCACTGAAACGAACCATGGGGTCTTACGATCCTAATCCACTTAACGTCACCAACCACTTGAACTACCATGTCAATTTGTGAGTTCTTGTCTTTGTTAGGTCATATTTTAACATAACTTTTTAAACAGGTAACCTAATTACCCGACATTGTTCTTATCTCAACAGAGCAGTGGATGCCGCGGAATCATTCAATGATACAAGGAGAGAGCTTACACAGGTGAGAAGTGGTCACAGAAAGCTAAAACGCAGCGGAAAATGCCTAGCTTATAATCCAATAGACAAATGCTGGCGATGCGACCGTAACTGGGCAAATAACCGGAAGAAACTAGCGGATTGTGTGCTCGGATTTGGCCGGAAAACCACAGGAGGGAAAGACGGGCCGATCTACGTCGTCAACGATGCTTCTGACAACGATCTTGTCAACCCTAAACCAGGAACGTTAAGATATGCAGTGACTCGAGACGGACCTCTTTGGATCATATTTGCAAGAAGCATGATTATTAAACTGCAACAAGAGCTGATGATAGCGAGCGACAAAACGATCGATGGAAGAGGAGCTAAGGTTTATATCATGGAAGGTGCTGGATTAACAATGCAATATGTGAATAATGTGATCATACACAGTATTTATGTCAAGCACATTGTTCCTGGGAACGGTGGGTTGATCAGAGACTCTGAGCATCACGTAGGGCTTAGGACAAAAAGTGATGGTGATGGAATCAGCTTGTTTGGAGCAACAAATATTTGGATCGATCATGTCTCAATGACAAGATGCGCAGATGGTATGATCGATGCAATTGACGGCTCCACTGCCGTAACTATCTCTAACAGTCATTTCACCGACCACCAAGAGGTAAAAAACAATTACTCTGTTTTTGGTTTTTGCTCATGCAAACACAAATACCATGTGAGGTTGCGTGTGGTCGAAACAATCAAGATCACTAGATACTATAGAATATAAATGAGCAAGTTTTTCTGAATCTTTTTTGTTTGAATTTTACGAGAGAACAGGTGATGCTGTTTGGGGCGAGAGACGAACACGTGATAGACAAGAAAATGCAGATAACGGTTGCGTTTAACCACTTTGGAAAGAGACTGGAACAGAGAATGCCCCGTTGCAGATACGGAACGATCCATGTGGTGAACAATGACTACACACATTGGGAAATGTATGCGATTGGTGGAAACATGAACCCTACAATCATTAGTCAAGGCAACCGCTTCATTGCTCCTCCTAGCGAACAAGCCAAACAGATTACGAAGAGAGAGTACACGCCATTAGCTGAATGGAAATCCTGGAACTGGCAATCAGAAGGAGATTACTTTCTCAACGGAGCTTATTTTGTTCAATCCGGAAAAGCAAATGCGTGGAGCCCTAAACCGCAAAACCCGATCCCGAACAAGTTTGCCATTCGACCTAAACCGGGAACGATGGTCAGGAAACTTACCATGGAAGCAGGAGCACTTGGCTGCAGACAGGGTCAAGCATGCTGATTACAATACCATTTTTCCCCCTTCCAACAAGCAAACAAAGCATTTGCTCTGTTTTTGCTTGTTGATCAAGGAAAACTATGAATTGTGTTTTTTTAAGAATGGGGTTTTGTAACCAAGACTGCATATTTAATGCGCAGTTTCGGATTATTATTCATGATAGGATCCAGGTTCCTTTTTCTGCGGAAAAATGAGAAAAGCAAAATACCTTATCTACAGTTTCATTAGCTATTTTTGTCTTGTTTCATGAATTATTGCAAAGATTACAGTAATAAAATTTATTGAATAGAGATCAAACTCGGGAAATAACAGACAGGAAATCGGATGGATGTATCCCACAAAGCTTCAGAAATCCCTTGAGAAACCGCATCCTCTGATTTGGTGTCGGGGTCAAATGTCAACATTGTTCGACGATACACATGATCAGTAAACAACAACTTCTTCTTCTTCTTCTTCTTCTTCTTCTTCTCTCCATCCAAAAGTGCTAGTGGACGAAACACGCTTCCTATGGAGACATCATAGAGAATTTGACATATATACAAATCAATGGAATAAATTACATGCACGAATCTTCACTTGCAGTGTACCATACTTGCTTGATATCTAAAAGTAATTTAGGGAATGATGGATCTTGTGACCGCTATGTTTTAAACTTTTTATTGTTTTTGCTTGAATAAATATTGAAGACAGTTAATCAAAACTTCTTCTTGTTTGTTTTCTTCAATTCTTAAAGTTGTGACAAATTTCGATGGGGAATAGTGAAATTTTTTTTTTGTTGTCTATTGTCTAACTTCTAAATAAAATAATTTGTTTTGACTACGTTTTGTATGTCTTCTAGTACGTAATTCCCAAAAACAAACAGAATCACTAATCGGGCCCTTTATGTAACTGGGCTTAGCATAAGGCCTTTATAATAAAAAGAAAACTAGAAGAAAAAAGGGAAATTCTAGAGTTGAAAAAAAGGAAAAAAGAAAAAGGAAATTTGGAGAAAAAAGGAAATTAGGCGTTTATAAAAAGAAGGAAGCATACGAGAGAGATGCTTCACTTTAATTTGTTCGTCTCTTCCGCATCAAAGTTTTTCTTTTTCTTTACAAGAACCAAATTCTCTACCGAGAGAGAAGATGGTGTGAATTTGGCCGGTGAAGCATAACGGTGGAGTAAATTGAGGAGGCGGAGGATCTGGCGGCCAGGCAAAGGTCTTTTCTTCCCCTGTCCGGATACAGAGCCACCGATCTCTCTAGCCATAACGTTAAGCTTCGCTGCTTCACCTTGGATTCTCAATGTACGATTTCTTCCAATTATCTTGATTACTTAGGGTTTCAAAATTCTACTTTTTTGGTTTTTGGTTTATGTTTTCGTTTTCGTTATGAAGCGGTTTTGAAGTTTGAAAACCATACGAATCGCGATTATGCGTTTCGATTACAAGTGTTTTTTTTTGTCTTGTTTGTGGTTTTGATTTTGTTTTGTAACGCTTGGGATAAGCTGATAAAGCGTGATATTGTTGCGATCGGTTGTGGTTTGATGCTTGTGTTTCCGTTTTTGTTTTTCCTTTGTTTTGTTTTCCTTCCAAAACCCAAGAGAGATCACAGGCAGACACTCAACTAATGATGTTCTGTCCGATTCTCTTTTGGGGACATTGTCCCGTTGAGTTTGGACCCATGGCTTAGTCTTTAGACCAGAGACTGAAAACCAATCCTTTACCCACGGCTTAACATAAGTATTCTGACAAAATACTTTGGATTGGCTTCAGTTTACTTGCTCAAAGTTCTATATACCCACGGCTTAGAAAAATCTCACCAGTCTTTAGACAGAGACTTGAGTGAGATTCAGAAAAACCAATCCTTTTTACCCACGGCTTAAAAAAGTTTTTAGACAAAAAGATTGGATTGGTTTTTCTTTGATGGAAGGAAAAAAGTACCCACGGCTTAGAAGATTAGTCTCTAAGACTGATTCTGGGATTTAAAAAAATTGATCCTTTAGACATGGATCATCTTGGCTTTGTGCTAAGGAAAAGGTACCCACGGCTTTGTCCCACGGCTTGCAAACATTGGTCTTCAGACATAGACTTGATGTGATTCAAAACTGATCTTTTAGACATGGATCTTCTTGGCTTTGTGCTAAGGAAAAGGTACCCACGGCTTTGTCCCACGGCTTGCAAACATTGGTCTTTAGACAGAGACTTGATGTGATTCAAAACAGATCCTTTAGACATGGATCTTCTTGGCTTTGTGCTAAGGAAAAGGTACCCACGGCTTTGTCCCACGGCTTGCAAACATTGGTCTTCAGACATAGACTTGATGTGATTCAAAACTGATCTTAGACATGGATCTTCTTGGCTATGTGCTAAGGAAAAGGTACCCACGGCTTAAAAATATTGGTCTTTAAACAGAGACTTGATGAGATTTAAAACTGATCTTAGACATAAATTGTCTTGGCTTTGTGCTAAGGAATAGGTACCAAACGGCTTAAAAACATTGGTCTTTAGACAGAGACTTGATGAGATTTAAAACTGGTCATTTAGACATAGATTGTCTTGGCTTTGTGCTAAGGACCTATGGCTTTGTCCCGTGGCTTAAAAAAATTGGTCTTTAGACAGAGACTTGGTGAGATTTAAAACTGATCCTTTAGACATATATTGCTTGGCTTTGTGCTAAGGTAAAGGTACCCACGGATTTGTTCCACGGCTTAAAAGCATTGGTCTTTAAACAGAGACTTGATGTGATTCAAAACTGATCTTTTAGACATGTCTTGGCTTTGTGCTAAGGAAAAGGTACCAAATATAGACGTTTAGTTGAATTAAAGCGTAATATTTGGTTTGCTTAGTTATTCTGCTTAGATTCTTAATAAATACTAAAAATTTTTCCACAGGGCATGTGCTCTTACGTACTCTGGAGAAGATTTTAAGTGTAGCAGACTTCTATAACAATCACAGGTATGTGTTCTTCCACACTTTTTTTTAATAATCAGTTACATAAAAAAATTCTTTACATGTTTAAGTTATAGGATATACTATACATGAATTAAGAACTAACTTTGATATGTATTTGCTATAATTCTAGAATTATATATTGATTGATTATATTACGTATGGAGATCACTAAGTTAAAGAAGAAACATATATGTATTGGTGTGATAATAAAAGGCTTGAGCCATTTCTATGTAAAAATATATTTAGCCAAATTAGCAAAAAGGTGGAATATGTATTTTCGTCAGTATTGTTGATATGCTAAGGAATTTAACCAACGGGCACAATCTAGTCACGTAATATATAATATCCCATAGCACACATTATGTGTTTACAATGTCATCTAAAACCTATTCTTGATTAGAAATGATTTATTCTCTGGTTTGGTGATTGTATGTTTCATATATGTCTCCTAATGTCATCTAAAACCTTTTCTTGATTAGAAATGATGGATTCTCTGTTTTGGTGTTTGTATGTTTCATATGTCTCTCGATGCAATCTAAACCTCTCTTGATTTGAAATTATTGTTTCTCTGTTTAGTGATTGTATGTTTCATATGTCTCTCAATGTAACCTTAAACCTTTTCTTGAGTAGAAATGATTGCTTCTGTCTTGGTGATTTTATGTTCCATATATGCTCTTAATGTCATCTCAAAAACCTTTTTTGATTTATAAATGATTGATTCTTTGTTTTGGTGATTGTATGTTTCATATAAGTCTCTCAATGTCATCTAAATCTTGCTTGTTTAGATATTATTAAATTCTCTGCTTTGATGATTGTATGTTTCATATGTCTATTATTGTATCAAATCAACATATCCAAGAGTCTCCCTTATATATGGGGATACAGGTTTGTTAAACTTAATAAGAGATCCTTCTTGCAGAGCTCTACCTAAACCATTTTCAGTACTCTACCTAAACCATTATCTTGTATGTTCCGCTCTTATAGAATGTTTACTGTTGTGTGTTGTGGTGATCATTTTAAACAAACAAAATAAAATGCTTGTAATACTATGGTTATATTTCATTGTTGTTCGCATGTATATAATCTTCCATCATGCATCTTGTTTGCATCCTTGTTCAATCGTTGCTATGTTAGATTCTATATATGTGTGAGTACTGTATAATAATACCTTGGTTGACTTATAATCTATATGTTTAGGTATTAGCGTATGTCTCTTAGTGTTACAAAGTTGATGAAACTTAGATACATTGATTCCGTCAGTACCATTTTATTTTTCTGATGCAAATATCTTAATTTATCTTTGCTTTAATTTATTGTTTGATAAACCCCTGCATGTGATTGATACCAAATTCAAGAAGCTGGTAGTATTTATAACTTCTGGTGTAATGGTTCTCTGATCTCTGCTATTTAAAATTGATTCTCTGTTTCGATTCTAGGCGGTTTGAGAATTGCTTTTAGCAAAAATATTGGTATCGAGTTCTATGAGTTTGTCAGGAAACAGAAGCTGCGTAAGCCTCTGTTTTGGTGCAATTCCTCAACATATTTTTTTCTTACATTCGTCTCTCACAACTCGCTTTTTACAATTTACATTCACTCAAAGTGCTCTTAAAACAAGTTCAAATTCTAGAAAAAACTTTTAAACTAAGTGTTATTTTGATTGGTCTTGAATCTTGGCTGATCATGGCCATTCAGTATTTTCTATTCTCACAAGGAAAGTCTTGAAATATCATTTTCTCGAGGGACTTAACATTTGCTTTTTCCATCATCAACTGTTTCTCTGTACAAATTTGCAACTCTTCAATAGTATAAGGTTGTGGTCTTGTGTAGCCAAAATTGCTTTTGCTTTCTTTTGTTTCTAGTATCTCTAAAAAAACATATTTCAACACTTTCCTTTTCTTTAATCTAAAATCTCAACAAGATACACATTTTGTAAATACAATTCACAAGTAGAAAACTTTACACTTGTAACTATGGGGACTGTTTATAAATTGTTAAGAAACTGAAGGTGTAGAAAACGAATTAACGAAAAGTCATCACTTTTCTTTGTCTCGTCGTCGTCTCTCGAGACTCTCCGTCTCTGAGAGTGTAAAAGAAGCACCTTTTTTCTCCTACTTCGTAATTCGCAGAGAAGAGAAGACACTAACCTGAGAGAGAGGGAGACAAACAAAAAGCGATGTCGCAACTCTTATTTTCTCCTCCAGCGGCGGTCAGCTCCAATCTTCGCTTTCTCTCTTCGTCTTCAGTACTCGTCGCCGGCGGTTTTGGAGTGAAACGGCATGGGTTCGTCTTGAAACCGACGAAGAAGACGGTGAAGCTCTCGGTTAAGTCCCGCCAGACGGATTACTTCGAGAAGCAGAGGTTCGGCGACTCTTCTTCTTCGCCTTCATACTCCTCGCAAAATGGTGAGTCATCTCAGTTTTGGTTACTTTAGGGTTTTAGCTTTGTTAAAATAGGAAATTTGAAGCTTTAAATCAAAAGGGTACTCTTAGTTACGAGTAATTTGCTAGCTTGGAAGCTTGAAATCCGAAAAGAGAAGACTTTATATATAGAGATGGGAGCTCGTGTGTGAAACTCCTCAGTAGTAGATGTTTACTTCTGTTCTTTGTTTCGAATTGATAGCTGAAGGATCGCCTGCTAGATTTTATGTGGGTCATTCGATATACAAAGGGAAAGCTGCGTTAACAGTAGAGCCGAGAGCACCAGAGTTTGTGGCTTTAGACGTAAGTCTCCATCCCAAAGATCAAAGAGCCTCTAATTGTATGGCTATGGTTTTGACTGTTGATTTCCCATCTGATTTCTGTTTCTCTTTTGATAGTCTGGAGCTTTCAAGCTGTCAAAAGATGGTTTTCTACTGCTCCAGTTTGCTCCTTCAGCTGGTGTACGACAATACGATTGGAGCAAGAAACAGGTGCGGTTGGTTTTATCTCTTAACTTCTTCAGATGATCCATTTAGCTGTATTCCTTGAACTTTGTTAAGACCATCTCACTAGGTTTGGTGTTTTAAGGCAGTTTTTTTCTATTATGCATTTGGTAAAGCTTCATGTCAATATGTTGCAGGTGTTCTCATTGTCTGTTACAGAAATCGGAACTCTGGTTAGCTTAGGCCCGAAAGAATCATGTGAATTCTTCCATGATCCATTCAAGGGTAAAAGGTAAACGCCATTACATTTATGATAGTAGTTGCATTCTTGTTTGCTATGTTCGTGATCGGTGTGTTTTGTTGTATGTAGTGATGAAGGAAAAGTGAGGAAAGTGTTGAAAGTTGAGCCTCTCCCAGATGGCTCTGGTCACTTCTTCAACCTAAGTAAGTCGATAGAATCTTCTTTTTGTTTCTTGTCCATGTTTAAATTTGGTCTCTAACAATTTTCGAGCATCTTCTGTGTATCAGGTGTACAAAACAAGCTTTTGAATGTGGATGATAACATTTATATACCAATCACTAGAGCAGAGTTTGCTGTTCTTATCTCTGCTTTCAATGTAAGATCATAAAATCTCATTTTCACATTACCTGGGTGCATTGTTAAAAACCATCCTAACTAAACTCTTTTTTTTTTGTTTTACTTCCTGTATCGCAAGTTTGTCTTGCCTTACCTTATAGGCTGGCATGCATTTGCAAACTCCATCAAACCAGAAGACTCAAACCGGATGAACAATGCGTCGCCTAACTATGGAGGAGACTATGAATGGAATAGATAATGAATCTTAGGGATACATCAGAGATTATCCTTTTTCTTTTGTTTGCTGATAGGGTTGATCTCTGTTTGTAGAATTGTAGGTAGCAGAAGAGACTAAACGCAGTATATTTTTCCCAGTCCTTTTGAGTTTTGACCAAAAACATGGAAGCGCAAAGCCAGATCTTTTATGTTACATGGGTTGTATCTCAAAACAATAGTCAACTGTCCTTATTCTAGCTGTTTTTGATATGAGAGAACGTCAAAATAATTTGCATTGCGAGTGATCCAAATGCTCAGGGCCTCAGGCTTTGAGAAGAGGCTTGAAGGTGAATTGGTTTGTCTAGAGAAATTGGAGAAGCCAAGACGACCAAAGCACAAGGCTGTTTAGTAACATCACTCTACTTATTCGGTTTAGGGCATGGATTTTTGTCCGGTTATCAATGGTTTATTAGTCACTCTCATCCTACAAGGCTACAATACATGATAATAAGAAAAATGTAAATAATATTTTTCTGCATGTCAATTCATCCGAAGAAGTACATTAAAATTTTACATTTATCCAACATGTTAATTAACTATATTCTTCTCTCTTCTGTATAAATAAATATCTCAATGTTCAGGTTTAAGTATAGATAATGCCCGGTTAATGGGTATAGTTCGCCCTAACGATTAAATCCGGTTAGGAGCAACTCGCTCGCTCGGTCGTCCAAAGGGCAAAGCAAATCCAACTTTACAGATATGTCAGAGGAGCCAAGTTTCTAGAAGATCATTTCATCACTGCGTTCCTTATACATTCTTCCCAATTCATTCTTCTTTTTCCCCCATTTCTCTCATCGCACGGTGAAATCGAGAAATCGGCGATCTTCGATTCGATCGGAAACTTCTCTGATCACCGGCGGTCAACGCCACGAACACAGATGTTTGCTTGACGACCTCTTCTCGCCGCGATCTTTGCCCCTCCTCGGGCTTTTTACTCAACAACGAGATCTATTTCCACGGTACCCTTTTCATCTGATCTTCTCTCCTCGATGTTTCTTAGCTGGATCCGTTGATTTTACTTTCATTTGAGCTGTTTCTTATCATTTTGTTTTGGATATTTTGGTGAAAATGCGATCTTGAGCTGTTTCTGGGCTTAAGTCTTAGTTTTAAATAGAAGTTTCTTCCATATATTGCAGTTGATGTTTGCTTCTAGGCTAGTTAGCTTTTAGAGGTCGTGGACTTCTTAGGGAGATTCGAATCTAGTACATATATAGCAATTTTAGCATACCTGAACCTGTGATTAGTTTATATGATTGTAATTCCAAGTTTAGCAGAGGTTTTCCGACCTAAGAATGATGAATAATTGGGTTTTATCTCTTATTAGACTAAAGGAGGATGTCGACTCCAGCAAGGAAAAGGTTGATGAGGGACTTCAAGAGGTTGCAGCAAGACCCACCTGCGGGTATTAGTGGTGCTCCACAAGACAACAACATTATGCTCTGGAATGCTGTCATATTTGGGTAATGGAACAAGGATCTTAGATACTGACTAAATAAATATGCTGAAACATTGTCATTTCTGGACTTATGTAGACTCTTTTGTTTCTAAATTTGCAGGCCTGATGACACACCTTGGGATGGAGGTAAGGTTATGTCATATTATTTGCAATTTTGGGAACGTGAGAGTGGTGTTCTTATGTCTCTTTCTTGATACTGGCAGGTACTTTCAAACTCTCATTGCAGTTCTCTGAAGATTATCCAAATAAACCACCTACAGTTCGGTTTGTGTCACGGATGTTCCATCCAAATAGTAAGTCATTGAGTTACAACCATTTCCTCTTCATCTGGTTAAATGTTGATGTTTACCTTTTGGCTCCTTTTAACCTTGTCGTTCTTTATCTGTTGTGCAGTTTATGCAGATGGTAGTATTTGCTTGGACATTCTACAAAACCAGTGGAGTCCAATATATGATGTTGCTGCTATACTGACCTCCATCCAAGTAAATTCATAATTCCATACCAAAATCTCCATATTCCCTTCGTCTTTTTTTGTGCTACCTTAATATATCTCAATGCCTTAAATCTCGAAATTACACTCTTCCTCTTTAATCTGTTTTTCCTTTTGTTATTGCAGTCCTTGCTCTGCGACCCTAATCCGAATTCTCCTGCAAACTCGGAAGCTGCTAGGATGTACAGCGAAAGCAAGCGTGAGTACAACAGAAGAGTTCGTGATGTTGTTGAGCAAAGCTGGACTGCTGACTAGTAGTAGTTAGTTGTAAGCTGTGTAGCTCTCTCCTTTCCCAGTTTCTCTCAATATCACCATTCAGCAACAGCTTTCTTCTCTTTTGATTCATGTCTTGTGTTTCCAAAACACTTTTTTAAGTTATTCGATGCTTTGATGGTTGGTTCTATGTAACCCAACATCCTTAAAAAAACAACTTTGTACCAAACCAACTAAATTAATCGCCTTTGTGTATATATGTATGATGTATCACGATTTTCTTGCTAGGTACCAGAAACAACTTTGTAGCCAAATTCAAAAATGTTGTGATATGAAATATTTAAGGTTTTTGGTCTTCTCTTTTTATTCCACCTTTACAATTGTTCTGCTTAATTTGTGACGATAATCCGATTTTTACCACAGAATCTTATGCTTGACATGAGACTGGTATGTAACTATATGTAACTAGAAGTCTTAGTACTTTAGCACTTACAAATTTACATTGCTTCTGTTTGAGTTGTTACAAAGTTTCGTCTCATTACAGAATTCAGTATGTTTGTTTTGAACATTCAATTGAATTATAGCTTTTGAAGCTCTGCCTCTCTTTCGAGGAGAATTACATTCATCTTCTTATGTGGGTATTGAATGTGTCACTGAACTGTTTCTCTACTTTCTTCAATGATGATGATTTTATATTTCTCTTTTACATCTATGAACCACCAAGCCCAAGGTTCCCACTGCTTGTCCACCCTTGTTGCACTTGAATTGTGTATTGCAGATTCCATACAACATCCTCTATTGATGGTCGCTTACCCTGATCTTCACAAAGACAGTTAATTGCAAACTCAACTGTGGTTCTCAGTGACTCATATGCATATGTTCCTCTCACACACGGATCTGCCAAGCTACGCAACACCGATGGTTCATCTCTCAAACCATTCTCCAGCTGAAGCTTCAAACTTCCTAACTCTGAAGATGCAGCCGCCAGTACTTTGCCTGTGATGATCTGAAGTAGTATCACTCCAAACTGGTACACATCTTCTTTCTCTCCATCTTCACTGCTAGGGCTCTCTGCTCCAACCTGTAAATCATACAAATGGTTATATTTTTCATGAGATAAAATCAAAGTAAGCTAAGTCTTGGTTATCTCATGTTTGCATAATTATACCTTGGATGGTAAAGGAATAGTATAACCACTGAGTTTTACAGTGAGTGTTTCATCAAGTAAAATATTCTCTATATCCAGATTGTTCCCAAATATTCCTGGTGCCACTCCTGTGTGCAAGAACTGTATTCCTCGAGCGACTCCAATCGCTATAGACATTCTCTGAGGCCATTTAAACACCTCTTTCTTTCTCCAATCTGCCAAAATAATTTTTAACTATTAGTTTTCGATCAAAAATCAAATCTCTTCAAATCGAATATGTTTTTCAGGTAGTACCGGTGAGGTAATCCCTCAAAGACCCGTTAGAGATGTATTCTTGGACAATAAAAATGGTGCTTCCGGCGTATGGATGATGATCTTGATAAGTACCAATGCAGTGCCCAAGAACACTGACCAAATGCATATGCCTGAGCTTTGATAAAACTTCCATTTGTTGAGCCAAATTTTGTGTTGAACTCTTCTGTTTCAGCTTAATACACCTTACTGTCACGGCTATGCCTTCTCTAAGGCAACCTTTGTACAGCTGTTTGAATTTAGATATATTGATTAATTAGAGACTCAGATGAAGTTTAAATCATGTCTTATTTACATTTTCATTTACCTGTTCTCCACAGAGATTCGCTGCATCAAAATTGTCGGTTGCTTCTTCCAGTTCCTCCAAAGAGAAAACTCGGTACGGTGATAGTCCAATCACCGCGGATCGCATGGTTTGTGGTACTCGTCCTACATTTGAAACACTCAAACTAGTTAGGTTAACGGGTGTGAAAACTTGATACAAGATTTTAAAGTAATAGCGGTTCATTACTTAGATCTGGTACTGTCTTTGATGTGGTGGACCTGGTGTTGGTGCTGCAAACAGAGACCTTGTCGACATTGTTTGGTTCAAAAGGATCTTCCTTTGATCTTGATTTTCTCATCCTAACGAGAACCAAGCCAGCCAAAACTGCTGAAACGAGGATCACACCAACGACAATGCCAATCACCAATCCAAGTTCGATTCCTGTATCTTCTTCTTTCTTTTCTTTATCCTTAGTGTCAGACTTCACAGCAGCAACTGCTTGCTTTGCTTCGTTTTCACAGAAAGTAACTGGACGCTGATATTTTGCAGAAGGTGAACCATTTACAGACAAGCAATTGAATGTGAAGAGCACTGTCTGGTTATGGAAATTCTTTGAAGATAAGCAAGATGGAAGCTTCCCAGTCAGAAGATTCCGAGAAACATCTAAAATTCCAAGCTTGGAGCTGCATAACGATGAATTTGGAAGTGATCCACTCAACAAGTTTTGTGACAAACTTAGATTCTGAAGCGAAGGAAGCGAAAACAGGAATCTTGGGATTGAACCAACGAACTTGTTGGAGGAAAGATCCAAGGTTTGAAGCTTATTCAGCTTCTTGATCTGGTCTGGAATCTTAGATCCAAAAGAGTTGTTCCTTAATGAAACAGTGATCAAATTACTTGCTAGCGAAGGAACAGCGTCAGGACCAAGTTTATTACCGCCCAAATTCAGCTCTTTAAGATTCGACAATCCTCTGAGATCAGGAACACTTCCATTGAACATATTGTTGGCTAGAACAAGACTTCTCAGATTCTTCAACGACGAGATCTCTTTGGGAATTTTCCCAGAGATAAAATTGGAACTGAGATTCAGGGATTGAAGAGACGAAGATAACCTGATGATCTTTGAAGGGAGAGGACCAGAGATGCCGAGAGAGACAAGAGACAAGGTCTTTAAGTTTGAGAGTTTTGTAAGAACAGTGAAGAGTGAGTCACTGGAGAAACTTCCGGGGAGCTTAAGGGTTCTGTTTCCTGTGACGGTTAATTCGGTTACGTGACCGTTGAAACAGAGGATTTTGAGAGAAGGAGAAGAAGGAAGGTAGCAGAAATTGGTCAAGTTGCTCCATGATCGAAGAACAGGTGGATACTGTAAATGCTTTTGGATTTCTAATAGAGTTCTTGATTCACTTGATATAAGCTGTGATTCTGAGAGTGATGGCAGAAGAAGAAGAAGAAGAAGAAGAAGGACAAGTGAGGTGATGAGAGTAAAGGCTTGGCTATTAGAAGAACTCTGCATTTTCTTCTCAGGAAAGAAAGAAAGAAAGAAAGAAGTGACTAGAGGAACAGAGATTAGTGTGCTTTGATTAGTAGTAGTAATAAAGAGTTGTTTTGTACATAAATTCTTGAGATCTTTCTGGATCAGAGGCAGATTTTTTCTTGGGAAAATAGTAAAGAAAATTATAAAACTAAAACAATGTTTTGGGACAGAGCAAGAAAGAAAAACAAGTTTCTAGTGGAGAGAAGAAGACAATAAATACAAAAATTTTGGTTTAATTATTGTGTTTAGTGTTCATCTTTTGTTGATTGTTCACATTGGACAGACTGTTTTACTGCTTCGAAGAAAGTGATTTATATAAAAAAGAAACAAAAATGAATTAGAGATCCTTAAAATACGTAAAATCCACATGAAATATCTGACTAATTTATCTACTTTTTCTGATCAAAAATTTCCACAATTAGATTTATTTATTTATATATATATATATATATTTCAACTCGTTATAATAACTAATTTTCTCTGTAATGGTCAGACCTTTTATTTATTAGTATAACATGCATTCATTGGATACATAATAGGTGCATAGACATGCACCCACATATACAATACATACATACAAACATGTTTGACGAATAAATGTTTCTAGTCGTACTAACTTCTCTCGATCTCTTCCCGAATGTTAAATTCTTCAATCCTCTACAAATTTTACAGAAAAAAAAAAAAGAGTTAAAAAATGAAGCTCAATTTTGTAGTAACCAATACATTATTAATGGAGAAACGTTTCTTTGTAATAAATTAGCGATGGCAGTAGTAAAAAGTCAACCGTATTTTACAGTTGACAACCTAAAGTGCCACGGCCGCGCGGGGTTGAAGCAGCCACGTGCTAACTAACTACTACCTCTCTCTTCAACGTGAATGATCAGATCACGCCGATCGTTACCAAAGTCTACCGTGCCAATTTTACTCAACATATATAACTATACATCATATAAAAAGAAGATTTTACATGTCCTAAACCCAATTTTTTTTTATTTTTTTTTTCATTTTACCACCTTATTTGTTTTATCGAAACCTAACACATACGATGATCGATCATCTTATATTCTTTATAGACTAATTAATAATATACGTACATCCTATCTTTTCTAATTTTTCATGGGCTTCAATCAATCAAAACTAAGTAATACTACTAATAACCAGTAATTAATATATATATATATTTCGTAATCATGGCGCTATTATTGATTATAACTATAGAGAGATGTTTAGTTATTTGTCGGTGAGTAAGCTTAAGAAAACTGGCTGTCGTCGTTTTGTTTTACGTACGTGTTTTCATTAATTAGAAAGTGTTAAGAGATTCTAACAAATGTTCCGCCGTGTTTCTTTTTGGTGTGCGATGAACTGTCCATTATACTATACTTAACTCTCTTTTTCTTCTTTTATATTCTTGCTTTATATACAACTCTTATTCTTCTTCTTAAACGTGGCCTGAACTTGCGATCCTAATCAAAAGAAGTTCGGTTATAATTAACCAGTATAGTAACAACCAAATTGTTTGCTTATATAGAAACCTAAGACCATCATCATTCTTAATGCAAGGATCTTAGAAAGTATTTTAACCTAAAATTTGCAAATGAAATAGCAAAATCTTCTAACATGCATTAAGGATGCCCTAACTCGAAATAGCAAATTATCATCCCAAGAAAAAGGAAACCGTTCAAAGTAAGTTAAAATTTGTTGTAGAAAAAAGTTTGAAGTTCAAAATCCAAAGATTTTTAAAAAATATCAGAATTTGCACTCAAAATCATAGAAAAAAAAAAGCTGATGATGAGACTCAAAACCAATATTTTCTCACAGTTTCCAAGTAGTCATGATTGAAAAAAGTGGGAAAGGGGTGGATAAAATGTGAGTTGAGTTAGCAGGCACATCACATGCATATGCCTTTGTAATAAGCGACACTGCCAAAGTACATCAATTAATACTATTAGTGTACACTATGTATTATATATTTTTTGTTCTTGGTAAATCATTTTCAAATAACATACTACTAAGTAATATTAGGTGTCTATCTTTGGGCTTATAGGCTATTTAAAGTGTAAATCCCAATATGTACCCAATTTAGACATTTTAGGCCCAAGACAATGCATGCAATCTTTAGGTCCACATATACTTACTTCTTTCAGATTGAATCATCAAACATTTTCAACACTTGTTAAAAGTCTCAATTTAATGGAGTATCGTATCCTAGAAGAATAAAGCAGCTTGATTCAAGCTCTCCTTTGTTTTGTCATCATGGACTATATTTTTTTGTTTTGTTTTTCCAACTAGGAATTGAAATACCATACTCAAACATCTATAAAAAGTTAAAAAAAAACCACCACTTGTACAGTTGTACTAAAAGATATGAAACAATATATAATCACATTTAAAATCTGTTTGTTCTTGTGTGATTCGTTTTTGTAACGGGCAAATGAAAATTTATCTAGATAATACAATATTATCAAGACTCAATAGCTGGTTACGACTTAAATTATTGATTTTAAAGTACAAAGACGTTTCGAACATTTGGATTTAGCGGACTAACCACTTGGATTATGACACCCTTTATTGTCCATTTTTCTTCAAAAGTTATCATCACTTCTTTATCATCAACGTTATGATCCAAATTAAAAAAAGTGAGGGTATTTATGTAAAATCGACTCTAATTGACTCCTTGAATTGGGCCCAGAAAAGGCCTAGTTTTAAGACTTTGCCAACACATCATTCCAAAACGACGTCATTTTCTTTGAACCGAAATTAATTATGGCCATTCCTTTATTGTTCCTAATTGTATAATTAAATTTAATGAACTCTCTCTCTCTCTCACTCATCGTCTTGTTTCGCTATCAGTGGAACCGTTGGGGGAAGGAGTCTAATAGTATTATTTTCACTGTCTGTCTGTGAGAGAGAGAGCTGATCGATCCTGTTGTTGTAGCGACTTTAAAGGATAACATTCGAAGAACAGCTCTGTGTTAAAAAGGTTTGGTTACTGATCCATCGTTTTAGCTTACATTCAATTCTTCTGAGGTTGACGTTTGTTTTTTTCTTTTTCTTTTTCAACACCATTTTGCAAAAGAAAAAAATTTGTCTTGCTTTTGATTTGCTCTACCCAGATCTGATTAATGATCTGATTAATTCGCTCTTGCTCATTATCTTTGATCTCTGATTGCTAATTTCTCTCTTTTTTTTTTTTTTTTTTTTTTGTAACACTTCACTACCTCTGAATTTGTTGGAAAGGTTTGATTTTTATTTTGGTTATTTGCTCAATTGGAAAATTTACACAGCTCTCTGCAACTCATTATTTTAGGTTTCAGTTTCTATTTTATCTGGATCTTCATGATTATGTTATGTTGTCTTCAAGATCTCTGCTTTAATTTATTTTTTCACTGATTCACTGAACCAATGGCTTTAGCTGAGATTGTGTGTGCTACTGTGTGTTTCTAGGTGTTATATCTGAATAGTTTTGCTGGTTTTCTGCTTTTGGGTGTTGGGAATTACAACTTGTTAAATGCTACACAATGTTCAGTGTCTATGGTGCTGAGTTAAACTTGAAATTTACAGACTTTAGCTTGTTTCTTTGCTTGTGTTGTGAAATTTCAGAGATTAGCATGTTCTTTTTGCTTGTGAAATTCACAGACTTGGCTTGGTTCTTCTACAGGTATCTACATTTTAGCAGCTTACTATTTTCAGACCCCATTTTGCTCTGTTAAGGATGGGGAAGACTCCTGGTAAATGGATCAAGACTTTGCTTCTCGGGAAGAAGTCCCCCAAGTCGAATTTGGAAAATCGAAGCGAGAAACTGGTAAAGAATATTGGATTTTTTCTAGTTTTTTTTTCTCCATTGAAACATATGTGGATACTTCTAAACCGTAATGTGTTGTTTGTATGTACAAACTACAAAGAGATCTGCTAAGAAAGAAGAGCTGGTGGTATCGGTGACAGAAGATTTTTCAAACTTAACGGTTGATCCTCCAGTGGTTTCATCACAACCAGTTCCTGCTTCTACTGCTCAAAATGTGGTTTCTCCAGAAAATGACAATGAGCCGAAGGATAATCTTGAGTCAAGAAATGACTTGGGAGAACTCGAGCTTGAACAAGCTGCAACTAAGGTTCAAGCTGCTTTCAGAGCTCATCAGGTACTTATTCTTTGTTGTTATAAAGACAAATCTACGTGAAACATATAAGATTCTGGTAATGATGTTTTGGTTCTTCTACCGAAGGCGCGTAGAGCATTTCGAACCCTTAAAGGTATCATCAGGCTGCAGGCAGTTATCCGTGGTCACCTGGTCAGAAGACAAGCCATTGCAACATATTCGTGTATATGGGGAATTGTGAAGTTTCAGGCTCTTGTTCGTGGCCGGAAAGCTAGATCTTCAGATAATGGGATTCAATCTCAGAGAACACATATGGTAGAATCTCTTTATCACGCCTTGGTTATATAGTTGGCTGATTTTGTTGGCATGTAATGTTTTTAATTAAGCTGTAATTTTCTTTCTTCTTTTAGGAAGCCGGTGATTCAGAAGCTTTCCAATCGAGCACTTATAGTTGGATGGACAATCCCCCAAAGTTCGTCCTTGTTAATAAGGTATTATTTAATTTATGTTTCATGGTACTTGGTGGAATAATAAGTTCCATAACTCCTGCTCGATAAACCTGTATTTACTAATCCTACAACACTACGTTTGTTATTTGTTACTCTGGCTTTTCAGCTTCTAGCTTCTTCACCAACTGCATTGCCTCTGAAGATCCAATATGGTCCTGAGGAACCTAACTCAGCCAAGGTTTGGCTTTTACGCTGGACACAATTGCAAGTTTGGTCTTCTGGCTCACGAGTAGCTAGGGTTGAGATTCCAAAACCTCAGTCAAAGAAGCGAAATTATCAAGCAGTGGTTGAAGCAGATAAGGCAAGGCCAAAGCGAGTTATCAAGAAACCATCTGGTCCAAATAGTGGAACTGGCTCCAGCCGTTCTACAGCTGAAACTGATAAACCTAAACGAAATGTGAGGAAGGCCTCCACGCTTAGTAAAGAGGCCCTGAGAACTGAGAGTGACAAAGCTAAGCCCCATTCGAGAAAAAGCAGAAGCGCCTCAAAAGAGGGGTCTCCTTTGGAAATTAAAGATGAGAAGCCCAGTCCTAGTCTCAAAAGGTCTTCTCTTTCGAAGGGGTCAAAGAAAGCCACCCTTAGATCTACTGAGAAGAAGAAGAAAGATACTGCTGATTCTGTTCAGATAGAGCATGAAGAGAAAGTTTCAGGGAAGGTTCTTGAAGGAGGAGACCATATTGAGTCGGCTGAAACAGAGAAAAGTACTCTAGATTCTGTGCAGATAGAGCATGAAGGGAAGGTTGTTGAAGGAGAAGACAGTATTGAGGTTGCTGGAAAAGAGAAAGATGCTGCAGATTCTCTGCAGATAGAGCCTGAAGGGAAGGTTCTTGAGGAAGGAGGCAACATTGAGTTTGCTGAAAAGGAGAAAGATATCACAGATTCTGTGCGGATAGAGCCTGAAGTGATGGTTCTCATAGGAGGAGATAATATTGAGTTTACTGAAAAGGAGAAAGATAAAACTGATCCGGTTCCGGCAGAGTTCGATGTTGTACAAGATGAGAACTCACCGGTTTTGGAGGAAGATGAACCCAAAACTGCAGAGACCAATGATAAAGGTGAAGACCTCAAATGTTCAGATGTGAAGGTAATCTCTGAGCACAGTAATGTTTGTTCTGATAACACAAAGCCTACTGAAAGAAAAGTGTTGCTGCCGGCAAAAATTGACAATCAAGATCACGGACTTACACAAAGCGGACGGAAAATCCCCAGCTACATGGCCCCGACTGCATCTGCAAAAGCCAGAGTCAAAGGAGAAGAGTCTCCGAGGTTTTCCCTAGAGAAGACTGAGATAAATGGGCCATTGCGACGCCATTCACTGTCATCTCCAGCCAATGGTAAGCTGAGTACTACTACCATGTCCCCAAGGGCTCACAAACTTCTCCTAGCCTCAGCTAAAGGATCTATGAATGGTGACAAATCTTTTACTTCTTCCAAGGACGTTACTCGTAAGCTCAAATTTGCACGATTGTTTTAAAAGATCTAAGCTTCACTTAGATAATAAACTTTTTAACCAATTTTTTCCTTAATTGTTTCAGACAAGTCAACAAGAACTGACTGGAAACGGTGAAGGCTCAGGCAAAAGAGAGTGTCATCTCATCATTTTACATGGTCGAATTCAATTACTTAGTGTGTTTCCTCTGCTTTTTGGTTTGGTTTGGTGAGCTTAGAGTGTTTGGTCAGTGTTCATGTTAATAACATCCTTATCATACATGTTGCTTCAGTTTACTCTGATATGTTTGAAGACACAAAAAGTTTGAGTAAATAGTTCATCCCTGTATACATCTTTTCATTCACTCCTCTCTAATTACACAGACATACCTGAATCTCAAAACCTCCTTACATACATTACACATACAAATTTCGAGCAAGAGCTATTTTCTTAGGTCAGTGCTTTCATCTTACACGATGATGTTGATTGAAAGAAGGTAAAGGCGATGCACTGGGAGTTATGTTATGCAGCTGCCGATCCTGATAATATCTTACCGGAGATTTCTGCACAACAGAGGAATGATGAGACCTTGGAGAATCCATTTGGGTGTGTTTGGTTCCAGGTTTAGCAACAGATTCTAATTGTTCTAATGTGGCTAAAACCTCTGACATTTTCGGCCTGAGCTTTGCATCGGGATTTAAGCATTGCAACGCGAGATTAGCAGCGGTGAAAGCTCCCTTTTGTGGATATTGACCCCCTAGTTTTGTGTCCATTATGCGAAAAAGTTTTCGCTTATCGCCAAGGTACGGTGTTGCCCAGTCTACAAGACTATATTCGCTTCCCCCATTTGAACTGTCCATGGCACGTCGTCCTGATATTAGTTCCAGTAGTACGACCCCGAAGCTGTACACGTCACTCTTTGCGGTCAGTCTACCTATAGGGGACGAAGATGAGCTTTCAGTAAATGTCAAAGAAACAGAAATAGTCTAAAGGTCAAAGATATTTGGTTTATTAAAACTTCTGATGTCTTCTTGGAGAATGATGAAGCTTTTCAAAATCAGAATGTCAAAGCTTTGAAACATTCTTGGAAAAAGTTTGTGAAGTGTTCTCACATTAAAAATGATCAAACATGTTTAGAACTATAGATTGGCTGGTGCTTTTGTCCATTTTAATGCCGCTTAAAGCAATGGTTAAAGTGAGTATATGGAACAAACCTGTGGCGACATATTCAGGAGCTGCATATCCATGAGTACCCATGACCTTTGTTGACACATGTGTATTATCACCAGTTGGACCTGCTTTTGCCAAACCGAAATCCGAAAGTTTAGCATGGAAATCCTGCATTAAGACACAGTTCCTAAACGTTAAGAATCAAAAAGGCGAATCCCAAAAGTGGTCGAAGAGAGTTTCTGCTCGGATTTATTACAGAGTCGAGTAGAATGTTGGCAGCTTTAAAGTCTCTATATATGACTTGTGACTTTGCTTCATGCAGAAAAGTTAGCCCTTTAGCTGCACCTACTGCCACTTTCATCCTTATCGCCCATGTAAGTGGCTGCGCACCACCTGCAAGAACCATGACCCGCACGATTATAAAACACCCAAAAAAAACGAAGAAACTCCCATCATGAATTCAAGAACATAGTTGAATTGCAGAAAACATACGTCTAAAAAGATGATTCTCCAAGCTTCCTTTTGGCATGAACTCATATACAAGAAGCCGGTTTTCGCCTTCAGCGCAATATCCAACTAGTAATACAAGATTAGGGTGACTAAGTTGACCAAGATAATTTACTTCAGTCTGAAAGAGAAAAGGCAAGACAAAGATTCTCAATGTCAGCAAAACACACACATATCAACCATGGTGAACAGAGAAAGGGAGGAAAAACCGAACTTACCAACCACTCTTTATGACCTTGAAAACCTTCAGGCTTAAGCTTCTTAACAGCAACAACGATTCCAGAACCAGGTCGTGAAGCAGTGAGAGTTGATTGATCAATCCATCCTTTGAAAACACAACCGAAACCTCCTTCCCCTAGTACACTATCAGGACGAAAGTTCTTAGTAGCGTTCTTGAGTTCGTTGAAAGTGAAAGCTTTGAGGTTTGGCGATGAAAGTATCTCTCCTTCGGTCCTAAGTGTTGGTAATGGTCCTAAACTTGTATCTGTGCTAGAAGAAGCTGTGCTTATTCCTGAAGTACCCGTTGACCGGCTTGTCTTGCTTGAAACTTTCGAGGCCGAAGAACCTATGAAAATGATTGGTCAAACATATGAAAAATCTCATTAGTTTGATGTTTTCCAATCAATTCATAACGCTAAGAAACGTTGACAGACACAAGTTACAAACAGAGCAATTTGAAAGGTTTGACTTTTGATGATCTAGAGATAAACACAGCACATGATTTGATACTTTGAGAGTTCGAGTGAAAGATTAAACTCTTGACACAACTCAAAATTATTCTTAAAAAAAACAATTTGGAGAATAAGAAGAAATCTCCATGAAACTTAATATAGAAACCAAAATTAAGCAATAAAGACTTGAGAAGAACTATTTTTACCAGAATTAGTATGGGAGCTATGGTTGCTATCCACTTTAGCATGGGAGCTATGGGAGCTATGGTTGCTATCTACTTTAGCTGAGGAACCAAAGCAATTACCCATTTCCGGTAAAAACCCAATATGGAGAGACAAAGCAACTGTACTCTCTTGGAACAATGAAACAGATGTTTTAACACAACAGAACAGAGACTCGGCCGAGACGAAACCAACATAAACACGTTCTATCTTTCTGACTTTACGGCGGCGCAGTGTCTGCCTAGATAAATGTGTACGCTTAATAGATTATAAAAAGTATATAACAACATGAGAGGAAAATCTTAAAAATAAAGAGAGAAGGAGAGAAGAAGGAACAAGGAAGGTGAAGAAGAAGAGAGGATGAGAAGCCAAAGTACATAATAATACAAAGTCGTTGTGTCCTTTTGTTTTGTTGTTTGTCATAATAGTTTCTTAAAATGACCAAAAATGTCCTTGAGTCGGGGTTCCGTTAGAGTTAGACGTGTATCCTTGGAAAGGACAAATTAGGTATTTTTAGGTTAAATACGGTAACGTCATGCTCACGCAAATGAATCAGCATCGGATCATTAATAATCTCGAGTGATGAATTACTAGTTACTACTACTAGGAGGAAGGTGGTGGGCAAACGAGTCGTTGTTCACATATATAATCGTCAGATTTTTATTAGTATAACATTTTATAAAATAATACTCAAATAATTAATCAATTTTATTCATAGCTTGTTATCATTTTTAATTATATTTTTGTCTCTATCGGAAATTTAATACTAACACACATTTAAGTCATGATTTTCTAAATGTAAGATATTCTTTCTTCTATCCTATATATTGAAATGTCAAAGTTCAAACAAAAATTGAATGGAAACAAGACTTCCTTTAAATTTGTTTATATTCTATTTTTTTCTAATATCCATCTTGTGTTCCCATCTCTATTTTCTAAAAAGGTTAAGGGAAGATGGCTCAAAAGGTTTTTCTTTTTGTATGATGATGATAACGGGACATAAGTGACACTCATTGTTTTAAAATAGTTTATTGCTCGGTGGAACACGTTTTGGCAATTTAAGATATACTACTTACATGTACATAGTATGGAACTAAGACCATCCTCAATGGGAAGTTTTTAGACAGATCTTACATAAATTTATGATTTAATTAAATGTAAAATGTATGTAAATAGCTAAGATACGTATCTTATATAAGATACAAAACAATGGTTAAGAGACGCATACGTGGCGCGCTATGAGTAGATGTTGAGATAAATATAAGAAAAAATGATTTTTTTTTAATTCTTTTTCTTTATTTTCCTTTTTATCATTCTCTTTTAAATCCAAGCTTCCATATTTTATTTTCACACCAATTTCTTATTTCCTTACCAAAGACAAACCAAATATTTTAGTTACAAGAAAAAAGAATTCTTATATTTTCTACATAGAAAAAGGCATCAACAATTGAAAAAATATTTGGTCGAGCACATATGGCCAAAATATTCTACAAATCACGTTTAAATTAATTGTGTTTTGTGTTTATGTTACAAATCACGTTTAAATTAATTGTGCTTTGTGTTTATGTTATTTATGAAATAAATTGTATATCATCTATGTTTTAAAATTTTTATTTTGTAATAATTATTGTTTTCAAAAATTAAAATTGTTAATTTTTTTTTTTTTTTTTATGTTTTAATCCTAAGATCCACTATTTAAGAACCCACCAATAATCATGCATAAAAACATAAAAACTTAATTACACTTTTTAACATCACTTTTTCAATTAAATTACTAAACAAATGATAAGATTCATTTTTAATAGCCTAGCATTGAGGATGCTCTAACAACCCAAACTAAAAATATAAAAAATACCTTATGCTATTTAGTTTGCTGTTGGTTTTTTTTCCAACCATGCCAATTATGGTCTCCGTTGACGTCTCTCAAGGGGCAAAAGAGTGGTGGGTCTCTCGATCTCCCCCATTTATCGTTGAAACGGCTATTTTTTCCAATAATACTTGCAAACGTATATGTTATACGTGAAGATTAAAAAATCTTAGTTTTCAATTAATATCATATGCATTGACCCAAGAAAGTCCTCAGATCATATTCACATTGTTGTTGACCGACCGGCATATTGATTTTTTTTTGTTTTCTTCCGCATATATTGCCATATCATTAGGCGCGTGTGGACAGAAAAAACCAAGGAATCTTATAACAGATTAATCCCTCGCAAATATTTATATAGTTAAATTTTTTCATATAATATGCTATCTGACCAAGTCACTTGTATTTATCCTCTATTCAGTAATAATATCAGGTAATATCTTATATATTACAAAAATAAAAGCATGTGAATGACTAATAATTCACTCTTTTGACTCTTCAAACCAAATTTATTCCCGATTTATTTGTGTTCTTTCTTCTCCATAATCTGGCTTATGTATACCACTTTTAAAAAAAACATTATATTTCTGCAGTAATTTATAATATCATTAATGGTTGATTAGAAAGAAAAAAAAAACATTATATTTACCGTGTGCAGTTTGGTTAACTTAAGGCCCAAGCCCAAACTGGAAACAAAAACGGGACGTAGTTTAAGCTTCTATCTCAGACATGGGATAGCAGTGTATGTGACTTGGACTCCAGAAATTAATCCACGTCTATCAGCCAATCAAATATACCATGTCATATTATGTATCCAATTGAATAATTACACGTGTATCATCTACGTCTTTCTCGCGCCTCCGACACTCTCATAACTTCCGTTCCCACTTCAGATCGATCTCATTAATTTTGATCGCAAAACCAACGTAAATTTGAAACTGTCGCCGGAGTACCACCGGAGAAAATTTTAAGCGGCGATGGAAGCTCACGGTTCGGGTCTCCGGCGAGTTCTATTATTATCGTTCTGTGTCGCCGGGATCTGGGCTGCTTACATTTACCAAGGCGTTCTTCAGGAGACCCTGTAAGTAATAATATATCATGGCGAAATCGATCAATCTTGTTTATGATAATTTCTCTCGCCATTTCTCGATTCTGTTTGTTCGAGATTGTTGCTATTTTCGGAATCCTTGTTGGTGATGCTTTTGAGCTGTGATTAGAAACTTATAGAAAAATGTAGGTGATGGAACTCAAAAATTTCAATTTTCGAATCAGGTCCACGAAGAAATTTGGTGAAGATGGGAAGAGATTCGAGCATCTTGCGTTTCTGAATTTGGCTCAGAATGTAATCTGCTTGGTTTGGTCTTATATAAGTGAGCATTCGAATTAACCATTTTGTTGTTTATTCATTAGGTGCATACCAGAAGAATAGTTGAAGCTGATATATACTTTTTTTTTTTGGAATTCGATTATGGGCAGTGATTAAGCTCTGGTCCAATGGAGGTAGTGGTGGAGCACCATGGTGGACATACTGGAGTGCTGGCATTACTAATACTATTGGTCCTGCCATGGGCATTGAAGCTTTGAAGTATATTAGTTACCCAGCTCAGGTAATTTTAGGCCATGGTTCTGTGGTAGTGTAATGTAAACATCATTTGTCTTGATTGTGGCTGATACTTGAGGTTTTAATCTCTCTTATGAAATAGTATTGATGGAAATTTTGTTTCCTGCAGGTACTTGCAAAATCTTCCAAAATGATTCCAGGTGAGGTGTCAGTATAGATCTTCAAATCATAACTGCTCTCAACCGTTGCTATGTGTATCTTATATATGGTTTTTCCTTCATGTAGTTATGCTGATGGGCTCCTTAGTTTATGGCATAAGATACACCTTGCCTGAGTATCTTTGCACCTTTCTTGTTGCGGGAGGAGTATCCAGCTTTGCCCTTCTGAAGGTAGGCAGATCTGCATTCAAAAACTTTGATCATAACATTGTTGTAGTTAGTAGTAAACCGTCATTGAATTGGTTTCAGACAAGCTCTAAGACCATTAGTAAGCTGGCACATCCCAATGCACCCCTTGGTTACGGGCTTTGCTTCCTAAACCTTGCCTTTGACGGATTCACAAACGCCACCCAGGACTCCATCACTGCAAGGTATGATCTTGACGTTCTGTTAGAAACTTTACCCAAACAGAACATCAAGTTTGTCATTTGGACATAATCATCAACTATACATGGTTACAGGTACCCGAAAACTAATGCATGGGACATAATGCTTGGAATGAATTTATGGGGAACCATATACAACATGGTCTACATGTTTGGATTGCCACATGGTAGTGGATTTGAAGCCGTCCAGTTCTGCAAGGAACACCCTGAAGCAGCATGGGACATTCTAATGTACTGTCTATGCGGCGCAGTGGGCCAAAACTTCATCTTTTTGACAATAAGCAGATTCGGGTCTTTAGCTAACACAACCATAACAACAACTCGAAAGTTTGTAAGCATCGTGGTATCGTCAGTTCTGAGCGGGAATCCATTATCGTCCAAACAATGGGGATGTGTGTCGATGGTGTTTGGTGGATTATCTTACCAAATTTACCTGAAATGGAGGAAGCTGCAGAGAATGCAGAAGAAGAAAAAGACTTGAAGCTGAGAATGAAGTTCCAGATTTTTAATTCTTCACTAAATTGTTTTTGATGGGAACTTTTACTACAACTATAAACCTAAGAGGTCTGAAAGTTAGAGAGAAGAAAGCTTAGTCACATTAGTAAAATGTAAACTAATGCATTAGAAGAAACTTATATATATCAAACAAAAATCAAATCATTTTTCCACTCATTATGTCTTTACAATCATATGTTTCAATACAATATCTGTTCTGTTGTCTTCTTCTTCTGCCATGAGAGAATAGCAACAGATAAAACTTGACCCTCTTCCGAGTTTTTTTTGTTTTGGTCCTAAAGTGACACTGAAAGACTTCTTTATATATATATGTGATAGAGATTCTGTACAGAGGTGATGAAAACAAATCAAGAAATCAGGAGGGAAATGCTCAGATGATGTATCTGATTATGACCCTTAGAGACAAACCAAAGAATTTTCCTTAAAGAGACACTGGTGCCTTCCTTTGTAGATGGCTTCCTTATGTTTAGTAAGAAAAGAAAGTGAAAGCTGAATCTGAGTATATGGCAGATTCTTGAGAGCTTTCTTTTGATGGTGGCTAGAAATGTTACCGTTAACATTCTAGGACCAACTACGAAACTTAAAAAAAAAAACCCTGAGGAAGGAATGCAGATCATGGCATGCCCGCTTCACAAAAACTTCCAGGCCGATATGGCTGCAAAACCTAAAATGAAATCTAAGCAGAAGTGGTAGAAAAAATCACGTCTCCATGGAGACAAAGCTGCGGTTTATGGTATGAGAGAGATGGATCAAAGATGGTTGGTTGGTTGGTTTACAAGCTATGAAGAAGGACTCTTTTGCAAGGGGGTGGTTTTGAAGGATTAGCACTTGGACATGGAGACGAGGACTCAATCCCGAGTGTTTTTAGCAGGAAGCTCCTCTCCTGCAAAAACAATCAGTCTTTTAAGACTCATTCTTTGACCAAAGCCTAACTACTGTATACTGAATATGAATGATATGCTTACACTTTCAGAGAACTGTGGACTTGGGATACCGTCTGCTAGTGATCTGAACAATGGTGTGACCTGAATAGGTGAGCTGAACTTTTCTTCGCCCGAGATGGGCAAATTCTCTTCAGGATTTCTCGGGACATCGCAAGCTGAGAGCAGCTCCTCTACAACTTGTTTTTGTTCTGTCTGAATATCAGACGGTGATGGTTGTGTTCTATCACCAGACTGATCTAGCATGACAGTTGATCCTGAACTATACTCCGAGCTAGCTGGTGAGTCATGAAGACCAGGTTGTCTAAAGGACATCAAATGAAAAGATTAGACAGTCAAAATCTTAAGATGAACACAAAAGTTCTGTGGTGATTAAAAGCTATGTTTACCTCCAAGATTGTTGATTGTCTTCATAACCACTCCTCAAATCCTCTATAAGATCCTTAAATTCCTCGATTTTAAAGTCGATGTCAGGTATTCCATATCTGAATAAATCATTCTCCTTGCCTTTATTCAAGAATTCCTGAAGAACCTGTACATATGCATACCCAACAAGAGCTATGTTATAAAGGAGCATGAAAATTTTGGCTATTTCAATATGTTGAGAGGTTGCAGTTTCTTGGTTACCTTCCAAGCATTCTCCATGCTTTGTTCTGTGTTGTCTGCATTAACTTTTTGCGCCAAGGAGCTTAGAAGTTCAGCTTGTTGCATCAAAGCTGTCACTTTAGGATCATCCTTCTTAAGAAACATCCCTTCACCATCACTCTCCTTCACATTGCTTATTTGATTCTGTTCCTCCAAGCCATCAATACCTATGGCATTGCATGCCAATACCGAAAATGGTGACCTTATGTTCTGATTCATACAAGGCTCAGCCTTTCCATTGATACTGATCATATCTGTGAGATCTAGAATTTGACTTCTCCTGAATCAACAAAGCACACAAAATGTGTGAAAATACTTGGGGGAGATTTATGTTTATGAGATCAAAACAAAACAAAACAAAACATACCTCATTTTCTTAGCAATAGGAGCTTCATTCTCGGCTTTTTGCGGGGTACTGATACCGTCTAAGAACAAGATTCTTTTGGTGTTTGAGTTGCTGTTCTCTATAGCCAAAGCTTCATGCTTAGCTCTCTTCTTACAAAGTGTTGTAAACCTGTTCTTCACAGCATTATCCGTTCTACAACATACAAAAACAGAACATTAGTTTAATAACTTTGGTCTTATAAATGATAAATTTCACCAACCATTAGAGCTTGAGATTTGATTCTACCTGCCTGAAACCACCTTGGCTATCTCAGTCCATCTGTTCCCAAATACTCTTTGTGCCTGATAAAATCACATACGAGAAGATAAAAAGATCAGACAAAAACTACAAACACCAAACTTAAAAACCCAAATTTTATATATCCATGTAATGAAGTCTGTATAGTAAGTGAAGTCACCTCACACAAAAGCATATCTTCTTCAGGGGACCAACCTCCTCTCTTGAAATCAGAGTTTAAATATGTATACCATCTGCAAAAAAAGTATCCATCTCCGGATTCAAGAAATCAAAATACAGAAAGAAAGAGTTTTGACACAAATAAGCAGAGATGAGTTTCACCAACCTTCTTCTACATTGTCTTGTGCTTTTATCTTTGAACTTGGATGCAATGATCGCCCAACTAATAATATCATCAAAAACACACAATAAGATACAATATCTATCAACAAGCTTTTTTAGAATCCCACTTTTTTTTTTTTTTGAACTTTGTCAAGCAATAAAAAAACAAAACCTTTTCCGAGAAAATAAAAAGAGAAGAGTGAATATGAACAATGAAAGCTCTCTCACTTTTCAGTTCCATGTAGAGTAATTTGTTCTCTGAGAATAACATCCTCCTGCAAACTCCACAAACCCATTTCATAATCAGTCAGTCAATAAAAAACAGAGCAAAGAAACAGAGTCTCCTCACACAAATAAATGTAAATCATCAGTTCTATGTATTCGACGTCATACACACACCTCTTGTGACCAAGAAACAATATGACGTTCCTTTTTCTTGGAATCTTGATTGTTAATATTCTTCTTCTTTTTCTTCTTCGTATCTTCCATTTTTTTTTCTTCTTCTTCTTTTGCTTCTGTCTCTTTCTTTACTCTATATACGGCTCTCTCTCTCTCTCTCTCTCTCTAGTCTCTGTTAATTATCTAATTTATTTTCTTTGACGCTCCGTTACCTTTTTTCAAAAATAAATAAACCCAACTCCTCCTATCAACACACACACAATGACTTATTCCAGGAAAAAAATAAAATAAAAAATCAAGAAACAAAAAAGAAAAGAAAGAAAAAAAAAACTAATTAAAGACAAACTCTGAAAAGGGAACTCATTTTCGTCACACAAGACTCTCGAGAGTTATCTGCTTTTATTTTATTCTCTCCACTTCATTCATCAGAAGAAGAAGAAGAAGATCGAGTTTTCTCCAAAACGGCTAAAAGAATAATGGATTCTTATATAAGAAATTTTTTTTTTTGAAAACGAGTCATTCAAGAATCATGAACACATGTGTTTCGTTTTATCAAATTCAAAAAAGAGAATCCATTTCTATTCTTGATAATAATTTTATTTCTCTCTCTCCACATGAATCTTTTTTATTTATTTGGTGTGTGTATTAATTAAGATAATTTATGAAAGAAGGAAAAATAAAAAAGAAAGAAAAAATGGGAAAGCCAACGGAAGGAAGAGTAAGTGGGCGGGTATGAAGGCAAGTTTGAAAAAAGGAAAAACAAAGAAAACGAAACGCTGAAACCAATGACCCTTGTTCTCCATTACTGCCTCCCCCCTCTTCACCAATTATATGTTTCTTTGCCTTTCTTTTTCCATTTTTTTTTTTTTAAGTATAGTATAGTAGTAGAAGATATTGTAGGAAAACAAACATTTGCCATTATGTTACGGTACTAGTGTCTAGCTAGGCTAGCTAGAGTTTTTGTGGAGAGCATGATTACTTTTATGATGTTTCCTTTTACACCGGTCTCTTTATTTGAACTGTGTTTTGGCTTATGATTTAGTATGATATTGGCACGATTGATGGATGCATGTATAGTGTATCGCATTGTTAGGTTTATGATCTCTATGATCAGTTGTTTTTTGAGGAATGTTGTTTCGAGGATGTACGATAAAGTTTTTTTAGTTTCAAGTACGGTTTTATGTAAAAGTATTCTTTTAGTTGTTTGAAGTCCCTTTTACTTTATTGATTTCTCGTAAAATAACATCACTATTGTGCCCAAAGTGCTTATTTACTATAGTATAGAATGTGCTATTTTAATTAACAACAAAAGGTGAACATAATAGTAACCAAAAATTAGAAAATGGAAAAGAGAGAAAGAAAGAAATAAAAGGAGAAGATTGGGAAAACACATCGTTGGTGTTTTGGTAAAGAGGGGTACATGACAAGTAACGTGATTCAACGGCCACTATTCGTTTGATTTCGATTCCTTTCTTGTTTCAAATTTTTAAAAATTTTCCTTTTAATCTCAAATAACTTGCAATATGCATAGAGGAAACAAAAAAAAAAAAGACTTAAAAAGTCATGTCCAATGAGCTGTTTCAATTTAATTTAGATAGACCCAAACAAGAAGCTCCCACCAGTCACGACGAATGCAATTAATTTTGGTAACTACTTGCTACCCTCTAGTCTTTAGTGTAGTGTGTGTGTACATATGAAATAAACGACCAAACAAGTAATAACATTCTTCAAGTCACTATTCCATCACTTTTTCGAGAAATATGATTTACTTAATTACTTGCTTACTTTTGGTAAAATGAGAGCCGAACCAGTGATTTTTCATTTGTTAATAATCAGAATTTTCATGTTTTACTAATATTTTAACTTTTTGAATATTTACCAAAGTTTTTGGATATTATTATTTCGAAGAAAAAAATCGGGTTTGAGAATATATGGTTGATGATGTTATGAACTGTGGAGATTTAATTGGAACATGAGATACAAGCGAATACATTAGCGCGTGTGTGACTTGGATTTTTGAATTAAGACAGCGAAGCACATCTGACATATCACATTTTATCAACAGTGTCTTGTAAGAAAATAAAAACATTGTATTATTATTTTTACTGTTACTTAATTGTCTTTTTTTGTCCACATCCTTTGTGAATTTATTATATTATTCGACTTTTAATTGATTCTCTTCTAGTCTATGATATTATTTAGGATCGGATATGCCCAACGTTGTAATTCTTTTCTCAGTTTTTAATTTGTATTTTTACTCTGAAAAGTGTCAAATTAGTAGTGCATGCAGCAATAACATACTACTAATATTGACGACATACGAGATTAGAAATAAAGACTTCTAAACCATGCAAGGAACATTTTTCTTAAAGCTTCTACAAATAATTTATTGAAACTTCTCTTTTGTTATTAAGTGGACGTGCTTTTTCTAAGATTTCATTCTTTTTAAAACAAGAAAGTTTCCAACTGAGTGGTCATAATTTTTTTTTTTTTAAAGAATAAATTTTTATGAATTTTTATAACACGTGATATTTTTGAAAATGTTTCAAATTCATCAGATCTCAGCGTTAATGTGATTATAACATTAAACGTTATAGTTTTACGTTCACTTCATTGTATTAAGATTTCGGTAGCATATCAAGATTTTTCTATCCGTTCTATTTTGTGTTTTATTCTTAGTCAGATGAGAGATCACACTCAATTAGTGTCTTTTGAAAAGACATTAAAACATTTTAACAAAGAAAAAAAATAGGTCAGGTCAATCTTGGTTCCTGTTTCCAATTCCCAGCCCAGTTGTATTTATTATCTAACAAACATGTTTGTATCTACATATGTGTACGTACGTACGTGTTGTTTCATTCTTTGATCACCGGCCATGTAGTATATGCCTATCAACGTAAATGTACTATGTAGAATACATTAACAATATTTATTTGAATGAAAATGATACGGGAGTTAACGTAACTATCTCAACGCTACGGAACCTTAGTAAGTATACTCTCAATAAATAGGTAGATCAGTAGATGTACTAATTATAAAGTATGATTTCGATCTGTAACTGAATGATGTATACATATGGAGACAGGGAGACACATACAACTAAATAACTATATTTATATATATGATATAATGTATATATGCCCATTGTCCAAGAAAAGAAAGAAAAGCACATGAGCATTGTGCCAAGTGCATCAAGGAAAAGTCAAAAGATACAAACGAAAATCTAAATGCAATTAGGGTATCAGGTTAGAAAAACGATGTTTTTGAACTGTTATCATACGGATTCAACTTTAGTGCCATATAGTTAGGCGAAGATGCTAATTAATTTGGTAATATATTCACCACTTCCGTCTGTGAGCCTCTCTACATACGTTTTTAGTTTGGTGTTTAAGGTAGTTTCAAAACGATATTTCAATTAGTTTTGAGATTTATATTAAAACAGGAAGATGTTTTGACGGGGAGGAGAAACAGTGAGTTATTGTTTCATTCTGTTCTCTCCACTAAAAGTATGCTAATGACTTACTGTACATGACATCATCCTCAACACTTGATCATCAATCCATTAAATAAAAGACAGACGTTTAGATCAGGTGTATATGACTAGTTTAGTTTGGATGCATAAAGATATTCAGATTCTCGAGCATAACATTGATGTGATCAACGATTTTAACAACTTACGTTTGGTTTTGCATGGGATATAGAGATACAATGTTCCATGTTCAAGAATCAATATGAAATCTATATCGTGACAACATAATTTATCATAGAGATTATCATTTAGGTCGCTTGCGTAGTTTGACTATTGATGTTTCCAATGTATATACATATATAGTTTGAACATCGTATGAAAAAAAAAAAAAAAAAACTAATCAACAATACAAATTAATAATTTAACTTAACGTGTGTGTTTGTGTGTGTTATATAGTATGCGTTATGGAGCAAAAAGGGTCGGTGGAAATGAGACGGCCCACAAGGCAGACACCAAGAGAGTTACAAGAAACCAAAAAAGGACTAAAGTCTATGATAAATAATGGAACCCTATGTTTAAAAAAGCCTTCCTTTCTACTTCACATTTTACACTACAAACACATTCACTTTTTTTTTTTTCATTTCTTTTATATAGTTAATCGTCCAACGAAGTCTTAGGTCTTTATAATATTCGGTGCCTTTTTATTTTTCGTTTATTACTTTATCTTCTTCTTCTAGATAATCTTTTAAAAATTGGTTCACATGAGTGTAATTGGATGTTTGATTTTGCTGCTATTTGAGTGTGTTCTCTCGATTTTAAGATGGGACGTGGGTTATTTGTCCTCTCGTGTGCAGTGTTTGACGTAGTAGAATTCAAATATTATGTTATTCTTTTGGTTAAAGTATTCACAATAAGTTAACCAAGACTTATCGTTAAGACAAATAAATAGAACATTATCAATCATTTAATCCGAATGAAACAAGCTGCATGAATTAGAACATTCTTAGTTATGTTTCTCCCACTTTGAACTTTACTTTTGGGAGATGATGAGCAAATTTTGAGAATCATAATGTATACCAGAAAAAAATATCTCTGCAACATTATTTATGAAAACCAAACCTTACCAGATAGGTTAATGTAATACTCATAGTATTAATGTTGAATACTTAGTTTTTTTAATACACATATAGTATTACAACATATCTGTTAAGGTTTGGTTTTCATAAATAATGTTGAAGAGTTCGATTTTTTTTTTCAAAAGGGGAGAAAGGAAAAGTATTCCCTCCACCACATGGGTCGTTCTCAATTCTTTATGCCATTTTGTGTGGCTTTTTTTGGATCTACTGTGATTGAGAGTGAACATACATCTTCCATCACATCTACCATCTTATTGGATCGATACCTAGCTAATGCTTTTGTACCACCTGTTATATCTCTTCTAACATATAGCTCTCCTCTGATATCCCCCAGCCTAGTTATGCAGCTTTGCCAACACATCGTGTAGCCCCAGCTATGAACAAGTCGCTCTTCTTTTTCATCTTCTCAAAGTTTTAACTTTACTTCATGTTAGAAAAAAAATAAAAGTTTTGTTTCATTTTATAACATCATATATATATTTAGCTCCAAGAATAGATATATATATATAAACGAAGTAAGGTTTTGAAGTAAAGGTTTTGAAGTGCGGTAGTGAACTAACGCATGGTCCTTATAAGAATGCAGTGGAATATAATTCAATCAACTGACTTCTTGAACATTGTAATTACTTAGTTTATGTATATGACGTTAGTGTAGGAGAAATAAGACTGGAAATATGCTAATAATAAGGGTCCAAATAGAAAAAGACTGATTGAAAATATTTATATTTTTTCAAGGCTATGGCCAACCCTATGTGGACTTTAACTTGCAGCAAATATTTTTGATTGAAAATATTGCCTTATTATTCGTCAAATACACAGTAAATATATTAAATAAACTTACGATATGCATAATAGAATCTCATATTTTCATTTTTTTATTTTTACTTTGTGTTCCAAAGAATTCCATCCTTATCTTCATCATGAAAGCAACACTACAATGTATGGTCTACTTAGCATGCATCTAAAGAAAAAGAATTGAGCAGTGAATCCTCTTTTTTTTTTTTTTTCAACAGTGAACTCTCATTTATTCCAAGTTAATAAATATGACCATTTACATAGTTTTTACATAAGGACTATTTATATTAAAATTGGAAAGAAATGCCAAAACTATGTATATATGTTATAATTTTCTGTTTAGTTTTAATGATAAGTGGTATACCGTATGTAGATCCACTACGAAAGTGGTGACTAAAAATCTTGACAAATATAATCAATCATAGATGAACATAATTAATGTAGAAACAAAATAAAACTCAGTATAAACTATATAAAGTATGTGTTGATGGTGTTAGTTGTTGGAGGGAATGGCCCAAGTTCCCAAAGAGATTGATTGTAGTTTTGATGAGCTGAAAACGTTCGTGGGGTTCTCTCTCTTTTCTTTTTTCTGATCACATCATGCTCTCAAGTAGGAGCGGCCTCCGAATCCTACCATTCAGCTCCACGTGTCTTTCTCATCTCTCTCCACGTCGCTGCCCACTAAACCTAAACCAAAAATTATAAGAGATTTTAATTAGAAAATAATAGACTTAAGAGTAAGAGATTTTATTCTATGTAATATAATGCATGCAGTATATATACGATTTTAATTATGGATATGCGTTATATTATGGCTGTTTCGTTAGTCTAATGGCCATGTACTCATATATCATTTGTCGACTCTACTTGTAAGGAACTCACTTGTTTCGTGGTAACTTAAGATCGAGGATTAAACCATTTTAAGTCGGTTAACTTTTTCACGTAAAAATCTTACGTAAATATGTTATATAGAGTTTTACATAAAATAATACGTAGAAACAGAATGAGGTCGTATATTATAATGCAGTAATGTATATCTTTTGACCAATTCATAGGCGAACAAACATAATTATGTAATTTAAATATATTTTTATATACTAGCTAGTATTAGGCCGTGTTCGTGGTTTTGGGTATCATTTCGTCTTTCTTAATTATCATCACTAAGTTGCCTTTGATCGTTTATTCGCCCACAACGTATGGAACTAATATTATAATCCATTTGGTTTGAGGAGGGCTCAGCTCGAACTCTTTGGGTAGAAAGTAGAAATATGTTATCTCCTAAAATAAGTGCGGATCAGATTTATTATCCAGAAAATACGGTCATGCGCCTTATAAGCACTACTAGTTTGTAAACGTTTTAGTGTAGAGGTTAAGATTGCTTGGGATTCCTACAATCGCGTGGGACATATCGCTACATATTGGAGCCAGCTTTTCTGAAACCACTTCCTTATTCTTTTGAAATACTTTCTTCATATACCTACGACTCTATACAAGGCTATACCACTTCCCTATTCTTAGGAATCCAATGTCCATTTTAATTTTACTTAGTCCTCCGTAATCAACTTTATCTTTTGGTTAAGTTGCCTCTTTGATCATCAGATTCCCTTGAATATATATAGTCATACTAACCTTTTAATTTTTATTTTGGCTTTATACTATTAAGGTTTCTTATCTTTTAGATATATATGTGTATCACTCTATATATATATTTTTTCTTGCATGGCTTTTTATACATTTACTATGTTTTGTTAAACTTCTGAAATTTGTTCGAAATTTATATACATATCACTAGAGATTTTTCGGTTTAGAATTTTTTTCTACGAGGAGTAAGAAAAAAGGACATTCTTACACAATTTAAGGATGCTTGTTAGCCTGACATTTGACAAAACTTCTACTATGCGCCGCCCCTTTTGTATGTATATGTTTAAATTAAAAAGACTGACCAATTCAGAATTAACCACTTTCCTTTTAGAGATAAAGCTAATAGTATATTATAAGTTTTTTCTTCTTTGCCTCTATAAATTATAAGTTAACATCAGTTGATAGTTCTTTAGAAACTATTTAGCATATGATCCTATATCATTTTAGTTATATATCTCGTAATTGAGCATGGCTGCATGCAACTTATTTAGAGAGACACGTATGTATACGTATTCGATAACGCGTACTTGTTTACACGAGTGTAAGTGAAAAATTACAGATGTGCACGTACATGTATGTGCATATTTGCGCCCATGCTTGTGAATCAATGTGACATAAAGCTTGAGGTCAAAGAGAGGAATCTGAATTCTGCAAAAAATGTTTCTTTTTAATTGAAAGTTGAGAGAGTGGATAAAGAAAGAGCCATCTATCTTTACAGTCCATATTTTTAATGCTTTATGCAACTTCTAATGAATTCACATCGCGAAGCCAACTTTTGACACTATATTTGAAAAATAATTAATGTTCATCCATAAGTAGGGATCTTTCACTACAATAGTAAATTAACATATATATGATAAAACAATGAATAAAAACAAGAATATTGTGGTCAAAATTGGGAAATGGGGAAGACTACCTAAGATTTGATGAGAATGTGTCAGAGGCAATAAGCTTTATAGGCCTCTCTTCCTTATTAGTATATACTCATCATCATTCGCATACGAAACTATATAAATTTCTTATTCTTCTAAAAATTTTCCTATACCAAATTTACATGGAATCCAATGGAAATATGTAGATGGTCAAAGTCTAACAGATATGGACTATATGGTCAACAAGGCATCTCTTCATGCATGAACCATAGTTACTTCTTATTAATCTTTTTGTTTTATCAAAACTAAAATCATTAACAAAGGAAGGAAGCTATCGAATATGCCGAAATGTAGTTTACTGTTTACTTTTTTTTTGGGCTTTAAAATTTAAATTTGCTTAGGGCTTTTAAGTCTTGGACTGGACTACATGAACAAAAAGAAAGAACATATTTGGGCCGTGTCTTCAGATTCAAGAAATGGGAAAGTTTTGAGATTACTTTTTCTGTTGAGGAGTTTTCCAAAACTTTTATTTATTTATAAACGTAAAAGCCTACGGTACCTCTTCATCAATAACGACTCTGGAATCACAAACAATTATGTCGGGAAAAAAACATTGCTCAAGGATGGAATCATGTCTTCCCCATGAAGTTGTCGAGAAAATCCTGGAGAGAGTTCCGGTGACATCTCTGCTGAGATTCAAGGCTGTGTCAAAGCAATGGAAATCAACGATGGAGTCACAATTCTTCCATGGAAGACAGTTGGACCAGCGTCAGCAATCCGGATATCCAAACGTTGCCATGGTCTGCGTAGATCTATATCTAAGTACGCTGGTGTTGTTTGGTTCATCATCAACAACACTCGAGGACGTCCCTGCTCCGTGGAAGAAGGAGAACGCAGCTTACTCTGTTTCTCCTTGTGTCTGTGACGGTTTCGTTTGTCTCCCTGATCCATGGCATTCCGTTTTGGTCTTCAACCCCACCACCAGATGGTATCGGGCTCTTCCTCTCAGCGAATTACAACTCCTCGAGGTCGAGTTAGGAAAAGATTACTACAAGCTTAACCACACAATATCTCATCTCGGTTTCGGTAAAGACAAAGTCACGGGCACGTACAAGCCCGTTTGGTTATACGACTCTGCAGAGATAGGCCTAGAAAACGCTACTACATGCGAAATTTTCGACTTTAGCACAAACCCTTGGAGATATGTCACTCCCTCTGCTCCTTATCGGGTTGTTGGTTTTGTTCTCTGTTTTGTAAAATTTTGATTATCTTCTTCCAACTTCAACTGTTCCTTTCTCAAATTTTACAATTTTCAGAGTTAAAAACTTTGTAAACACATATGATGGAAATCAAAATGATTCAATATACACTATTACTAGAAAAAATCACAACACAAGGGAGAATTCGATTTGTTTGCACACAGAATGTGAGTAATTTTTGAGAAAAATAAAAATCAAAAGCCTTTGGCGCCAGATTCTTTCAAAACAGCAGGTTGATCAGCCATAGATAAACAATATTTAGCAATCTGTCTGAACTTGGGAACGCTTCTCAAATCCACTTTTGTCCCGTCTCTCAAAGTGATGATGATGTCACCCCATTCTCCTATGAACCTCGGCACTACTTGCACGTCCTTTATCACTTTGTACGAGAAGTCGCTCCTGTCTTCCCCGGTGAGACCCGAGATCACCGTCACGCGAAGGTTTGTGAACCTGTATCGGAGGTTAAAGGCTCGAGACACTGCTGCTAAGGTTAGTGGGAGCCAGAGGATGGTTAGACCTAGGATGAGATTGGCCAATAGATCTCCGTAATGAGCTCCGCCGTCGAAGTAGATAGTTTCTTTCTTCACCGGTTTGGAGTCGGAAGGGACGGCGGATGCGGAGGCAGAGGAGGAAGCTAGGAGCAATCTATGGATTTGTCTTTGTGGTGATTTGGTGGAGGGAGACAGGGAAGAAGCCGGGAAGGAGAATGTGGTAGAGAGGAGTAGGGGTTTGCGTACGACGGAGGTTACGGCGGTTGACGGCGGAATCGAGGAAGAAGCTGCCATGAGAGAAACGATTTCGAGTGACTGGAGGATTTGAGCCAAAGAGGATTGATGACTTCTCTTCTCTGTTTTTTTGGATTCGGTGTTTGGCATACAATGTGCCACGTGGCTAAATCTCTATGGAGAGCAAATCTATCCAACTAATTGAAATCAATACCAACCGTAGATATCAGAAAGCAAAAATCAACCGTACTATTTAAGCTGATTAAAGCATGATATATTAAGCTTAATCGTATAAGATGAAGCAAACAATGCAAGTGTATACCTTGTTTAGGATTCTTTACAGTAGTCGTTTTGATAAAATTTGATACACAAATCATATCACACCTATACTTTCATAAGCTAGTAGTTATTAATGATCAGCTTTGCATCATATATATCTACAGACGAATACGGTTCTGATCTGGTCCTCTGTCTATTCACTGCCTTGAGCCGTGGCTACCGAGATCAGACGCAGCTTTAGCAGCTCGCTCTAATGCACCAGACAGCCAAAGAGCTCCGTTTGAGAAGTAACTGCTATTGACAACACTAGTTGCAGCAGCTGCTGCGGTTCTTCCTGTGGCAGAGATGGCTGATTTAGCCGTGTCTGAAACATGGTACCTTTGGTCGGTCATTCTCACAGCTTCAAGTCCGATAAAGATTTTGTCAGTGAGACCGATCCTCTGCTCTAATTGGGATACTCTAGCCATCGCCGCAGCTGATACGCCGTGGGATTCATCAAAGGTTTTAGCTTTGCTTAAAGCGTCTTTGCCTAGCACGAATCCTGTGGCAAGCATTGTTTTCACCACTTCTTGAGCTTTAGTCACTGCTTCTCCAGCGTTGAACTCGCTTGGTTGAGCATGAGGCTACATGATTGAAGAAGGAATGAGACCAAACATCAAACTTCAACACAAAAGACTACTGAAAGATTCTACTAATTAAAAAAACACAGAAAGATCAAAACTAAGAGATATGTAAAAAGAGATTCATACATGAGAGTCTGATTCATCTTCAAAACCCCGCGGATCCCCATTCCAGAAATCGAATTCTTCGTGATGCTGTCCCCAGCGCGTAATGCAAACACGCTGATCCAAAATCGTTGCTCCCTGAAGATAGCAAGGGATTCGAAAGAACCGAGTTATTCATGCTCAAGAGACTCCCAAAAAGAAAGAAAAAGTGGAACAAAATCAAAACAACACTTACACTGAGTAGAACAGCAGTTTCTTGAGAATAAGAATCCCTGAACATCACATAAGCAGTACAGGCTTGCTCACCTGACCTGTTCTCAATAACAACATAACAAAGGTTATCTTATGAATCCAGCATATGCAACAAAAGCCAAATTGATTTTGCTGGAAGTAAGGTTTACCTGACAATATCAATATATTCAATTGTACCAGAGAAAGAGAAGAAATCGATAAGATCTTTCTCAGTAACCGATGAAGATAAACCAGTAACTTCAACACCATACCCACTTTGACTATCCATCTATTGCTCAACAGCTGAAAATTAACAAAACCACCCTAAATCATTTCAACATAAACCCAATTCGACAAATTCATCACTTCCATACGAAATCGAAAATCATGAACACTAGGTATTTACTCTTCCCGATCTCTAATGTCAGCTTTACATGATCTGAAATTTCAATCGAAACTTGAGCGAGAACAGATTGAATCAAGAACATCAAAATCGTTTGATTACTACAGATCTAGAGAAGAACTTCAACGAAATCGAAGGATCGGAGTTACCTGTTGCTATTGACCAAGACACACACACACAGACACAGAGAAGCTCGGAAGAGAGACAAAGGTGTTGTTGACGATGAACTGATGATGTGAGTGGGAAAGGGTGTAGGAAACTACCTTTTCCGTGAATGAAACAGACGCAATTTTAAAAAAAAAATATATATATACATAAACGACGTCGTTTACTAGCTTGATAAATATTGGGTCTATCATTTTGGGAGTGAGCCCATATATGTAACTGATTCTAAAATTAACATAAATATTCCTTAAGGCCCAATCTTGTTTGATTATCATTTTGTTGTTGTGCGAAGAGGCCTTTTAAAATAGAATATATATACACTTGTAGGCAACAAAAATTAAAATAGAATATACACACTTTAATACCTTTTTGAATAAACTACTTTTCTTGATTTATACGAGCAAATAGAATACATCCGATACTATTTCAAGAAAATAATTAGAAGTTAATTTTTCAATTTACTAGATGTTAAAAGACAGTAATTAGAATAATAATTTATTGTTTCAGCAAGAAGAAATAATATAATAAAATAGATGTTCCTAACATTCTAGAACCTTTTACTTTTTAACATAACTTTTTGTTTTTGCATATATGTATATACATGTTGGATAAATAGTAGTGAATATTATCTATCCAACCGTCCAAATTAAAGTCCAAAGAGGTAAAAGATTTTCATTTTTCATAGTGAAATATTTTTTTTTAATGAAAACCTCAACTACAAATTGACAAAAGGAGAGAAAAGAAAAAGACGTGTGCCTAACAAAATGTTTGATGAATTGGTAAAAAAAAGAAGAAAAACGCAAAGAAGAACATTATTATTTATTATTCTTTTGCAATATGAGCCGTTGGCGAAATCAATACTTACGTCTCTCTTTCTCCATCTCTCATTGTTCTCTTCCTAGTTCTCTCCGCGTCCACGTGTATCAAAACCTTCTCACAGATTGGTCTACTAAAAAAACATATGTGTGTGTGGTTCATCTTGGTATCTTCTGACTTCTGAGTTCTGACTCTGTTGGCACTGTTGCTGCTATATGTATTTTTCATGCAAAACCAATTTCACTGTTATAAATTTTATGTCTTCTTTACCCTTTTTTTTTGTTTGTTTACTCATTTCTTTTAGTTTCATTTTCATTTGCCTACTAAATTATAGCTATATTGAACAGCAATAAGGTGCTACTATATAGCTTTACAAGTTCTTAAGTATGTGGCATTGTGGATTATGGAACTTTCAATTATTACGTCTCTATACGATAAATAAGACCATAATATTTAAGAAAAGTAAATACCTTATATCAAAATTAATTTCAGAGAATAGTTGAGTAGTAATATATTGTTCCAACTTCCAAGTCCTCACCACATATGCTTCATATATTTATTTGTTTTAATAGAAAAGTTGACCGTTGACTATATTCTATAGCTAAGTTAGACGGTTTGATTCGGATTTGAATTTCATATAGTGCTAATATAAAAGAAATTATATATATATATATATATATATATATATATATTGATATTGAGTTCACGTCATTTCGAAAATCTACAAGACTACAACGTGTTTATCAAAAACTCACCTAATTTTCTTAAGTCATATTTTTTCTTGTTGTCTTAAATTGACTCGATTTTAGTTGATTCAAACAACATCACATTCCAAATTGATATCTCCCATTTTCTTCACTCTCTTAGATTTTAATAATGTTTTAAAATAAAAATATATGTGATATATATTCTTAGTGTCTTTCTATGCTTAGTCGTTGATAATCTAATTGTCAATATTGTTTCAAAAACATAAAAATATCTTTGCCAACAAACCTGAAAGAAACTCTAGTTTTGTTTTGGGTTAAGTTTCGGATCGTTCTGAGCCTTTGTATTCTTACCGGAACTAACTATTATATATTAGATGTTAAATTGTTAATCATGTGTTGTTCTCTTCGTATTACCCAAAAAACAAAACACAAAATGTATAATACGATTAAAAACATGAATGTATTTTGAAGACAATTATCATAATGTATTGCTTATATTATCCATGCAGACAGAAAAGCTTAGATGACTAGATGATGTAATTAGTTAGATACTTAACTTAAAAAAATTATTAAATCTTTGAGTTATTGTTTTACGAAGAGCACGTGTTGAAAGTCGACGTTGACTTGAATGACACAAGGCATTGTCAAAAGAGAGAAAAAAACAAAAGAAAGAAGAAGAAGTAAAACAAAGGTATTAGGAGCCACCACGTTATCTCCTTCCTTCCTTCCGACGGATATTTCAAAACAATTAGCTGGTTACTACGTATAAGAACAGTATATATATATATACACACATAACATACACTGCACACACACACACACAATACTTGTATCTGTATGTAATGTGAGCAACTTGGCTTTTGTTATGATCAAAGAATTTCAACCTAATATATTTGTTGGCGAATTTTGTCTTTTTCCACAGAGATGCAATAGCGTGTGCTGTCACGCATCTGATGATGGCTGGTCAAGTAATGTAAATCACATGAGAAGGCATATTTATGGAATACAAACAATTTTTTGGTGATTCTCTTTATACCCCTTTGTTATGTAAACATGATAATAATCACTCAGAATCTAAATAACACTTTTGTTTTTACATACATGTAGATTATGAATGTAATCATCGAAACACTAGTTAACTTAAAGAGAGATTTAGTTGATTAATGTGGGAAAGAAGAAAGGAATGTGAACACACGATATAAAACAGATCACGTGGACAGCTCTTCGAACTTCACTTTCAGACACACAAGTCACTTAGATACGCCCAAGAAATACAGTCACCTATTCGATATAAAGAAAATTCTAAAGCAATACACAAAAGAAAAATAGAGAAAAAAGATCTTTCATTAAAAACGAAAAGAGAATAGAAAAGTTTACCATATGAAAATAGAAATAATAATCCATTGAGATATCATCAATTCCTTTTAAGGTTACATCTAAGGTATATCGTACTGTATATCGTAGATAACTTTACATACGTAATTTAAAACTTATCATAATTATATTGACCAACTCTCAAATTTGACAAGTTGGATGTTTCGAAAAAAATACGTCCTACAAAACTTGTTTTTAATCTAAATTCATGTTCCGAAGTGATTATTATATTACCTTAGACGTCCCAAAGATTAAACATATTAACTTATAAGTAGAGCATTAATATATAGATCTTAATTAGATCTCTTCTATGGGACGACGTCGAACTCAAAAGAATCTATGAGCTATGCTAGGATGGGAGACCTTCTTGTTGACGTGTAGACCTTTTATTTCATTTCTAGTCAACCAAATACGGTTTTACATCATACCGTATAAATCATGCCTTATAAGAAGATTAACAACTTAAATAAGCATATATTGTATTATATAAAATCGCATAGAGAAATAATGATTTGATTAGATTAGTCATAAACTCATACCGAGTGATACAAAACGCACTTTGCTACCGTCCAAATAATGAATGTATAAAAGATGGCTATCACACGTGGCAAATAATGAGTGGATTACAGCTGCCAAGATGCAACTCGCATTAAATTAATAATAATCCGTTAGTTGCATCGCACGCTGTGTTAATCTTTCGGCGCGACTTATGCTTCTTCGTTTTTATTAACATTTCATAATCATCAACAATATAGGTAAGGTAATTAAGGAATACTATTTACTTAACCTTTTAAGTATGTGTTTTGACGCGTTATCAAGTACTAACACTAATCTAGCTTTCCGTTTAGCAATATTTTTTCTATACGTTTTCTCAAACAAATCTTTATATAAATTAGCTTCGATAAATGTATATATGTAATGTAGTTACGTCTATATAGCTATACAGAAATTACCTGTTTTCAAACCCGGCTACGACTATAAGAGGACTAATGACCATCTCTTGTTGCAAGACATGTTTAATAATAAGCGCATGATGGTAACCAAAGATATTGGAAGCTCATAGAATACGATGCATGCACATGTCAATTAATCAGAAAACCCTCCAAATATAAGACAGCATTTTATTTTATTTTTCTTTTTAACAGTAAAATAGTAAGAGTATTGTAAAAAAACACGTCTATAAGAAAACATACAAGTGCTACTTTTATTTCTTGATGAGAGACAAAAGAGCCGACCCACCCACCACATCATGTTAATAGTTGTGGTCAACGGATCAAACGCCCACCACATAGATAAGTATTGCAGACTTGCAGTAATCTCGGTAATACTACACTAGTAGTAATAGATTAACAATAAGTAATCGAAATTAATAGATTAATACACTAATTACATGGGCAAAAACAAAAGAAAATAAAAATATAAACTCCCACGTGCGTGAACACGTGGTTCGTGACCCTAGATCACTTTGTCGACAGCTTTCTCGTATTCCTAATTTATCTGTTCAGCAGATGAACCAACCAACGAACGGACGGACGGAACATACATACTCTTTCCCCCGTACAGATTTTTAACTGCAAAAAGTTTTTGTTCGAAAAACAGAACTATCAAAAAAGTATATTTTATATTCCATTTGATAAAAGTACTTTATTATTCTTATATACTAATCTATATATATCGGAAATGCGTATTGGTCCTTTATTTTATGTCCTCCAATACATATCCACTAATTATATTCCATTTTGACACACAATTTCAAACCAAAATTCATGATATTGCTCATACCTCATAATGTTCTATACTCTTCCAGTTTAGTAGGGATATATGGTTGAAATCTTTTTTTAGTTTTTTTTTTCCTTGTGCATATAGAACAACTCGAATCTTTTGAAAGATTTGAACGATTCACAAAATACCAAATTGATAGAGTTAAGAATTCAACTAACTTTTACTATTTGAGATAAAACAAGTTGAAAAAAAAATTATGAATTGTGAATAGTATAGAAATGGGTTTATAATATAATTTTGTTTTTATCTTGTTTGTAGAAAAAAAAATATGAAGAGATATCTAATGACTTCATTTAAAATCAAAAGGAAAAAAATGTGACGTACATAAAGTTTTTAAACTACAAAGCAAAATTAAACTTCCTTTGACCAAAAAAAAAAAAAAACAGGTAAAAGTACTGAAACTTTTAAGAACATTTATAATAACTTTCAAAACACTAGAAAACAAAACAAAAAAAATCTTGATTTTTAATACATACGTTTTTTGTTTATGTTCTTGACTAAAATACTTTCCTTTTATGAAGAAATCTTATCTAAAAATAATAATTTAGACTCCGGACGTCATGTTAGAAAGAATTTTTTCTTAAAAAACCTCTAAAACAAATACTACAAAATATATAATTAATTAATTTCCAAATAAACAGCTTTATTAAACCAAAGAAGGAAAAAAGAAAAAAACAGAGGAGAGACTTTTTTTTTTTTGTTTTTTTTTTTATAACTTTGAGAGCCCTTCACTCCGATTCGTAGAGAGTTTCCTAGATACTACCATTTCATATATTTTTTTTGTAACCTTTTCTGTATTTGTTGTATTTGGCTTTCGTTAATCCAAATCCGTAAGTACCTTCTTTGTTGTTATTGTTATATATTAATCTCTTTCTAATTCTCTTCGTTAAGATTCTCCTTTTTTTTCTTTCCTTCTTGCTTCTTCTTCTTCTTCATTCTCCGTTGTTGATTCATTTTCAGATCAGTGATTCCTACCTACGGTTTTATTTTTTTTTGAAATTTCTCTGTTTTGTTTTTTGAGGTCAAATTGAGTTTTTTTCCTCATTTGGAATCTGAAGATCTGACATTTGAAGCTACCATTTCTTTTTCTTTTTGGCGATTGAATCTTGATGCTTCAATAAAGAAAAATATTTTTGTTTTGAGGTTGTTCTGATTCCATTTTTGACGATCTCAATATCGAAAATGGGAATACTCTGAATCGTCTTCTGATTGATTCTTTTTGTTTTCTTGAGATTTCTCTAAAAGTCTCTCTCTCTCTCTCTCTCTTTGCATTTCGTGTTTGGTTTTCGGAATCTGTACCGGAGAAGATGGTGGAAGATCGGGCGTATTTGATATCAAGGGTATTCTCAAGTTCTCGTCTTTCTGAATCGAAGTGGCCTTACATGTTTCCAGAAGCAGAGGATTCCTCTGACTCCAAGCTCACCAGTGGCGGCAAGAGAGCTGCTCTGGATGAGCTCCAAGACGACGACCTCAGACAGAGCAAGTCTCTCAGATTGATGGGGTTGTCCGAAATTCATGGCAATGTTTCGTCTGATGAAGAACAACAAGACCAAGAACAAGAGTCTGATTCTAACAATGGTAATAATAATGATGGCGATTCACTTATCAACGATATTGGCAGGGACAATTCGATCAGCTGTTTGATCCGTTGCTCCAGGTCTGGTTACGGCTCCATTGCTTCCTTAAACCGGAGTTTCCGGTCTCTGGTTAAGTCCGGAGAGATCTACAGACTCAGGAGGCAAAACCAGATTGTTGAACATTGGGTTTACTTCTCCTGCCAGCTCTTGGAATGGGTTGCTTTCAATCCTGTTGAAAGGAGATGGATGAGTCTGCCAACTATGCCTTCAGGTGGTACCTTCATGTGTACCGATAAAGAATCGTTAGCTGTTGGCACGGATTTGCTTGTTTTAGGCAAAGATGATTACTCGTCCCATGTTATATACAGATATAGTCTTTTGAATAACTCTTGGTCATCCGGTATGAGGATGAACTCGCCTAGGTGTTTGTTTGGCTCAGCGAGTCTTGGAGAGATTGCAATCTTCGCTGGTGGTTGTGACTCTCGTGGCAAAACCAGTGATTCCGCTGAGATTTATAACTCCGAGCTTCAGACTTGGACTACACTTCCAAAGATGAACAAACCGAGGAAGATGTGTTCGGGTGTTTTCATGGATGGGAAGTTCTATGTGATTGGAGGGATTGGCGGAAAAGACTCTAAAGTGCTTACTTGCGGTGAGGAGTTTGATTTAGAGACGAAGAAATGGACGGAGATCCCGGAAATGTCGCCTCCAAGGAGCCGGGAAATGCCAGCAGCAGCAGAGGCGCCACCTCTTGTTGCGGTAGTGAAGAATCAGTTGTATGCTGCGGATCATGCTGACATGGAAGTGAGGAAGTATGATAAGGAGAGGAAGAAATGGTTTACATTAGGGAGATTGCCCGAGAGAGCGGACTCGGTTAACGGTTGGGGATTAGCGTTTAGAGCTTGCGGCGAGCGGTTGATTGTAATTGGTGGTCCTAAGAGTTCAGGTGGAGGGTACATTGAGCTGAATTCTTGGATACCAAGGAGTGATCAAAGTCCTCCTCAATGGACATTGCTCGATAGAAAACATTCATCGAACTTCGTATACAATTGTGCGGTGATGGGTTGCTGATCGATCATAAAAATAATAAGGTTTCAACAATAATTTTTCAGATGATTTTTAAGATTCTCCTCTTCTTGTTGGAGGAGATGTCCAAATTTTCAGTCTTTTTTATTTTATTTTAATTTTTCGTATTTATTATAAAAGAAATTTATTTCAATTCAATTGGATACATAATCATCTTGGTGGTATTGTAAGATTCTTGAAAAGAATAGAAACAGGTTTTTGTAATAAGTTTGGTGGAGAAAGTTCAGAATCAAGAGTTTTTATTTTATTCAGTTCTGTTATAAGTTATTGAATTTTGTTTTCTGAATTTTGTCTTATATATATATATATATATATATTCATTCTGTGTTTTGAGTTTCTTATATATACAAGATACATCTTGATCTATGTATAGTTGTAGTTTGCAAGATACATACATCTTTGATATTTTTTACTTGCAAGTAATACCTAAAACTTTTTGAAAATTCTCTTTCCTTTTTCTTTTGGTTCTCTCTGTTTTGGGAGTTTTGGTTCTTTCTTCAGACAATGGTTGCAATAAATTCTTTGAAAAGTTTTTAAAAAAAAAGAAAACCAAAGATGGAGTTTAAACATGAAAATGGCAGTTTGAATCTGATTTTGACGTGTAGGTCTCTGTCATTTTCTTTTGGATCCATCAGCTTTTGTATGATTTTCATGAGCTATTAGACCATAAATATTAAAAAGAACAACCACCTAACATTAGCTAGCTATGCTAAGCTTTTGCTAGTTCACTAAATATAGATACTTCAAAACAAAAATGGAGATGAATCATCCAATCACGGAATCACCCACCTCCTCTATATTTAAAACTGCAAAAGCTATTACAATCGTCTTAACACTTTTTTTGTAAATAATGTTAAGTGAACTGTCTATTAATAAAATAAAACAAGACTATTAGAAATTAATTATTATGCTTTACATTTTTATTAAAATTAATAAAGGCGAATTTTCTTGTAAAAAACATAATTAGTAAAAATAAAATGGATAAGAATCAAACTTACTGTTTCATTTTACTAATAAAATGGCACAGTTAACAATACATCCAAACTTTTAACCATTTCTGATTATATTTCAGTATAGCATACAAATCCTAAAACGTTTACCTTGTGTGCTGCTTGAGTATAGTATATCATTTTCTTATTTCAGATTATATCTATCTTGTTACGAACATAGTATACAAGTAAAGAAGAGGTAGGATCATTTCGAATATCAGATAAAGTAAAAGGTATGTTGTCAAAACCGAATGAGCAAATATCATTTAAAAGATTAAACAAAGAGTCAACAAAAACATTCAGAATACTGATTGTGTCCAACTAAAAAACTTAAACAACGCCAGAGAAATGAAGATAAGTAAAAAGTTTCAGACTGATTATGATTCTGCTTCACCGGAATGAAAAGACTTCAGCTCTGATACTCTTCAGTAGTGGGCTGGCAAAAAGGCACTTCCTGGCTGACGGTTAGCCAAAGGTCCGTGACATGAGAGGAACTGCAATAGAAACCAAACCAAAGCATTGTTCAATTCAAGCAACAAAATATGTTTCTAGTTATTACTATTACTAGTAACACAAGACAATACCTTAGCGTTGACACCATCAGGAATAACACGCTTCTCTTGCCTCAACTTAGTGAAGTCTGCCCTGTTGAACTTAGTGAATCCCCTGAAATTAAAAAACAAGTCACACGCTTGATGAGTTAGCTTGCTTGTAGCCATTAAACAGTGAGATAACTCAAAGTGAAAGGACAATTCTAAAAACATACCACTTCCTGCTGACAATAATCTTTTGACGACCAGGGAACTTGAACTTAGCACGACGAAGAGCCTCTTGAGCATGGTGACCATGGGCATCCTTGCAACGAACAGACAAAAGCACCTGTCCAATGGCAACACGGGCACAAGTACCCAAAGCTTTACCAAAAGCACCTCTCATACCAGTCTGAAGCCTATCAGCTCCAGCACACGAAAGCATCTTGTTAATCCTGAGAACATGGAAAGGATGAACCCTGATCCTCAAATGGAAAGCATCCTTTCCAGCAGACTTCACCATATACTTGTTGCAAGCAATACGGGCAGCCTCAAGAGCTTCACTCGACACATTCTCCTTCTCCCACGAAACCAAATGAACACAGAATGGGAACTCGTCCACACCCTTCCTCTTCATACCGACGTCATAGATCCTGATTTTGGGATCTGGCACACCACGACAGTAGCGAGATTTAGGGTAGGGTTTACCCTTGATCTGACGGTAACACCTCGCAGGTCCTGTAATATAAGATTTAGACTTTAGCTCGGAACCATATCTATGATTATTCTCACATCAACCAAATACTGATAAATCAACAATCAAAATATTCTAATCAGAAGGGAGATTTAACCTAACCATTTGTACAACGAATAGCAAAAATCAAATGCAGAATCTATGATTCTAAAACGCATTTCAACTAGATGAACAGAATAATCAACCTCAGAATCTCAAATCGAAACAAAGGGGGAACATTTGGTATAATAAATCCATGGAGGAAATGGGAAAAACCCAGAGACCATAGCTAAGAATACAAGAGAGATCGAGGAACTTACTTCTTCCCATGGCGTCTTTCTCCCTATCTCAGCCAAAAAGCGCGGCTGCTCGACGAAAAAACAGATACCCTAGAAAATGACTTCAATTTATAGATCTGATCTTTTCTAGGTCAACAATTTGCTGCTGTGCTATAACTCATGGGCTTTTTTTAAAGCCCATTATAAATGAAAGATAGTTGTTAAAGCCCATTATAAATGAAAGATAATTATTAAAGCCCATTGTCAATGAAGTTTCCCTCCCTCCAGGTTGCAACAACTCACTCATACCGAAACTTTTCCAGCCATCACTAATAAAGCCATCATCACGTGCAGCCTGAGTAAACTGCTTGAGCGTATTGGTTTATAACAAGAACAATAAGCTTTTGTGTTATCCTCTTTGTACCTACTACAGGACTGAAGATTTATGATTCCCAAAACCAAATCTTTATAGTCAGTTTCCATGGATGTCCGTTTATATGGGAGTTTGGTTTATTATGTCAAGAGTTTAATCTCTATTTTGTAATTTGTTTTCACCATTTTCTTCTTATTGTTTGTTACTTAGCTTCTCGTGATCTCCATCCACTTGATTTAAAATTTTAGATTCTTGTTGTCCAAGTTTGCAGCTTTTTCTTTATTAATGAACTTTAAAAGACAGATTACATAATTGACTGAGTAAATGTATACATGATCCAAGATAAAAAAAAATGTTGCAGAGCAAAATCTTCGAAGCTTAGAGTTCTGAAACCAAGATCCGCTCTTGTATGTCTGAAAATGTCTGCACATCTTTTCCCCACAACCTAGATATTCAAAGAAAAAAACAGTAACGATTTCATCACTCAGAATTTCGACAAAACAGGAAAAACATAGCAAGTTGAAAAGTATTTGTGCCGCACCAACAAGCGATACCAATGGCGTTGGATCCGCCTTTATCAGCTCCTTCATCATCTCCGACATGCACTGCTCTGTTTGCTTCTACGCTGATTTGTTCTGCGCTCGACATGGAATCTTTAAATGTAAAACCTTATGTAGTGATTTCAAGAAACAACACTTCAGTTTAGGATGCAATACCTAACGCGGATTTAAAGATTCGTTCATCAGGCTTCTCGTATCCGACTTCAGAGGATACAATCACAGCATCAAACCTACAAAAGAACGAACATAATACACAATAAGCATTTATGGTGTTAACTTTAAAACTCAGATTCCAGGTTTAATAACAGAACATGATAAAGCTTACATATCTATGACATTAAGATCCTTCAATAGCTTTCTTAGCCGGCTATCAAAATTAGACACAACAGCCATCTTAACTGCAATCATCTAACACCAATTTTAGAAATCAGCAATAATAAATACAAAAAGTAATCTAAGTACATAAACAAGAAGAGAGTTCTTCAATGTAATAAATAACCTCCAGCATCTTTCAGTAGTGACATTGTCTCATAAGCTCCTTCTGGGAGATGCCATGCCTCGCCATTCGCGTAATACTAAGAGAAAGACACAGATGATTAACCCGTCTTTCATGCATCAGTGTGATGAATTGTTAATGGAACATAAAAGAACACTCAAACACTCTTTCAGTCGATACTAACTTGGTAGACTTCTTCGAAGTAGTCATTATCAGAACAACCAGTAGCTTCCGAAACAACAAGCTTCCAGAACGGTCTTCCATCTCCCTGACAGTAGAATGAAAGATGTTTTAATACAATGGCTAACCGTAACGATCAAAAATAGAATCTGTTAAAAAGAGAGATTCACTCATTCATTCAGGGACCTGATAACGCAGCTTCTCAGGCCACGGAGCAGCAAAAACTCTCTTGAAACCTTGCTTAATCTCAGCTGGAGTTGTCTTGACACCTGAACTAGAAACAAAACCAAAAAAAAAAAAAACAACTTGAGAACGAGCATATGAGATTGGTGTCTGTACGGGTCAAATAGTGTAAGAAAGTGACCATATTTTTGGCCCAAGGAAGCGTAGGTTTCATGCACAGGTTTCGACAATTGCAGAAGAGTTCCTCCAGCATCAAGCAACAATCCATCATAAGCTCTCTTGATTGGCTTGCCTTCACAAATGAAAGCGAAAAAAAAACTCAGAATCATTCATCAAATCCCAATTCTGATTCCGTTGATAAAGAATCCCTTATTGATAGAACGCCCAATCTCCGATTCACTTGAATCAAAAAGCAACTATCACAGATTCCAATTCAATTTCGCCATTATAAAGGAGGATAAGCAACTAACCAGTGCTGAAAGAGACGGAAGAAGAGCGGAGAGAGCTGGAGAGTGGTCTCAAGGTTTCAAATAGATAGCTTCCTCGTGAACATCTCAGACAAGCTCCCATCTTTGTGAATTCCGAAAATGTCAAGATTTCTTCTACAGACAAAGCTCTCTTTACAAAAATGTGACTGGTTTGATTTTAGGAGAAATTTCAGAAAAAAGTCCTCAAACTAACTAAAACATTACAAAGTAACCCACTAATATAATGTTTGCTGTCTTTAAGTCTTAATCAGCGGATACAACAAGAAAAGAAGTAATTAGTCAGATGCTTATTTTGTATTTTTCATAAAAAAAAAATTATTATGAAAACTTTGATTAGTCTGTGGGTTATTTTGCAATTTTTCTTTTCTGAACTTGGGTTTGTAAAACCTTCTGACTGGAGTGGAGTGTTTTAGTTTGTCGTGTAAACAAAAAACCCTGAGGATTTTTCGTGTTCTCCGGCGGAGATATTGCGGGCAGAAACGTTGACACACTCTCTCTCACTTCATCGGAGACCACATATATGGCGACGGAGCTGGAAGAGCTTGTTGAATTTTTGTCATCTCCTTCTCCGCCTGTAAGTTTTTTTACATTTGGTTTCATCTCTTTCTGAGCTATGAGGCTGCGCCGACAATTTTAGATTCTAGGGTTTTTGGTTTCCGATGATCCTGATTGAATGGAGAAACAAACATGTAGGTGAAGAAAGCTGCGGTGGAGATTGTTAGTGGGTTAACTGGTTCGGAGGAGGGTTTACAATCTCTATCCAAGTATTCTGAGATTCTTCTTCCATCTCTGTCTCGTCTTCTATATGAAAGCAAGGTTCATTGGCTCAAATCTTAAGAAGCACTATTTTTTCTTTTTTTAAATGGATTTGGATTGGTATTGAACTGTTTGAATTCATATTTTCCAGGAGGTATCAGAGCCAGCAGCTCAGGCTCTTGTAAATCTTTCTCAGAACTCTGAAATTGCTGGGAAGATGATTCAAATGGGCTTGATCAAAGTGGCCATGGACATGTTGTATAAACCAGAGTCTTGTATTACCAGATTGCTTGTTATGCTTCTGGTTAATCTCACTCAGTTGGATGATGGGGTTTCTTCTTTGCTTCAGGTTGTTTATCTTTGTTAATTACCCTTCTATCTTGAATTATCAAGTTAAACTTTTGTAATGGTGGAGAGTGGTAGCTAATCGTTGAAAACTTTATCACTTTGTTAGATTGACGATGAGAAGATGCATGGACTACATATCATGAAGCTTGTTAGGTCATTTTGCAGGTCTGCTGATGAAACTTCTGGTATGTTCTTACCACCACAGTCTTTTATTGGTTATATAATTTGATAATAATAGTCTGTAGATATGATAATCTGGAATATCTTTTATCTATATCATGTTTGTGTTTCATATATCGGATCACCGGTAAGACTAAAAGTTCTTAAGTCTTAATTGCGTCCTGAGTCCTAATTGCTCCCATATATTTTCTGATTTTGTCAACGTGTAATGCTTGCATTTGGACCATTGAAATAGTTCTTTACACGCTAAGTAAATAATATGCATAGTGTCTTACTGTTAGTTTAGTTTATGGTTTGCAACCATATTACATTGCTACTGGATAGAAAGACGAAAAAATTACTGAATGTTGTTCTTGTGTTTGCACCAGATGATAAGTTTGAGCATGTCGGCTCAATCCTTGTCAACATATCAAAAACAGAAGATGGGAGGAAATTGTTACTGGAGCCAAAGAGAGGACTACTGAAACAGATTATTAGGCAGTTTGATTCTACAAATCAATTGCGAAAGAAAGGGGTATGTCCAAAGGAGTTTGGCAGATTACTAACCTGTTACTTAATCTATCATTTGTATAATTTAACATGGATTATGGTTTATTGGTGTTCAGGTAGCTGGAACAATTCGTAACTGCTGTTTTGAAGCGAAAAACCAACTCCAGAATATACTCTTGATATCAGAGTTTCTCTGGCCCGCTCTGCTCCTACCAGTTGCAGGCAACAAGGTTTTTTGATATTGCTTTATAGCTGTTACATTATCGCTAAATGAAGTTATGAGAAAACAGTCGTTGATCATTGGGTTTTTACCTTGATTAGACATACAGTGAGCAGGATATCTCAAAAATGCCACCTGAGCTTGGAAGTGCACTTTCCATTGAGCGAGAACCAGTTACTGATCCTGATATTCGCGTTCAGACACTAGAAGCTATATATTTGATCATCTTAGAGGTATAAACAATTCTCTTTGTCGATGCTGTGCCTTTTGTTTTTACTTATACCTGGTTAGTAATTCACCAAATCCAAAACCCACAAAAAATCTTCTGATATGTTGCAGGAGGCAGGTCGAAGAGCATTTTGGTCAGTCAACGGACCACGGATTCTACAAGTGGGATACGAATACGAGGAAGATCCGAAAGCAATGAGAGCTTATGAGCAAGTCGGTTCTTTGGTATGTTCTCATTGACTGATTCTACTTGACTTAAGATAACATATTTCTAAGCATTGAGTCAATGGCATTGACCCTTGCTCGCATTCCTGTCTTAACCAGCTTGTTGAAGAAACCGGAGGCCCTGAAGATTCATCGGAACCGACAAAAGCAGAGTCTTAAAAAGTTAACATTATTTGTTGTCTATGGCTCTTAGTCCCCATTTTTGCCGGCTCTCCAAAAGGAAGTAACTTGTCCTGTATCATGAACAAAGTTATCTTCTCTCTTTTCCATGGGAAGAGTTGCTATTATATTTTGTGCACTTGTTGTAACACTAGAGATTTCCTATTAACTTATCTTATTAGTGTTCCATCTTCTATTTGATAAAGACTTGTTACACATTTGGCTATTTCCCCTAATGGTTCTGAATCTGGATCGGAAATCAAAAAGATAAGGTTCTATTTAATTTACTACTCCTTTTTAAACATTGAAATCTTCAAATGAATGTAAGTATAGAACCAATGTCCAATACAAATTATTGCAACACCACGAGGCAGCCACCGAATACCACAATCGGACAGAGAGGCAGAGTCAATGATTAGATTGTTTCTTTAGACTTTTATGTTACACACTTTGGCATGTGTTCTACTGTTCTTTCAACTTTATCATAATCATATTATAACCACTCGCATTTATCTTTTAAAGTAGTTTATAATTAGCACACATTAAAATTGAAACCAGTTGGCGCCTTTGACCATTCCTTTAAAGCCACGTGGCTTTGGGGAATTAAAATCAGATTAGATCTTTCTCTCTGTTCATCTCTCTCCCTTCTTCCTCCGCGTCTTCTTCTTCTTCTTCTCGACGAGGCGACGAAGAAGATTCTAATCTAATCTCCTTCGTGTAGTTTTTAGCTCTCTTAAGGGAGGGATTAGCGAAGAGGTGACGCAATTTTCTTCAGGAGGTGTTTTGAATAATTTATAATTTATTTTGTCGGGTTGTTGTGGGGAGAGGAGATTGATTAGAGTTAGGAGGAGAAAGATGATGGGTTTCGAGATCACGGATGAGTTTCTGGGGACATTCGTGCCGATTGTGGTGTATTGGGTGTATTCAGCAATGTACATTTGCTTAGGATCTTTGGATAAATATAGATTGCATTCCAGGATTGACGAGGATGAGAAGAATCTCGTTACCAAATCTACCGTCGTCAAGGGCGTTCTTCTTCAACAGACTCTTCAAGCCATTATCGCCGTTCTTCTCTTCAAGGTTTTCATCCCTTCTCTCTCTATCTCTTCCTTGCAAATCTGTGATGTTGGTTGCAGATTATGATATGTTTAAGGGGGGTTTTCTGATTTCATAGCACTTTATGTTGTCCTGAAGCTGTTGAATCAAAAAGGTTACAAATTTAGGATGATGCAACAGAAAGGGTTTAAATTTTCTGGAGATTAATTTGATAGATAAGAACATGGATCTCCTGTTTCTTGCTGTTTTTGATAGAGGATTTGCTAGCATCTTTTGTTTTCACTTTAGTTTTTTCAAACATTTTGCCTACTTTACCTAGCTAAATAGATCCAGATTTCTGATTTTAAGTTCTTTTGGAGGAATGCTATCATCTTTCTCCTTCATCATCAGTCACATTTGTAAAGTTTTGTTCTTCCAATGTAGATCATTTATAAACAGTCTTGAACTTTTCACTTTACATGTGTTTAGATTCATGATGTTTATCTGTATTGGTTTGTGGTTTACAGCTCTCATGTTCTGGATAATATTTGTTGGAGGGAAATTCATATATTAGCATATCATGATCTGAAATTTTGTTTGAAATTTCGTTTTTTGTGTGTTTATTAGATAACAGGGAGTGATGCAGATGCTGGTATGACACAGCAGTTTTCCGTTTTAGTTCTGGCTAGGCAGTTTATCATCGCTATGCTTGTAATTGACACTTGGCAATACTTCATTCATCGATATATGCACCTCAACAAGTTCTTGTACAAGCACATCCACTCTCAGCACCATCGCCTTGTCGTGCCTTATGCATATGGAGCTCTATACAACCATCCACTAGAAGGTCTTCTCTTGGACACCATTGGTGGTGCTTTGTCTTTCCTCTTCTCTGGTATGTCCCCAAGGACTGCCATCTTTTTCTTCTCCTTCGCTACCATCAAAACAGTAGATGATCATTGTGGACTATGGCTTCCGGGAAATCCATTTCACATCTTCTTCAGTAATAATTCTGCTTACCATGATGTTCACCATCAGCTCTATGGAAGCAAATACAACTTCTCGCAGCCATTCTTTGTCATGTGGGATAGGATTCTCGGTACTTACTTGCCTTATTCACTTGAGAAAAGAGCAAACGGAGGATTTGAAACACGGCCGATAAAAGTATCCAAGGATGAGTAGTTTTTCCTTTCTTTCTTGTGGGGATTCTTATCACTGCTATGCCACATCATCATTTGTTCGTTAGAGAGAACCACTGTAACCTTTGCGTACTTGTAACTGTACATACACTTCCAATCTAATCCTTTTCAATCTGCGGGCATATGTTTCTGTGTAAGCTAGCAGTAAATTCATTTTGTAATAGACTTCAGATCTTCTCTGTTGTTATTATCTGCTTTATGATTTCAGATTTTGAGACCTGTTACTCTGTTACAGTCTCATCTATCTCAATTATTAAGAATTGACATACACATACAGATTACATAGTCATTGCTTATTTTCTATATGCAGAGAGGTTCTTGCTTTTGTTGTTCTTATCCTCTACAAACATGGCAACTTGGTGATATATAGACCAATGAAGTGACTGCTCAATCATTGAAAAAAGTGGACCTTCGAAAGGGATGCTATACCTATCTTCAAGATCCATTGATACTTGACAAGGTTGATGTTTACTTGACAAATTTGGTTTCATTGATGTTAGACTGAAATTTGATATATCATTTTAGTACCTTACTGGATTCAGTGTATCAGATTTACGATTCAAAGGTTGTTTTTTAATTAGATCCAGTGAATACCTTGAAACAGTGTATTACAAATTTACAATCAATCTTTTTTCTCAAAACCTAACATTCTTCCTGAGTTGGTCACAGAGACATATCATCATCAATGACACAATTAAGGTTTTGTCCACGTCTAACTTTATCTCCTTATCATCACATGGTCTTGAGATGAGTTCTCGACCAGAAGATTCTGGATTGGCTTTTAAGACATGTTAGGTGGACGGACACTATCATTGTTTGATTGAGTTTCCTCATTTAAGGCTCTTTTAGGCAACTCGTACGGACTTTGATTAAACCGTTAAATCTAAGCCTAATCAGGTATCTTCTATTCTTGAGACAAGCACATGAAAATGAGGTGGACCAATTGTGTTTTGTGTCTAGTCTACTTGCTGCATTAAAATCTGTCTCCCGAGTCAACATAAGGTTCCAATTCACACCTAAATATGTCACATGGACTTGCATTCTTAGTTATGTCTTATTTGCAGATTAGACACAAGTGTCTAGTCTTCACATGGTGCAGTTCCTGAAAAACTCAGGCGATAATACAGGTGAGTTCTTGGACGGATCACGTTTCATCTTTACTCATTTGTGGTCATCAAAAGCATTTTTTTAGGATTGATTCATGATAAAGATTTTGATTTGCAGTCCTCTATCGACATGCTTCGTTAATAAACCCCGTTAAAGCAAGCTGCACTAATCTCCTTGCAGACTCAATTTGATCAGCATTATAACTTTTAGGTACAAGAACTTTAAGATGATATTAGCAAAACAAATGTTTTTTCACTCAATAGACATTACATGTAAAGAGAACAGAGCTAGGACTTTTGGCATCATTAAGTATACAAGAAAGATGATTGCGTGTGGGAAACCGAACTACTGCTGATCCTCCTTCTTGTTTCAATGCTTGTCGGATTAGCCTCTACTGGGAATCTTGGAACATAAATCGGTGTTCTGTTCATGCTTGTGTAAGAATCACCAGAGACTCTGACAGATTTATGACTCTTGCATCCCAATAATAAACCGCCACTGCTTGATTTACGTCTCTGAGGAGCGGTTTCTCGGTTTGATTTCGCCATGATAGGGATCCGAGGAATCTGAAAAGACCGGTTCTTTTTTACAGGGCTCGTTGCACATTCAGACATTACAGAGAAATCCGCTACACTTGCCGTTACTACGCTCCACTGTATGCTTACCTCACTTGGTGCATAACCATTTGGTGAGTCTGGATCACTGCTTCCTTGCCTTGCAAGAAAGGGCTTTCCCTTCCCTGTTAAGCTCTCAATCTCAAAAAGATCCGTACTTACATCACTCACCCTCCCATCTTCTTCTTCTTCATACTTCACAGAGATTACATGTTCCTCAGCTTTAGCAGAAGCAGAGCTCGAGTATTCCCATGGAAATTTCTTCTGAATGGTTCTCTTTTCGATTAGAGGAGATCCAAATATTTCCAGAGACTTCCTCTGCTCTAACATTGCTTCTTGTTGTTGTTTATGAATCTTCATCTCTGAGCTTAGATTTCCAGAGAAACTCAATTGAGTCTTGATCTTCTTCAGACCAGAGCTTCTTCTCTTCTCGTCGACCACGTCCACTGAATTCCAATTCGAACAAACGCATCTGCAGCCAAGATTAGCGAGAAAGCTCTTCTTGCTATTGACCTTTTGATTGCTAATAATATCCTTCTCCTCCTGGAAGTAACTGTTGCAGGTAGAGTTGTTCTTGATGTTCTTGTTCTTCTCCATATATTTGCTCTGAAGCAACAAGCTCTGGCTATTCCAGCTGGATTCAGACAGAAGACTCGGAGTTCCCGAGGAATTCTTGGAGCTTTGCTTCGGACCAACGAAGATTCTCTCGATTGGAACTTCAGGGACTGACAGAGGAGACGCAAGTCTAGGACTGTGGTCGGAATCCATATCTCCATTAAAGTACTTCTCAGCTCCAAACACACTGATCTCCAAATCTTCAGAATCTTTTTTCTTGTTAATCCCAAGAACATCTGGATTGATGTTCATGTTCATACCACTCATGAGGTTCTTCTGCGTGAGGGCATCTTCCTTCCTTGTCAAGTAAGAAAAAGAAGTAGAAGAAGAAGAAGAGAAAGGACTATGGAGATTGTTGCTGTTACTGTTATTGTTGTTCAGCATGAAATCAAACGATATGTTTGGAGTTGAAGAAGATGAAGTTAAGGTAGTAGCCATTTCTCTTTGTTTTTTGCATTAGTATTTCTTGTGAATGATTTAGATTTTGAGTATATATAGACGAAATGAAGAAGTTACTGAACCTATGTGTCACTTGTTCAATGCGTGTCGTGTCGTGTAGGTTCCATAAGTGGGACAAGATTGCAAATTTGCCAGTAGAACTTTGCTAATGGTCGAAAAAATATTAATATTTTTTTGTCTTGGTTACAAAGGAAAACGAATTTTTTATAAATTGTAAAAGAAAATAAGTGGATATGATTCGCCTAGGGAACAAAATTACAAATTAGAAAACACGAGGGATGTACGTATTTTGCGACATACTGTGACCTTTTTGACAAAGACCTTCCGAGTTGGTCGCTCAAGGCTTTGGGCATATTTTGATATAACTGGGCCTTGATTTAATACGGATCTTTTTTACCCGCCCGTTTTAGTCGGATCTTATCATCTTCCTCAATCTGACAACATTTGTGTGGAAGTTCTCTAAGAAGAACAAGGAAAAATAAAAGTTTTTTCTTTTCTTTTCAGTCGAACAATTCATAATGGTTTCACAGATAATCTCTTGTTTATCTCAATCTTCGTCTCTGTTATGTTTCTCCGATTCACGGAGGATGAGTCTGCAGAAGGCTTATAACCGTGGCGGTTTGAGCCGGTTTTCTCCGGGATTTACTAGCCGCCGGTTATTTACCGTTAACCGGAGGAAATGGAGATCCGCTTGCATTTTCAACTCTGGGAAAGAACCTGGAGGAGATGGAAAGGTTACTGTTTCTCTGACTCTAGCTCATTTAGTTTCATTTGAGGTTTCCGGTCTAATGTTTTCTGAGGCAGCTTAAATTCTATTGAATCCAAGTTCTATCGATTGTGATAAAAGGTTAGATTTTTCAGAAAAGATTTGTAAGCTTTTATTTGGTTGTTTTCTTATAGTTACAAGGAGGTAGCTCAGAGTGGCCGATACTTCAGAGGTGGGAAGTTCCTTGGGGATGGCAGACAGTTTCCTTAACTTCGTTTGCTTGTGCATTAAGGTACTTTCATTGAAAGCTTTCCTGTTGGTTGAATTTAGGGTTGGATTTTGATTCTGTGTTAGGATTAATGTAATCATTGAGTAGATTGTTTTGAAAGATAATCTCTCTGTTTTGTTTAAAGTAGTTAAAGGTTTAGTGACCATCCTCCGTATGAACATATAATCCTCTCAAGTTCTTAACTTTATTGATGTATGGGAGTGAGATTAATTTTGTTCCCAGGCAGTTTTGTTTTGACAGGTTTAACCGAGATGGCAGCCATACCGTTTTTAGGAATTGATCCTGAGAAACTGAGCTTGGACGATAAGGCGGAAATTTTGTTCCTGGATCAAGGGTACCAAACCTACTATTCTTTGTGTATCTTAGTAACATAGTCACAGTCTTAGCTCTTTTTTACCTTGTTAATATACACTGATTATAGAATCTCACTGCTTTAGCCGATTTTACTTTGTAAGTTTAGTTGTTTTTTGAGTTCATAAGTTATTGAAATGCCTTATGTTTAATGACTTTATCTAAATACTTTGCAGCCTAACAACTGCAGTGGTACTTGCTGTCATATTCACTGTTGCCAAAACCTTCGAACCACTTCCTGAAGATATTCTTCGCTATGGTACTTTGCTTTTCTTTCTTAATCAACATTGTCTTGCACGGTTTGTTCTGTTATTGCCATCTCACCTTTTTCAATCTTCAGATTTGAGACAACCCTTCAACCTGCAAAAAGGATGGCTCGTGTGGGGTGGAATCGGTATTGCTGGTGCTGTTGGTGCTATTGCGTTAACAGGTGTTGCTTTATCCTTGTTCAGGACAGAGGCACCCGAGAGGGAGGTTAGGAGGAAGATTCACTACCATATTTTATGTTTTTCTAAAATATCTGATGAATAATAGTAATGAGGCCTAGTGTGATGTTTTCAGGTAGACTCTTTGATGAAGATTCTTCCATTAATTGGATCCTCAAGCATCAGGTACTTCCGCAAAGCAATAGAATTCAGGGATGAGCATTAATACTAGAATTTTAATCACATTATACATGATGATTACAGCACCTTAAGCTTAGTGGGCATAACTGGAATCTTTGCCCCACTTCTTGAGGAGACCGTCTTTCGCGGATTCTTCATGGTCTCTCTTACCAAATGGTAAAACCTCTCGTCTTCTTTTCACTTGGTTCTGGACAACAGCTAACTACATTTTGTTTTTTCGGCATTTCAGGGTCCCAACCCCAATAGCGATTATCATCAGCTCAGCTGCGTTTGCCCTTGCCCATCTCACACCCGGTGAATTCCCACAGCTGTTTATTCTAGGTAAAACATAACCCGAAACAATAGCATTTACATCTTCTCATGGTTATAACATCTGGGGATGGAAAATAAGAACCTTTCTTTTCTTCATTCACTTTAGGAAGTGTTTTGGGATTATCATATGCACAAACCCGGAATCTCATTACCCCGATGGTCATACATGGTATTTGGAACTCAGGAGTTATTTTGCTACTCACTTTTCTTCAGGTTAGTAACTCATTCCTATGATCACTACATTGTTAATAGGACCTATCAACTCTTGACTTATGTTTTTCTTTTCCTTTGTTTTTTGGTAGATCCAAGGGTATGACATTAAGGAACTATTGCAGGCAAACTAGCTTTGCTCTTTGTTCTGTCCGCAGTTACCATCAAAAAGATTCTTTATGTGATTGATTTTAGTAAAGATCTTTTGTATTCGAGAAAAGTATTCATAACTTTAATGAAATTTTGGTTTGATCAAGTTATATGTGATGCCTTAATGCCATCATGACAGTACTGTATTACTGAAGTGATAGAGAAAACAATTTATTTATACACAGATTGCAAACTATGTGTCTCGGCTTTTCCCTGTAAAGTTTTGCTCATCTCCCAATCAAAGTCTTTGTTGAAAAACTTAATGCTACATTACAATTTAGGGAAGATTGGGCAAAATCTTTAAAACTCTTAATTTTACATACACATAATCTTTCTTAGATTCGAATACTTAAAAAAAAAAAAAAAAGGACTGCGCTAAGTTAGGACACTCCTTGTTTGTGAGCCGATTCAGAAGGACCTTCATGTAGATCCTCTGATGATCCTGTTGCTATTGAATCTTGGTTAATAATTTCACACCACATATGGTTCTTCAATGATATCATCAGTAAAGATTGTGTGAATTGCTCTGCAAGAAGTGAATAGAAGAGGTTTGATTCAATTTATGAATCCTCTCTTCTCTCTACTTACTGCAAACTAGTCTTTTAACAGCAATTCATGAATCTTTTCCTGCTGAATTCATTGAAAAGCATATACCTGAAACTTTTTTTTGGTGTAATTTACGGCTCCATTGACAAATAATTAATCACGGCTCTAGGTTGCCGCGAGCTGAGAACCAACGCAAACCGAGTGGCCAGGGCCGCTGCTTCCTGTCTTTGTCTCCGCCGATGCAGGATACTGATGGCTGACGCCATGATGTAGCAAGGAAGAAGAAAACTGGCAGCTCGAAGTAAGAAAAGCTGCAAATAGATTTAAAGATGATTTTGTGGTTAAGAATTAGAACTTTGATGACACTTCCAGTTCCAGTATATATGCTCGGAAAGAAGATGTGGTAACTTGATTTGAACTTACAGAAAGTATTGAAGAAGGATCATCTTCACCATCAGAATAATCTGGTATAGTCAGTGCATGTCGCAATAGAAGAAGAGTCATCAACTGCAAAAAGAGAAGAGGAATATTATAACTTGGTAAGAAGTCAGAAACTGGTTGAAACTTGTTGAGAAGCTCTAGAGACTCACGATTAGAGCAGCTGAGCGGAAAAATGCAGCTCCACTAGTATCTGAAGCTGTGTAATCATCATACTCTGATTCTAAAATCTGGCGTTCAGCTTCTGCGATTGCCAGAAGGCGTGGATCGTTTAAATCCAAACCCGAGATTCTCCATCCTCCACTAAAAATACAGAGAAATAAGTTCAGAACAATAACAAGTCATAAAAACCAAACCTTAAGTGTATGACAGAGTTATATAACTGATCATACCCAATGTCAATAGTAGTATCTTCAGATTGAGGTGGAGGTGGTGGAGAGGTATATCCAGCTTGGTATGGCTGGAATAAGAGAAGTTAAAAGGGTGTTAATTTGAGTCCAATTCTCAATCATCTGAGTAAAAGTCTCACGATTAGATAAGCCATACAGTAGCCAAGTATCTCCACTTTGACTATCTCTCAAACTGCATAAGAAATGAATGATCCTAAACTAGTCACCACAAATGTATTATTATTCAGTTGTTCTGAATAATGATAATCGCATCATATAAAATGCAAAGTCATATCGCCAAAACAAGGCTCAATCAATAACGACTACAACAAGAGGCGTCAAAGTATCAAGAGAAAGCTGTATATACCTGATGACAGATCTCACATATAGTGTTGCCCTTTTCATTGCACCAACGCTGAACACATTTCCTGTGAGCATACTGATTAAAACATAAACTTTTGAGTCAAATACTCTGCTTTCTCGTAGTGTATAAGTATGGTTAATCAAAAATTAAAAATTATACCTTTAGGCTGCCATTGCAAGCACATGGACTCTCAAGATTCTTAATAGCACACTCATCCTGACAAATTCGGCACTCCGCCAAAGAAATCAGTAAATCTTCCTCCTCGGTAGTAACTCCGTCGTGGATATCAATTACATTATTATCCTCCGGCGACTCTGATCTCATACTCTCAGCCTCCGTGAGAACCGGTCGAATCAGTCCATCAACATATACAACCGTGTGATTACTCATCTCTCAGTGTTTTCCAAAACCAACTCCTACTATATCCCTAAACGCAAAAGGATACAAAATTCACAAGTATGAGCTACGAATCCGAGAAAAAATCAAGGAGAAATGGAGAGAGATCGAATCGAGAAAAATTCACCTGAGCTAAAAGAAAGATCGGGAAGGAAATGTTAGCAGAGAGACAAGAGAAAAAAGAAAAAAAAAAAAAAGTGATTTTTTTTGCTCCAAAATATATTTCTCGGGAAGAGATGAGAAACTTTCTTCGCAAAGATTTTTCCCGGAAAATAAGGTAATAGGAAACGCTTTTTATAGCGGGAGAGATAACAACGTCTTAAGAGACTTAACGGCTCCGTTAGTTATTATAGCCGTTGACCAGAGTGTAACGGCTCCTAGTGGCAATCTCAAGTAGTCTTCGTTCCCTTCTTTTTTTTTTTTTCTCTTCTGACAGCATCAATCTATCTCTAGTTAATGTTGTTGTCTTAAGATTTATACTTTGGATTTTAAAAGAAGATTACACAAGTTGTTGTTGTTTGATTACAGTTAAACCGAGTCAATTAACTCCAAATTATACAGCTTTTTCATCATCATATATTATTTTAATCCGGTGATCAATTCAACTCATAAGTTTCATTAGTAGATTTGTATATATAGATTCTACATATTTTGCTTTAAAACAGTCACTTTATATATAATTTTTAAAAAACTATTATTGAGTTTTCCTTTTTTCAGTTCTTTTGTTATATCACATTTTTAAAAATAGATACAGTATTTGAGTATTGCCTGAATACAATAACACTATTGAATTTTTATCATAGGTTAGTTTTATATTAGAATGGATAAGGTAACGGCAAGATACAACTATGCATGAAGAAGTCGATTCATTAGAATAAGTAAACACTTGATCTTTTTCACTAATATAAACATTTGGTTTGAAGAATATATAATAGAACTCGCATCAAGGTTTTTAGAAACATGTATTAACGTGGTTGACCATGAATGGTCATGTACTAATTAGATGTAGTCGTAGTTGTTGCACGGTCTGAAAATTATTGACCGTTGAGTTATTCTTTAAAGGAAATTGTCAAGTGTTCATTCGCTCAATAAGGAAATGATTTAATAAGAAAAGACATGGTCACGTATTCATATGTTTCTGATCTATATCTGACACACAGTTGACCCCAAAAAAAAACTGACACAGTGAATGCAGAAACACTCTCTTATTGTAAATCTATAGTTCTTAACTTCTTATTATGATTTTGTAAGTTTTATAGTAGATTTTATTTTAAGTTTTGCGTTACCACCAAGGCCGTTTATATAACCTTGTAGACCTAGAGCAGGTTTATTCAAAAATCGAAAAATGTGGGTTTACATTCAAAAATGTGAATTTATAAACGTTTACCTAGTTATTTAGAGTTTTATATATTTTTTTACAAATTATATTAACTTTGATATGCAGAACGAACTTTATTAATGCCAGACCTTTATTAGAGTATAATATATATTCTAAGTAGAATTCGGGATAAGAGACTAGTGGTATTTATTTGATATGTTGTTGTATAGACTTGAATTGTTCAAAGAATGTAAAGTCAATTTCTTTTTTAAAAAATTAATATTTAAAATTATAATTGACACTTCAAATAACTCTAAGGTCGCAAAGGTTTCTTAAAATGTCGAAAATGATAACACATACGGCCACGGTGCCACATATCTTACGATATATATTTTACACACACACATACCGCCACTTACTGTGTAGTATTAGCGTTCAATTTATTACGAGTAACGTACCTTATTCCACAATAGGAAACAACGACTATAAAATGTAACGTAGACTATAAAATAACGATACTTTTGCGTCATTAATATCATATCCCGTATACGTATTTGGCTACGTTACTTAAAAGCCAAGCATTTTTCTGGATGTACCACTGTAATCAGAAGTGGGTGTGGCAGTCTTTTGTATAAAAGCCCCCAATGCCCAATCCAGTGGTATGTTTTCTTCTCCTGCTTTACTCGCATACTTGATTCTGCAGACAAAAACCAAACATCGTTTTTTTGTTCATATCTTTGTCCCAAAAACCAAACATAGCATTTATCTAGATGAATCTTGAACTTGAGCAATAACATATATATGTACCTTTCATCGTCAAGAGCAACACCAAGACTATCGTGAAATATGCTGATGAGAAGCAATAACGATGCAAGTATTTGTCTTTAGTGGTTGGGTATTTCTCTTTCAGTTTCGACCATTCTTCTCCACAAAATCTCTTTCCAGCTGGAATCATTTCAGACTAAGAAACGAATAGTCATAAATTGAGATGTTTTCAAAAACAATATTATTGAGAAGAACCCAACAAAAAGTACGTACAATAATACAATGCACTAACGAGAGGAGACAGTCCCACGCAAGGGAAGAAGATAAAACTAAGAAGGACGACATTGTTTTAAACCCAATTTAATTAACGTTATATACAAAATTATGATTTTTCATAATTTTGTATACATCTTGGCTACGTTACTTAAACGAAGCCAAGATGTTTTCTAGATTTACCACCATAATAAGAAGTGGGTGTGACAGTATCTAGGATAAAAGCTCCCAATGCCCAATCTAGTGGTATGTGTTTTGCTCCTGCTTTACTTGCATACGTGATCCTGCAAGCAAACCAAGCATAGTTTTTATGTTTTTGTCGTCCAAATAATTAATGTTCATGAGAGTTATATATATGGAGTAACGTTTACCTTTCATCATCAAGAGCAATACCAAGACTATCGTGAAGCATTGAGATAGTATATGCCGATGAGAAGCAATACCCACGCAAATACTCTTCTTCAGTTGTTGGGTATTCCGATTTCAGTTTTGACCATTCTTCTCCACAATACTTCGTCCCAGCTGGAATCAATTCAGACAACCAACCCTTTTCTTCCAACTCAAAGAACTGATTCAAATTTCAGACACATCAACATATATAAGACCAATCTTTTCAGATATATATAATCTTGATATCATGGGACTCGATCGCTATATATACCTTGGCCGTGTAGTAGAAATTCGATGTAGCCAAAAAGCTTCCTTGAAGATCAGGTGTGAATGTTGATCCAATAGAACAATGCTCATATAGACAGTTGTCTGTACACAAAGTAAGTACCCATAAGAGATCAAGAAAGTCAAGAAGATGAACAATGTTTAGCTATATATACCAGTAAGTACTTGATGATCTTTTTACCTTTTCCTTCTTGCAGAAGTGCAAAGGTAGCTGATCGGCATTTTGAGAAATTACCAGCGGCTTGAATGGAACCTTTCAATTTGCTTTCATCAGCTAAGAATCCGGATGAATAGTTCTGTGAACTTGTGTCGTAGATGTACCCTCTAGGAGTACAAGGGTCTTCAACTATTCCATCCCCTGTAGAGTTTTCAGCTGTTTGGATTGAAACAGTACCATACATATGACATGAGTTTTGATCAGGGAAAAAAGAAGATTATTTCAACTGCCTAAATTCAGAAGTGTAATTATTAACTTTATTTAAAACAAAACCAACCTGAGTTTTGAAGTGATTCCAATAACCTTTTTAGAGCTGTGTCCTGCAAAGACGACAAAAGTTTTTATAAATAGCTTCTTGAAAATTAGTACAAATTAAGGATAGATCTTTTTTTTCTTGGTAGCATTATCTATAAAGGGAAAATACCAAAATAATCAGTGATTAAATAGGGGACACAATCACAAAAAGTCTCAAAACAACTTTTTAAAAGGACGATGAACCAAAGAAACCAAGTACTCGTCAAAATGCTCATCAGGTCCCAAAAAGTTACGTACCTTCCCATAGTGGAGGAAGCTGTGACTGTAGATTGTGTATGAAACGTTTCCGTAGGCTATCGTACGCGAGAACTCAGGTGGCACATGCCCACTTGACACAAATGTCGCCTAAGCCAAAATTGCATAAAAAGTCATCGCTTATAATAGACATCTTACTATAGTTGAGTTTTATACCTAGATGTTGTACTAATCCAGATGCAAAAAAGAAAAAGATTTTGTTGATTTCTAAAAATTGTAAGATGATCTAAACACAATCTTGTATCACGTGACAAAAAAATATTATCTTTCAATTTTAATTTATGATGAAATTTTATCAAATTAAAAAAACGCTGAGTCACATGTTTCTACCATAGTTAACGGAAACGGGATCCATAATTATATTATATACAACATGGCATGACTTAATTTAAGGCTTTTAATATATAGTTGATATTTATATTCTTTGTATAATGTTAATATGTTAGTCCTTTCATAGTTTTGTGCATTAAAAACATCTGAATTTCCAAAAAAAAAAAAAACAATTATATTTTGCATGTTTTTGTCTAGCATCCAACGACCAGATCTACGTTCATTTGTCCCGATAACATATATGAGAGAGAAGAGACCAAAACCTGCGCAGAAGCACCACCGAGTTCAACAATCCCTGTTGTCTCCAATGGATCACTTCCAAGCGAACCAAGTGCGTGATTCGCGATAACCCAAGCATATATACCTTCATCAGATCCTGAATATTTTCCCCCAATAATATTAGCACTTTAAATTCCAAAATCGATCGAATATAAAAGAGTTTGATTCCCAAAAAAACAAGACTAACCAGAAATAACAGTTGCCCATTCGTCTCGAAACATAAAACCAGAAGATCTAAGAACTCTTCTTGTAACATCAAGAATCTGTTCTTGAACAGGCGCTTCAAGCAATCTCATCCCAGCAGTCCCCATTAACCTAATGTCACTCGTCCTCAGCTTTATCTTGGGGATTCTCGTCTTGGCAAACTCCACAAGATTCGTCACTGACACGCTTGCTCCCTCGGGATCATCAGCATACGCTGACAAACCAGGAGTCAACTTCATATCAGCGTAATGCTTCTCCCCGAAATCGAAAACTGGCTCACCGTACTGATCAAACCAGTACGCGAACACATGGACTCGGGTCCCCGAGCTCCCGGCATCGATAAGGACGCTGTACCGGAGCGGGCAAAACAAACTTCCGGAGAGTAGAACTGGATTTGAACTGAAAACATATAATAACCCTAACGTAACAGCTACGGTAGCTATGAGTAGCAGGATCAAGGATTTCGACTTGGGCTTTGTGACCGTGTACGTCGAAGACGGCGATGATTGGTGCTCAGGTAGGATCTTAACCTTGAGAGCATCCATCTCCGGTTCCATCTTTCAACCTGGAATGAGCATAATTAATAAGATCGTTGCGTTAACGTCTAAAGAACCGTAACCAAAACTTAAAAAAAAAAAACACGTAACGCAAAAGCAATAAACGTAGTGCGAATAACGCAAGAAAAAACAAACTGAAAAAAACGTAACCAATCTCACTGTTTCGGAGTTAAAAATTGCCGTTCGAAGACCTACAACTTAAGTAATGGATCTCTACACCTACTCAATAGAATAAATAGTAGGAACTTGGACAGATCAATGATTTGGAGATATATATAAGATATTTGAGGAAAACATTTAAGATATATAAGATGTATGATATTTTAAAAAAAAAAATGATTTGGAGATAAGAAATTTGTGAAATTAGTATTCAATATACTAGTACTAAAATATAAAACGTGTGTAACACAAAAGGACACAAATTAAATAAAAAACAAACATCACTGCCCGTGGCCAATTTATTAATACCGGCCGTGTATATCGTAGTTTCACGTATGGTTCCATGACTCCCATCAAGAGTTGATTTCTCGGTCTAGTCATGCATGTTGCTTCTCCATGCCATATTACAAAACCATCATAATCGAATAATGCATCATCAGTTGATATTTTATTTTCTCTATACCTTAAAACTAATAGTACATACGTCTTCACACATAAGACGGACATGGAATGAATTTTTTAAAATCGGTATGTAATCTTAAAGTTGATTAACTATTTATAGGATTGTATAATACACATGTTCTGATCATGTTCACATTAATAACAAACAAAGAATAAAAATACGAGTATTAAAAAGTTATGGAGCAATTCTTAATTTATTTCATGGCTGCGTTTAATGTCTCTCGTTGTTTTGTTGAGAAGTTGTTGAACATCTTAATGCTTAGGGATCTCATCCCTCATTGGTTGTTGAGTTATTGTATTGGTACTTTCATTTTTAACTGAGAAAAACTATAACCAAAAAAAACTTTATAGTAAAAAATACGTACACAGAATATAACACTGTTTGCTACTCAATTCGTGGTACTTAATATGATGTTACCAGCTACAATGTTAAGTTGTTAACAAAATTATGTAAAAAGTGTATGACAATTCATACAAATAAACCTTACATGCATCATGCATGTTATACTGTAATTCAAATTGGTCTTCGATTTTTTATGGGCAGCCAACTAATTTCACAAAAGAAGACTAGTGACGAATGTAGCTTAAACACGAGTTAACGTAAAATACAATATATATGATGATAATAATTTACTTGTTTTTGTGAAACAATGTTTTTTTTTTCTTTCAATATAGAAACTACAATATTAACTGATATCGTTTCTGTATTTGGCTAATTTACTCGAGTCAAGAATTTTTCTAGATTTACCATTGTAATCAAAAGTGGATGTAGCAGTATTTAGGATAAAAGCACCCAATGCCCAATCTAGTGGTATGTCCTGTCCAGCTTTCCCAGCAAACCCAATTCTGCATAGTAATAATAATGTTTGGAAAAAGACAGAATTTTATCTCAAGACCCGGAACTGAAATGATCTAAAATACTTTTATTTACCTTTCATCATGGAGAGCAACACCAAGACTATCGTGAAGCATTGAGACAATATATGCTGATGAGAAACAATACCGAAGCAAATTCTCGTCCTTAAAAGTTGGATATTTCATTTTCAGTTTCGACCATTCTTCTCCACAGAATCTCTTACCGGCTGATATCATTTCAGACAGCCAGTTCTTTTCTCCCAACCCAAAGAACTGAATCACACAGAAATATATAAGACCAAATGACCAATGTTCAAACAATCAGTTCTCCAGAAATTAGATTGAATCATGATGTCGACTAACATGGGATTCAAAGGATTATTTATACCTTCGAGGTGTGGAAAAAATTCTCTGTAGCCAAAAAACGTCCTTGGAGTTTAGGTGTGAATATTGATCCAATAGAACAATGCTTATAAGGACATTTCTCTGTAATCAAAGTAAAGCACATAAGAGATAGAAACTTGGCACAAGGAATGATATTCAGAATACCAATAATGCGTTTTACCTTTTCCTTGCTGCAACATTGCCAGTGTAGCGGATCGACATTTTGAGAAATTACCAGCAGCTTGAAGTGAATCTTTCTGTGAAATTTTGCCAAAGATGTATCCTCTAGGAACACAAGGGTCAGTAACTATTCCTTGCCCTGTAGAGTTCGCAGCTGCAAGGAACAAAACACTTTACTGAAATTTGAGGGGAAAAGCTTATTCCAATTGCCTAAACTCTAAACTGCAATTATTTCAAAGATTTATTAACAACTAACATGACTTGTGTAGTGATTCCAATAACTTTTCTTGTGCTGAATCCTGCGAGAGGACAGAAGTTAAATAGCGTCTTGAACATTAACATGGATACAAATCCTTTGTTTGGTAGCATGTTCTACAATTTTGAGGAAATGTAGAAAATCAGAGACCACTAAGCAGCACACGGGGACACAACTACTTTCCAAACATTTAAACTTTTTAACAGGGCAAATCTAAGAAAATAACTTCAGACAAATACTCTGTTCCCATGAGTTACCTGCCCAAAGTGGAGGAAGCTGTGACTGTATAGATTGTATGAGACATTTTGATAGGCTAACTTACGCGAAAACTCCAGAGGCACAATCTCACTTGACACAAATGTTACCTAAAAACGAATGCAGAAACAGTCATCACCTAACAGTTGATCAATTATCACACAATGAAGCTATATATGCCTACTTTCTTATCCATAACAGATTTGACAGGGGAAGAACTAAACCTGGACAGAAGCCCCACCGAGTTCAACAATTCCCGTTGTTTTTAAAGGCTCTCCTCCAAGGGAACCAAGCGCATGATTTGCAACAACCCAAGCATATACACCTTCATCAGATCCTGAATAGTTTCCAAGATTTCCAGTAATTAGCACCAAAAATGGGCAATGGATGGAACACATTTTATTATCACTCAACTAAGCTAATATAGAAGAGAAAAAGAAAAAAAAAAAACTTTTAATCAAAAGTCTCATTGCAACATAACCCCAAACCACTCCAATACTAACAAAAAGTGTTATAAGAGCACCAACTCAAGGTTAACTTAAAACTCTCAACCAAACACTCTCGTTTACTCCCACAATGTAGAAGTCAGTGATCAAATCCCCTAATCTTGGAGAACAACTGAAGAAAACTAACCAGAGATAACAGAAGCCCATTCCTCTTTAAAAATAAACCCAGAAGAACTAAGAACTCTTCTAGTAACTCGAAGAATCTGTTCCTGAACAGACGATTCAAGCAACCTCATTCCAGCAGTAGCCATTAACCTAATGTCACTCTCCTTCAACACTCTCTTCGGAACTCTCCCTTTAGCAAATTCCACAAGCTCCGCCACTGACTCACTCACTCCCTCCGGATTATCACCGTACGCAGACAAACCGGGACTCAACTTCAAACTGGCGTAGTTCTCCTCTCCGAAATCAAACACCGGTTTCCCGGATTCAACCCGGTACCCGAACACATGAACTCGGGTCCCAGAACTCCCGCCGTCGATAACGACGCTGTAACGCAGCGAAGCTCTTCGATTCCTTCGAGAGCGTACAATTGAATAGCAAACAAACATCAACACCAACGCGATAACGACGGAAGCAACGATTAACATAATAATCGATTTGGTTCGTTTTGACTTGGGTTTAGCGAGTGTCGACGGCGATGATCGGTGGTGGTGGCCAGGTGAAGTCTCAACACTGGGAGGATCTGTCATATCTGATTCGAATTTCAACCTGGAACGAGCATTAGACCGTTGCATCAAGGTTTAAGGAGCACTAACGAACAAAACGGGTAAGGGATCATGAGATCTCAAACGTGACGCAAACGAAACGTAGAATCCAATAATCGTGAACCTAGCTGTATAATCGGATATCGAGGAGTGGTATCGGAGACCGCCGTGCCGTCGATGAAGCTCTCTGATCAGTCTCCGTTTTCGTAGTGGAGAAGAAGTGGAGCGCCTTTTTACGAAATTGCACACCTGCTCCTCATAATTCGGACCGGGTCGGATCGTAACGGGTCGAGTTATATTCAAACCGTTTGATGTTCGGGTCCTTCTAAGCGACTCAGAGGTGTAGTAAACGCGGTTAACTAATCGTATCAAGTCGAGGTTTAATCAAAGTTACCATGGTAAAATTAGGATTCAGAAGATTACTACTGTATTAATGCATATAAGAAATGATCAACTACTAAAATTAGGATTCAGAAGACTAAATTGTTGTGATTATTGAAATTATGTAATTTGTACTACTCAAATCGAATCAAATCAAAACAAATCAAACTCAATAGGTTTGAGGTTGACTAAACCTCTCATTTATTTTACAAAACACGTTAGTGAGTTCAGAATAAGGCTGTTAACCAATGGTAAGCACGTATTAATTAGTCAACAAGAAGTGGATTAGTAGTGGTCGCTAAATCCATAAATTCCACGTACCTTCCTTCTCCTCCATTATTTTCCATGTTATTTCAAGTTGCTTACTTTTTCGTTTTTTGTTTATATAACACGTTTAACGCTAATCGTGGTATTAACTATATGATTTCTAACATTTGACACTTCCTATAGGCTTATAGTATGAACATTATTTGGTTATTGATTTATTGGGTCACATGTTCACATGGTGTAACCCTGTATCGTACACTCCTCTTTACTTTTTAATTCGTTTTCTATACGATGCTTTCTTAATTTCTTCCCAAATTTTAGAATTATTTAAGCACTTTATAAATGTATGTATATCCTTCATATATATATATATATATATATAGCTAATCTTTGCTTTTTAAAAATCTCCACTCGATCGGATCAATCTGCGGAATTGGCCTTTTATATTTCAAGTAGTTGGTGTACGATCTTTGGATAACATTGTGCTAATACACGTTTTTGTAAAGTACGCATAAATAAACATTTTGGAGGTGTTAGAATAAGATATATTTATATATATTGCTGGTTGATTTTAAGAGTTGATAGATTTGTTTAAAATTTGTTGACAGTGACAAAGTCAATAGATATAAACCTAAACAATTAAAAAGGACAAATAGTGACAATTGCATGCATTACGAGATGATTTAAAAAAAATTAACAATCAATTTCTAAAATATGAGATTGGAGTTTACTGTCTACTTGTAAATCGTAAACCGTACAAAAATGAGTTTTCCCCAAATATATAAATTAATTGTTTAAGGGAAGATACGAATCTTTTTTAATCAACCACGAGAGATAATATATAACATTAATAATAGTTGAATAAAAAATTAATTAAAAATGGTATTATATGGAATTTGCGTTTGTGTATAAATTTGAAGCTGAAATGTCTTTAGTCATCACGGAAACAAATAGAAAAAAAAAAAAAAAAAAAAGATGGGAGCAAAGGGTTGGGTTGTCCTCAAGCTTCTAATGTTTCAAAGTCTTTTCGTTTCACAATCTCAAGAAGACTTTGATTTCTTCTACTTAGTTGTTCAGGTTTGTATTCTTCAATTTAACCCGTTTTTATAATTCTCCTTTTTATGTTTTCAAGAAAACATAATACAAACTTTCTGTGAAAACGTTTCTAAATTGTGTGGCCAAGTAATATGTGTTTGTATAATTGTATATGATTTTGCAGTGGCCAGGAGCCTATTGTGATACAAAGCGTGCTTGTTGCTATCCAACATCGGGTAAGCCTGATGCAGATTTTGGTATCCACGGTCTTTGGCCTAATTATAAAGATGGTTCATGGCCATCTAATTGCGATCCCGACAGCCAATTTGACAGAACTCAGGTATATTATATTATACATTGCATAAATGATCGTGTAATATTATTTCCAATTTATTCTTTAATAAGCTTTTTTATTATTATTATGTGTTATATGAATGTATAGATAGAGGACCTGGTAAGTAGTATGAAAAAGAATTGGCCAACACTATCGTGTCCGAGCAACGAAGGGTTCGAGTTCTGGGAACACGAATGGGAAAAACACGGCACGTGCTCCGAATCCGTAATGGACCAACATGAATACTTTGAGAATGCTCTTAAACTCAAAGACAAAGCCAATCTCCTCCAAATCCTCACAAATTCCGGTATATATATCCACTAATATAAGTCGTCACTACATAGAGATATGTATATGTATCAAACTCAATTATATATGACCATTTCATTTTTCTTTTGGTAATGGTAGGAATTAATCCGGATGATGGATTCTACGGTCTGAGTGAGATCACCAAAGCGATAAAAGATGGGATAGGATTTACGCCAGGAATCCAATGTAACAAAGATCCAGAGCGTAATGCGCAGCTTTATCAGATCTACTTATGTGTTGATACATCAGGAACCGAGTTTATCGAATGTCCAGTTTTGCCTAGAGGAAGATGTCCTGCTCAACTCCAGTTTGCTAAGTTCTAATTATATTTTTTTACGTGTTTTATAGTTGGCAACTCTTATTTATATATCTTCTGTGTTTATCTTTTCTAATTCATGGGGACTCTAAAATGTAACTGTTTATGTTTTTATCTCAAATTTAATAAATAATATAAACGTTGGCATACTAGTTCAATGTGGACTAAACCATACTGTAAAATTCGTGTGGAGGGCATGCATAACGGATCTCAAAATTGACTGCCAATGACTCCGGTTTTACTTTGCATGGCGGTCTGCTTCCGGTTTAATCTATTGTTTTTTTTCCTTCGTGACAGTATAGATCAACTGTGTTGACTTAACTTTTAGGCTGCCCAAATTTACATATATAAACAAATCTATTGTTCTATCAAAATCTTTATTTTTTTTGTTTTATTACTTACATAACATACGTCATTCTTATTCATTTGCTTACAAATAGAAGAGTCATTTTATTTGAATTTATAGGATTTTTTTTAATGTTTTCTATAGATGAAGATATGAGTTTACACTGAAATACACGTAGAGTGGTATTATCAAGAGATGTATTACCCACTTTCCAAGGGTGAAATGGCAATAACATCTGTCAATTACAAAAGCCTGTTGAATTTACATATAAGCCCATTCAATTTTCATATAAGCCCATTTTTTTAAGCAAATGAAAATACCATCATTAAGGATGACGTGACTCTACTCTATAAAGTCTCTATATTCAATGACTTTATATTGTTTTATACGTTTGACCAAAAAGAAAGATGTTGTATACTCACAACTCACAAGTGGAGAAACAAGTTGAGGATAATAAATTAATAACAAACGTAATAACTAATTAAGAAAAATTGTTATAGGCACTTTTTTTCTTTTTCTTTTTTATAAGTAAATGATTAGTGTCACAAAATTTCTGGGAAATAAAATCCAAGGAAACCAAAAAGTCAAGAAACACAGAGAGCAAAACACATGAGAGGAGGAATCGTCATCGTAAGCTTCTTAATTTTACGGAGTCTTGTCGTGTCTTCGTCTCAAACAGTACCGGACTTCAATTTCTTCTACTGGGTCAACTACGTATGTTTCCATCAATACATACGTTTATGCAATATCTAAAAACACACATCTAATCGCATTTTTGTATTCGTATATGATGATGTAGTGGCCAGGAGCAATATGCGAGAGCCAAAAAGGATGTTGTTCTCCGCCGAAAGGCAATAAGTCGCCGGATTTTATGATCCATGGACTCTGGCCTCAGTTCAACAATGGCACTTGGCCTGCGTTTTGCGACCAAACCAATCTCTTTGATATCTCCAAGGTGCTATTACAGTCTATATCTTTATCTGGATTTTAATAATCTGTTTTTGGATTGTATCTGAATCAGTCTTGAACAAATCACAGATATCAGATCTAGTAAGCAAAATGGAAAGGAAATGGACAGAGTGGGGAGTGTGGGTGTGTCCAAGTAACGAGACGAATCTGTGGGAACACGAGTGGAACAAGCATGGCACATGTGTTCAATCTGTCTTCGACCAACACTCTTACTTCAACACAAATCTCAAATTCAGACAACGAATCAATTTCCTCAGCATCCTTAAACATAAAGGTATATACAAAAGTTTCACCAAGAAAATGAAACCGTGGGAAGTTTCTGATAAATGTTTGTTTCATGTGTAGGAATTCAACCGAATGATGGGTTTTACAGTTTAAATGAGATCAAGAACGCCATCAAGTGCGTGATCGGATTCGCACCAGGTATCGAATGCAATGAAGATGTAAAGGGGAATAAGCAGCTTTTCCAGATCTATATATGTCTTGATAATTACGCGAAAGAGTTTGTGGAATGCCCATATGTTCCTGATAAATCATGTGCTTCCAAGATCAAGTTTCCAAAGTCCCCGGAAAAAGGTTCTCTTGGTGAGCATCTAAGTGTCATGTCTTCCGTTTTAACTACCTAGAAACCAAGAGAGTGAGAGTTTAATTTGTTTCAATAAGAGAGTGAAGGTAAGAAGCTTCTATAACTATGATGAATGGAACACTAGTTTTTGAGTAAAGAGTTAAACCTCTTATGGTAAGAATCCGTGTTGTGCAATTGCAATTTCAAAGGCTTGCATTCTTTCGCCTCGAGCACTTCCATTTCGATCATAACATGATATCTCGTTAATCTTGAGGTCAATCGAAGCTTTAATGAGCTCCTCTCCTACCCGTTTTGCTGCTTCCTGAAATACAGTACATGGAATCAGACCCGTACTGGACATGATCTTTTCAAACCAAAAGACCAAACTATATTTCAAGAGCGAGTTTCCTCAACCCTGAAATCTTACTATATTGTAGAGATGTAACTTCAAACATGACAAGAAACAACTTTATCTACACTAGTCTCTTCTATCTAGCCTGGAACTTGGTGTGGTCATCTCTGAGAAATGCAACCAATTTCTCCATTCTGACACGAATGAAGCAAAGACATTGTCACATATATACTATACCCCGCGTTGATAACAAAGCAAGCTCCAACAAAATGCTACTTAACTGACTAAACTGCTATCAAAGTTTCACGACCAGAGCAAAGACAATGCCGTCAATACTATAAACAGCGTAGATAACAAAGCAAACTCCAGTTAAATGCTACTAAACCGCCTAAACTCCGAATTTTCAGGTGATACAGCAGATTCAGGCGGCTAAACTTACAATGACAGAACATGGAGGATCTCCACGAATGGACTTCTGCAAAGTACTAGCGAAGAACAAACACTTTTTGTTGAAGTCATCCACCAACATAGCATACAGTTGCTTATCTGAACAGAAGACTGAAAGCCTTGGTTTTGTTTGTGTTCCAGTAAACTGTCCCAAAGCAAAAAAAAAAAAAAAAAAAAACTTCAAACAATGTTGTAAAAAGATTTCAAACTTGTGTGTATCATTACGAAAATGCCTTCAGAAAAGTTACCTTCTTCCTGCTTCTCCTGTTCCTGGTTTTTGGGCTCTCCACTCGAGCATTCCCTCTTGCTTCAATCACAAACGGCGTTACAGACTTATCTGATAAAAGGGTCGAAAAAAAGTAGTGAATCAAGTAAGCAAGCAAGAGGATAAGAAACATGGAAGAGGAACAGAGTAATACGAACTATACCACTTACTTGTCATTCGATTTGGATAGAGGAAACAAGGTTTTAGACGAGCTCCGAGAATGTCAGAGACTCTAAACTGAATAGACGCGAGGGAACTCAAAGCAGCCATGCGAGAGATACCATTCATTCGTAAAGCATCGAAAGCAGGAAGATTTCTCTCAGCTAACAGACAAAAAAAAACAAATCTTTCTCAGCGGAATTTAACCAAACACCTTATGTGCAGGGATGACCTGGTAGAATTTATAAAAACATAATCGTTCTCAGCCTTTTGGGAAATAACACAAAATGTATTTTTTTATTATGTATTCACAGTGTAAAATATCTCTCTTCTTTTTTTTGTCATTTAGTGAAAGAGGATAAGGTTTTAAATAATAAAAATAGTTAATTTATTTTTTTATTGAAAAAAAATGGAAAGTCTAGTCGTCCAATGGTTCTAGAGTCTTCTGTAACCTTCGTTTTCTCTGTTTTTGCCACTTTCTTCATGAAGCTACTGTAATCTTCCCCTAACATATATAATCTCAAACCTTTCTTCACCCTTGTTTGTATTGTAGCTTACGATTTTTACTTATCCTATCTTCTTCTCCTTCTACTTCTTCTTAGATTTTTCCCGAGAAAGTTAGCTTTTTTTCTCTCTCTGTTCTTCAGAAAAAACTCTCTTTTTTTGTTTCTTTTGATCGACTGTTTAGCGTGATGTCTTCTGAAAACGATTTCGCTGAGTTTTCTTCTATGTTCGAGAGGATGGTCGAAAGAGGAAGCGATGGTCTCTCTCGATTTTTACCGGTGATTTTAGCTGTAGCCGCCGCAGAAGCTGGTGAGGGCGGCCAAGAGTCGACAGATCGGACGACGAGACAGGCGGAGATCGCCATCGATCCGTTGAACCCAAGAGTGGTGATGATCAGATCGGGTCCTGGACTCGAAGATTTCTTCAGCGGCGTTGAAAAACAGGGGAGAACGCCGGCGTCGAAAGCTTCGGTTCAGAGTATGCCACGTGTCGTGATTGGAGAGGATAACGAGATGGGAGGAAGCTCTTGCGCGATTTGCTTGGAGGAGTGGTGCAAAGGTGACGTGGCGGCGGAGATGCCGTGTAAGCACAAGTTTCACTCAAAGTGTGTGGAGGAGTGGTTGGGGAGGCACGCCACGTGTCCGATGTGTAGGTACGAGATGCCTGTTGAGGAAGTGAAACGAGAGAAGAAGGTTGGGATTTGGATTGGGATCTCCATTAACGGCAGCGAGAGAAGAGGTGAAGAAGATGGAGGAAGAGGAAGACAAGGTGATGACTCGAACCCACGAGATGAAACAGAGTCTTAGGTTTAGCTTTGGTAGACGAAAGCTTTGTATAGTTTTTTTTTTCGTTTTCTAAAATCAATTTCCAGAATTCGTTGTATTTTGTTACTGAAATTGAAATAATTCAAGAACGTGATTCATTCTCATTGTGGCAATCAACAACACAAACAAGGATTTTAATGTTTAGGGTTGTGGTTGTGGGCTTCCTTGAGGGGAAAGGAACCTTTCTTCTTCTTTGGCTTCTCGTTCCTTGAGTATTTTGATTCCTTGATACCTTCCCAGCATTAGAACTGTGGCCATAGGGTTAGTTCCTGGTGATTCTTCAAACGTTGAACCATCAACGACTCTTAACCGTTTCACACCTTCTACTTTATAGTCCTCGTCCACAACAGATCCCACAACGCAACCGCCGTGGTAATGATAATAAGTTCCCACGTTCTGTTTACAGAAGCTCTTAAGCTCTTCATCACCCGCCACAAGCTTATCCTGTGCCTGTGTCCCCAAGAAAAACGTCACAGTCTCTGACCTTGCTACATGTTGAAGATGCAGAACCATCTCTTGGCATGCGTCAAGGTCTTCCTTGTTCTCTAAGTAGTTGAATTTCACTGACGGATTCTCCCTAGGGTCTGTGCTGTTGAGCTTGAGCCTCCCTTTGGATTTAGGGAACGCGATCTTGGCTGCTATGGAGATTCTTGTTGTGGTAATGTTAGTTGGAAGAACTTCGGATTCGAGTATGAATTTGAAACCTTCTGCTATTGCTGCAACTTGAGGTGGCTCGAGCGTGCGATTTTGCGAGAATCTATCAACAAGAAGAGAGATCGCTGGATTATCCGACATTTTTCTTCCGACTTGCTTGAGGTCGACAACCACAGGAATGTCAAGATCTTTTAGATGATTCTCGGGTCCAATGCCGCTTAAGAGAAGAATCTGCGGACTACCTAAAGCTCCAGCAGTGAGTATAACTTCGCCTCTATGCTTCTCAACATGAGCTTTGTAGGTCTTACTTGAGCTACCATCACTCTTCATAAACCTGACCCCAACAGCGCGAGTTTTATTACCATCAAATATTATGCTCTTTACCGTTGCGTTTAAGAGAACAGTGGTGCAATTTGGTTTACCAAATCCCAAAAGGTCTGCAGATGTATGCCTTTTCCCACACTGATCATATATGCTTCCACCGATCTTTGTCCCTAGCGTGTGATCCAAACTATACCCGTTATATGGATAAAACCCTGCTTCAAGAAACCCAAATTGCACAACAGATTGCCATTGAGTCAATTCAGGCATGAAGACAACCTTAGATTCAACCCATTTATAAGAATCTTGAACGAGGTCCTTGTCCCAACCAGCTTTCTTTACAAACTCATCGCTAGCTCGGCTGTAAAATCCGCCATTTATAGCGCTCGAGCCTCCAAGAACACGCCCTCTGTAGTTTTCGATTCCATCTAGAGAGGTGAAACTTTGCGCAACAGATGAGTATTCATCTGTATTCAGCAGTGGGTATCCAAAGTACTTTCTTTCTTCTACAAATGGATCTCCAAAAGGCGAGCCACCGCGTTCAATGACCAAAACAGAGTATTTTTCAGAAAGAGTCGCGGCTAAGGAACATCCCGCGGTACCACCTCCAACAACAATGTAATCGAATGACTTGCCAGCGACTTCTTTCGGATCAGTGGTCATGTAAGGCATTTGCACTCCTGAGGAAAACATCAAACAACATTTCATCAAAAAACTTCAAGGCATATATATATTTGCTTAACACAAGAAGACAATACCTTGTGACAGATTAATGAGCATGGAGATGATAAAGAGAAACACAAGACGAGACATGTCTAATCTTAATTGTTTATATTCAGAGACAAAGTTTTGCCTGAAGAAAAGGGTTATACTTGGTTTATAAGTGGAAGAGTTTGCGAGTCTAAGTGATGATGATTCGTGTAGTAGACATAATGATCCTATAAGATGGTCAACAAACAAATACATTTTTTAAAACTAGTTTGTTACAATAAGGAACGCATGGTTAGAGATCATGATGCTCTCTTTGTTGGATAATTATGAAAAATTTCCTTGCATAATCATATATCCATGGCTTAAAGTCATGGCCCTGGATAATTATGATTATTTTACCTTTTGCTGTTTCAACTAAAGGATCTGAGTGGATGAAGCAACAATGTTAGTTAGAAAAAACGGACAATTAACTTTTATATGGTTATGGTTTAAATACAATTAACCTTAACCAGAAACTAACGACACGAGATAGAATAATCTGAAGACTGAAGTTGATAATGATAAGAGTACGAAATGAGATGACCAACATTGTCCCAAAGATCTAAAGCAGCATTAATAGTATTACCAATGTGTAGCGGTTCTCAAGTTGCAAAGTCATTATATCACATAAAATTAGACTTGATAAGGCAATATAATCATTTCACCAGCCGAAAGCACCTAACACTCCTAACTCGTATGGCTAAGAAAAATATTAGTTTTTCTTATTTACTACAAAGTGGGGTTTTGATAAAAAAAAATTTGAAATATATATATGCAACTAATACCAAAACATATGAAAATTTAGCAAATAAACATGTGACTTTTATTTAGAAGAAATTTTCTAAAACTAAATCACTATCTTGTCGATCTAGTTGACTTGGCTCCACCTCTCTTTTTTGTTTATTCTCCCATAACATGCAATAAGAATAGCTATTCTTATCCTTTCTTGAATATATTTAGTTTCAAGTGTTAGTTCAGTGTAGACAGAGAAACAAAATAGTTTTGACGAAAACACTCATTTACATCTTTCTCTCGTTTTGAATCATGAAATATTCTACTTTGTTTATGGTTTCTTGTCTTGTTATGGTCTTTGTTACGAACAACATTAAAGGTAAACTTCACTTTATCTTGTCTTCCATTATGATAATTTCATCTAAATTTGTGTCTCTAGCTACACAATTTAACACTTTTCTTGTCATTTGATATAAAACAAATAGAGGTGAAAAGTGTCTGTGTGGAGCAAGCAGGAGGAGTATGTGAATATACAGGAGAATACCCTGGAAAATGTGGCAACGACGGTAAGAAAACGTGCATAGAATCGATAAGTAAGAAAGGCAGTCCAGGAGAAGGAAAGAAAAACTTACGTTGTGAATGTTTTGATAACCCTGTTGTCATCTTAGGTCGTCCTAAACGCATATGCAGATGTCGAAATAATTGCTAAGAAAAATAACTATAAACATCGTTCGTATCCAAAAAGCTCACTCTTCTGTAATGGGCCATATTCTATAAAACTATGGTTAGTATATCAAATTAGTGTAGGCAGTGTAATGACATGCAGGTTCTTACACACTTCATCTAATAAGAAATCAGAAGTAGTGATTACGTTTTAATTTTATTGGTGGTTTTGTCTCTAAAGTGATATGAACGTGGTCATGCCGTCATGTCCTTATCTGATTCTGGTTTATTGGGTGAAATTGTGAGCCTAAAGGGTTTGCTACTAAAGGAGTATATGGTGAGATATCATTATGCTCTCTTTGTTATCAAATTCTCTTATTTGTTCCTTTGCATAATTACACATGTCCTTACCTTTTAAGTCATGAACTCATGGCCCTTGTCCCTGAATAATTATATATATTTACCTTTTCTGTTCAGATAAAATTATTTGTAGTACCACTTAATCAAATGGTCATGACTTCGTTCAGAATTTATCAGTTTGAGATCAACCAGAAATTCAAATGTTGGTTAGAATATTCACAGCAATGAGGAAGTAATCTGATCAAAAATATATATTTCAGAACCTATCAAATTGATGGTGTTGTTGGTCCAATACCATATCGTACAGTTTGGCAATTTACCAAGCCGTCTAGACAAACCGGAATTGGTACAGTTTAGATCAGCGATTAAACCGAACAAAAGACACTTATCTATTGGATAATAAACCAGTTAAGATGGTCGCCAACAGATTGATGATTTACTAGATACAACTAGTTTACATAACCAATCAAAGCTCTAAAGACATTTGTTTACAGATCTTCCCACAATGAATACTTGATCATCCAATATCAATACTTGTCAAAAGGTTAAAAATTAAAGCAGGTCAAAGAATCGACCTTTTGATCTCTCTGTTTTTTCCCTCCCCAGCTACCATGAAGCTTTCTCTTTCCCTCTCGAATGCATAAGCGAGACTTGATTTGTCAGATTTTCCTTGGCAAATGAGTTACTTTTCTTGAATTTACTTGGGAATTCTTTGCTGGAGTTCCCTCTCAGTGAGAGATTTTTCCTTAGCCGGTTCCGGTTTATCATCATCATGGTGTTTTTAGGGGGCACATTAACAGCACTTTCAACACAGTCACCAACCTGAGCACAACCCCATGGTCTTGTAGATGGTCCATCTTCACAAAGCGGTTTAAGCCTCGCGAGAATGTTGTGTGTTTTGAAGAGCTCTCCTTCCTGTTTTGTGCATATTGGACAAGCCGGGTCATTGTGTTGCGTCTTTGGAGTTGACTGGTCAAGACATTCAGCGTGAAAGACATGTTGACATGGAAGCACTCCTGTCACAGGCATGTCTCTATTTCTTACGATGGAGCGAGATCCCCAAGGAGATTTCTGCGTGAGGTATCTGTTACACAATCCACATTTAAAAGTACTTGAAGCTACCCTCTGTGCTTTGGTAGAGTTGTTATCCCAGTCAAGAACTGGCTCTGCAACATCCACAGAATCAATGCTGCTTGTAGTCCCGCTGCTCCAACTGCAGGCATCCGCAGAATCAGATGTTGTATCCCTAACATTATCAGAAGGATGCAGTATAGGATGAACAGGCTTGGACAGGAAAAAGCGCCGGCTTGAGAAGTTTCTGTTAGGTTCAGAGTCACCAATATCAGAACCAGATGAGAACGAACCAACATTTCTGGATGTACCCGGAAGTTGCTTAAGAATTTGATCTGCAGAGAGAAATGAGAAACGATATGTACGCTGATCAGAACAAGAAACTAAATTTTTAAAAATAGGTTTTGTTAAATCTTGAGTTGGCACAAGGAATTTGGTTGATGTAAAAAGATATAAAAAGGAAGAATGTGAATATTAATGCAACAAACCTCTTCTTGTTGCAGACTCAAAATTATTAGGTGTCCAATGAAGCGCCTGAGAAAGGTCAGGACTACGAAGAACATTAGCATTTGATGAAGTGGAAGATCCATAACAGCTAATACCATCAATTAATCCATGGACATCCCATCTCGATGAAGGTGGAGAAAAACTTGTGTTAGTCCTCCAATAAGGCTCATGGGGGCGAAAGGAAAAGTCCCCACTTGCAGAATTTGAACTATCTGACTTCGCAGCAACACAACAGAGCGAACCCATATTCAGCTCACAGCAGTACGTCTGAAGACTAGTCTCCAAATCAAGGCTTAAACACCCCTCCAACTCCACAAACTATGAGACAGATATCGGGAAAACATAATTCAGAGTTGTTCCCTTGTTCCTTTAGCTTAGCACACCTGGAGTTGAGTAATCAAAATAGCAACAAAGTTTCAAACTTTCAATCATCAAAACAAACATATAACTCAGGACATTACGTATTCACATTAACCAAAGCTCACTAGATAAACACCAGACAGAACCATGAAGAAAGAAAAACCAAATCTGGAAATTTTCAAAAGAAGTAATCTACCTACCCAGTAAGCAAAATTTAAGAACTCATCCTACGAGTAGCAAAGATCTGAACTTTAGATTCGAAAATGCCTTGATTCTCCTTACGAAGAAGATCAAAAGCAAAAAAGAATAACCCACATTGTCGAAATTTTCATTGCAATGCATTACGAAATTTCCAATGGACATTAAAACGCTTAAAGTAAAGGGCTTACTGCTTCAAAACTCGGAGAGACAAAATCAGTAAGAAGAGGACTGTTGTCGGAAGATATTGAAACTAGTAGCCGCGAATTCGATCGAGAAGAAAGAAAAACCCTAATTTCTTGGAAATGGGAGAAATTTGATTCTTCTTCTTCTTCTCCTTCTTTACTTTACTGTACTGTGTGTAATGTAAGTATGTTAACTTTTTTTCTTTTTCTGTGTGTACACAATGTATTTAAAATCTTATGTATAAAAGGCAAAAAGGACTCATTATTTATACATATAGTAAAGCAGTAATTAATGTAGTTGAATTCATTTTGTTGAAAAACTGAAAAGGTGGAATGCATTTTAACATTTTGATGGAAGAAAATGAATTCGTTGAATTTTTTGAGTCAAAAGAATATTAATATTACTTGTATCTTCTTTATAGGGAAATATTGAATTACTAAGCTATACTATGAATCCCTATTTCTTTTTGTTATCAAGTGGCATGAACTTAATTTTGATCAAATCATCTATCTTATGATTCTTATCTAATAATGAAGGATCACATTATTCAGAGTTAGGCAGCTCCTCCTTTAATTAGCAAAAAAGAGTTAATAGGATAACAGATTTTAAAGAAAAATAAAATATATACATATATAATTCAAAAAAAGACAAATATAAAAATCAACATCATAATTCACCAAAAACTATATTAAACAAATTTTGAGTTAAGTTTATTACCAAAAAAACAATTTTTGAGTTTATTTTGTCGTTTTAAACTTCCATTTGATCAACTTTAACAGATGGTTAAAATTTTATGAAACGTAAAATTGATTCTGCCATTTTAAACTTTTGTTTAGTCAACTTAAACTGATAGTCAAGAACTCATAAACATTTAAGTTGATTTTTTCATTTTATACTTTCGTTTAATTTGTTCAATTTAAATGGATAGTTAAAATTCATGAAATTTATGTAATTTTGTCCTTTTTAAACACTGGGTTGGTCAATTAAAACGGATAACTGTTATTTTTTTCCCTTTTTGAAATTTTGGTTTCTCTCCTCAAAATTTTAAGCAAACAAATCTCCCGATGGTGAGCAATGAACCCTAAGATCATCATTGTTTTTGGAGAGACAAATCCCATATCTCTAGGTTGATAAATAGAGGTGAGTTCAAAAGTATATGATCTTTATGTTTTCTCCAAAAGAGTCATAGTGTATGAGAACGAGGGGAAGCATCAAAGTTTCTAAAGAAATGTCGTAAATAAATAATGTGGTTTTATGAACAAACATTAATTTATACTCTAGTTAATATTATTAAATCCTATACTATCGTTGGTTTATCGAATTTTTATGATTCAAAATAGTTATAAACGCGATGAAACAGCACAAAACAATAATAATTACTTGATTAACCGGTAAATTATCTAATCTCATATATTGTCTCGATGCATGGCTGCTTCAAAACTATATATGATAAATTAATTTATTGTTTTGTGCTGTTTCATCGCGTTTATAACTATTTTAAATCATAAAAATTCGATAAACCAACGATATGACTCCCAAAGTCCAAAACAATTAATTTAGGTATGTACAACAAATTAACTCACAAAATTTCTACGCATACTTGCTGAGTAGTTTATATGACTTATCAAATGGGATTACAGATCATTTTTAAAGTTCTACTAGTTTGTCACTATTAATTTGTAACACAACGAAAACATATAAATTATTTTCGTCATTCTATATGTTTTAGCTCTATATGATTTCATTCAATCTAGAGCACATGCTGTTAACGAAGACTATCTCGTACTAGTTGGTTAAAAATTAGAATTATATTTGACGAATTATATATACAATTCACAGCTACACACAATAATCCAAAGCCACCGGACACAAGTGGTATAAGAAAAATCTTAAGTCGTCAATAATAATTTAGTTTTTATCATATGCTCTTATCAATATGTTATTTGGTCGTTAATTTGTTATATAACCGACACTGAAATACCAACGAAATCAATATTTTTAATGTCCTTATCATTTTTTAAAATATTAGTTCACCAAACTAAAACGATGGTTGAACATTTTTAATTTTCAATGTAGTTGGTGATAACAATACTATTTTTTTTGGTTTAAATACATTTATGGAGTCCAAAATTACGATCAAAATCAAGTATATTACTAATCTTCGATGAAAAAATAAAACAATGAAAATATCATATATCCTATATAGTTTGTGTCGTCATAATTCTCGAAAATAAATACTTATAATTTCAGGTACGTAAATTTAAAATAAATATCTTATAGTATAGTTTACGTGCCGTCACGTCCCGAAGAACAGTTAAAAGAGAATTAAATTTAAAAAGCCACCTGTAATCAGATATATTTATTATATAATAGACGTTAGCCCCAAAACTTGTATTTCTCTGCTTTCAAACCCAAACAAAGAAAAAAGAGACAAAACACCATTGAAGCAACAAAGGCCAAGAGAGAAAGCGAACAAGCGGTCACATTTTCCGGCTGCACTGACAGACCGATCGGTTAAAGCTCCGATCATCTACGCTTTCTACTCCGGTAAGCATTGCATGTTCCTCAAGCTCTGAACTCAATGAAATGTTCATGTAAAAAGTAAAATGTTTGTTGTGTTTTTTTGGATACGGTGATTTTGTGGTCCATGGATCTTGATCGGTTGGGTTGGTATGTTCTTTTCTTAGCTCAATTTTCATAAAGAGTTAAAATTTATGGGAGAGATTTTGACCTAATCTATGTCTCTCTGAGTAATTTTAGTATAGTTGACCGACGAAGTCAAGATTGTTTGTATCTGAAACTATGGTTCTTTGATTTTTAACTAGAGCTGTCTATTTTGTTGCCAAGATCTCATCTTTATAGTTGAATGATATCATCTACCTGTAGAACTGGATTTAGAAATGATCAAAGACTCTGTTTTTATGTAGTTGTTTTTAGTATTTTGTTTGATATAGAGAGGAACATGTGAAAGATATAAGCTTTAACTAGTAACTAACGATCATACTCTCTCCAGCTTCCGACGGCATTGTGATCGTTTCCGCGTTATCGTCACTGTTAAAATGGCTAGTACTCTGAGGAACATTCATGGTAAGAGATCTAATTTCCAATCTGAGTTTACTGGAAATGGAGGAAGTAAGAGAAGAAATCTTCATGATGATACAGATAATAATGTTATTGGGTCAGACGACACTGTGTATCGTTTCTTGTGCCCTGTGAAAAAGACCGGGAGCATTATCGGCAAAGGTGGTGAGATCGCAAAGCAGATAAGGTCTGAGACTAAATCAAACATGAGGATCAACGAGGCTTTGCCTGGTTGTGAGGAGCGTGTTGTTACCATATACTCCACTAATGAGGAGTTGAATCAATTTGGAGATGAGGGAGAGCTTGTTTGCCCTGCTTTGGATGCTCTTTTCAAGGTTTATGACATGGTTGTGGCGGACACTGATGATAATGATGATGATGATGATGATGTTGATGATGATCTTTGCAAAAAACAAACCGTTACTGTGAGGATGCTTGTGCCATCAGACCAAATTGGTTGCGTTATTGGGAAAGGAGGGCAAGTCATCCAGAATCTGCGTAACGACACCAATGCTCAGATTCGTGTCATCAAAGATCATCTACCAGCTTGTGCTTTGACTTTGAGTCATGATGAGCTTCTTCAGGTGAGATACAATACACTCACAAGTCTAAAAAGGATTTGAATTCTAAATTAGCTCATCATTGTGTTGGTTAAATTTTCAGATAATTGGAGAACCTTTGGTTGTTAGAGAAGCTCTTTACCAAGCGGCTTCACTGCTTCATGATAATCCCTCACGGTTTCAACACTTGCTACTGTCTTCTTCAAGTTCCATGCATCAACCTGGTGCAATGTTGATGTCTGCAGCGCAAAACAGAAACTATGCTGTGCATAGAGATATAACAGATGCTAGGGAGTTTTGTGTTTGCTTCATCTGTCCATCTGAAAACGTTGGAGGTGTTATTGGAAAAGGTGGTGCTTTCATTAATCAAATCAGGCAAGAAACTGGTGCAACGATTAGAGTCAACACCTCAGAAACTGATGATGATGATTGCATCATTTTCATATCTTCAAAAGAGGTAATGCAAATATCTTATCTATTTCTATGTCATGTTTAAACATGAGAATCATTGACTGAGTTTTTGTGTGTATATAGTTCTACGGAGACCAGTCTCCAGCGGTGAATGCAGCAATACGCTTACAACAGCGGTGCAGTGAGAAAGTGGGTAAAGATACAAATGATTTAGCAATCTCCACCCGTTTACTTGTGTCAAGCTCCCAAATCGGGTGTCTCATTGGAAAAGGTGGAGCTGTTATATCCGAGATGAGGAGTGTAACAAGAGCAAATATCCGCATTCTTCAAAAAGAAGATGTACCAAAAATAGCACGAGAAGATGAAGAGATGGTTCAGGTAATTAGAATACATATCCAGATTGTGTTCTAACATTTTTGTTGTTGTAAAACTAAGTGAATGTCTTTTTGCTGTGGTCAGATCACAGGAAATCCTGATGCCGCTATGAAAGCCCTGACGCAAGTAATATTGAGATTAAGGGCTAACTCTTTCGACATGGATCATGGACTTGTCTTGTTACCAACATCATTTCCATATACCGAAAGTTCTAACAAATCCAAGTACGCAAAACGCGATGACTACAGTAAACTGGTATGTACTAATATCCTCATTTGAAAATATGCAATGTTTGTATGCATCATCAATCAAGATACACACTTACGTATATGATTATTTATTGCAGAATTCGAATTCTAAGAGAAGAAACCGTGAATCTTAAACCGAGAAAACCCATCTTAGAAAGGAAAGATTGAGAGAGTGTTCAACAGTTGCAGGAACTTCTGTGTTGATGCAGTTTTATACACAATGATGTTTTTACTTGTAGAAAGAAAAAAGCTGTCTACGCAGTTCACATAAAGAAATGTAAACAAGAGGGTGTGCTTTCATCTGTTTCTTTTTAGTTTATACTTTGGTTTACTGTTTGAGTTTTCTCAAGTGTTTGTCATTTTCCACTTTTAGTAACAAAACATTTCACTATCTATTGTATTACATTTAAGGAAATATCAATATTTCTGTACGCTAGTTATACTGTTGTTTGAGATTTGATGTATGAACCCTCCTGTTATTCTTCCAGGATATGTTTTTCTTTATCACGCAGGAATTGCATTGTCTGACCATATTCCACTCTGAAACTATACAAGCTACAATGGATTATAAATTTGAGCTCTTCCTTTGGTTTGTATTTTATCGTTTGTGATTAAACTAGTCATCTTGGCTAAGTTTTCATAAGATTGGAACTAAATGATTGGCGGGTTGAGCCAGGCCCGTGCAGTAGTGCAACGCATGGGCGACTCGCGAAAGCCCAGATAGCAAGCTATCTTAACGGGCCTTCTCCCTTAAAAAATAGAGTTAATATCGTGTGAGCCGATGGCCCACATATCAGATATTAAACTGATAAGAACAGATACTACACTTGATCTTAGCCAAAAGGCCGAGAAAGGTATGATTTGCAAGTAAGGCTCAGGGTCCTTTATATACTACACAAGATTGACTACCGCTTCTCTAACTCGTCGATGTGGGACATTTTTCAAAAGAAGCACTTGCCTCATTCTTTAAAAAGACAAAACAGACCTCGTAGTTTTAAGACAATCTTACAACGTCAGAAATAAAGGAGGGATTTTTATGTCTGAATCATCTTTTGGAACTTTGCTCTCATTTCACTGGTTCAAGCTTATGTCTCTAAGAAATCAAATATTTTTCATCAGTATCAGAAAAAAATGACAGTCAAATTAGTAAACACTTCAAAGTTTATAGCTTCGGATTAGTAGTAGCTAAAGACATGGAATATAATGCCAAAAAGAGAACTCCTATTGGTTGTTGTTGGATGTAACAGAAATTAGAGCAGGTAAAGAGAGGCTAAACACAAGATAACAAATAAATCTTTGCTCATTATATGTCCTCAGCAAAAAACCTAAATTCTTTGTCTTTATATGAATGTTACACTTAGATTATGGTTTTACAAACTAGTATACTATTTCAAAGTCCTAACCACTTCTTGAATTGTCCTCACGGTAGATATTTATATAAATTGCAGACCCTTTTTGTGTAGTAAAAAGTCACAGAGAGAAGAAAGAAATAAGATGGAAGAAGCAAAGAAAACTGAAGCTGGTGAAGCACGCCGGGTTGAAGCTGAGGAAGCAAATCATATTGAAGCTAGGGAAGCACAAAGGATTGAAGCTGGGGAAACTTCAAGATCATCTAGGAAAGTTATTACTTTTGAGCCAAAGTTGGTTATAAACAAAGGGATTTTGGGTCTTGGATTCGTTCTGCGGTTATTTGCTGTTTTTGGAACTATAGGAAGTGCACTTGCAATGGGTACAACACATGAGTCTGTTGTTTCTTTGACTCAGCTTATACTCCTCAAAGCTAATTACAGTGACTTACCAACGCTCATGTAAAAGATTCGAAGATCACTATCTGTTTGTTAATCACCATGCATTGATTGTGTGTATATATATAACAGTATTTGCTCTGCCTCGTAGGTTTTTCGTGGTTGCAAACGCGATTGCTGGTGGATATTTGGTTCTTTCTCTACCTGTCAGTATCTTTCATATCTTCGGTACTAAAGCTAAAACCTCAAGAATTATCTTGCTCGTCATCGACACGGTAAATCTCTCTCCCTTTCTTTTTTGATAGTTCCTCTTTTCTAAATTTTTACAAACTTTTCATGATCTAAGTACTGTATGTGGTTGAGGGATATAATATGTGTGGATAAACTTTGGATTAATATAGAACTGTGTTTTATTATACCATCTTTGGACCGGTTTTTATAACATTCTGAATCTACGATCATAAAAGGTGGTATAATAAAACAGAGGAAACGAAACTGTGACCCAATAAAACTTCCATTTTGAAATGACTTTATGTCGACTCACGAGGAGAATACTCAAAATGTTGCCATTTATTGTCTCTATATATAATAAGGTGATGTTGGCTCTGGTGAGCTCTGGCGCATCAGCAGCAACTGCCACAGTGTATTTAGCTCACGAGGGCAACACAACCGCTAACTGGCAACCGATCTGCCAGCAATTTGACAAATTCTGCGAACGCATCTCGGGATCTCTCATCGGTTCTTTCGCCGCATTGATCTTACTCTTGCTTGTTGTTATCAATTCTGCTGTCTCCCTCTCACGCCACTGATATATCTATGAACATATGTACATCGATTTGATTTTCCATAGAAATAACGATGTAATGTGTCTTTGCGTCTACAGTGACTCAATGTCTTTAACTTTATATCCAATTTAATGTACTATAATGATTTCAGAAATTTCTTGTGAAGAGATAGATATATGCAAACTAATAATACAACTGAGTTAAGCAAGAAGCTCCACCACGTTGTCTATCGACTTCAATGTCTTCTCGTAGTAGAGATACGACTCATACACCTTTGGCGTCCGTACGTAAAAATCCAACTATTGTATAAAAAAAAACATTTAACAATCTTTTGTTACGTATTGATAACAAATATGAAATAATTTGTGGATTAGAGTTTTAACTTATACCTCACTCATGTTTTCGACTAGCTGGTTTGCCGCCTGAACGTAATCATTCCGGCGACTCTCCGGCAAGATGTTCATGGCGTTGGTTAGATCCTGAGACAGATAAGCCTGTTTCAATCTTATGTAGAATATAACGTACCTCCACGACATGTGGTCCAACATCTCCCTCATGTCTCTCAATCCTTCAGCCGTCTGTTTTATACGCGCTGCCGCATCCTCAGGCGATAGCCCCGGCATAAAATATTTCTCTTTTATGAATGACCTCGTCCCCCATTTCTCCTGTGCTAACGCTGATGACGTGACGGCGCCGCCGCCAATGGTGGTGAATGTTATAAGCGAAGTCAGCAGGGTTCTCCGGCGAGTGAAGATATCTTGTTGGGATTCTCCGGCACAGCATACTACGGAGAATGGTGGGTTTATACGGCGACGGTAATTCGGCCGGAGGAGGAGATACGGTGGCGGAGAGTTAGTGGCGAAGGAGCTCATTTTTATTGTTATTTATGTTTCTTTTTAAGGATAGGAAATGGGAGGAGCTCAAAAATACTATAGTGTGCTATTGACAATAGTCTATTGTCTACTTTGAAAAATCATAAAGATTGCCACGTTGGTCTCTCATGTTTTGCCACGTCGGATGTTATCTTTAAAGTTCTGTATTTTAGAATTAGTGAACAACATATACAGAGGCCCATAAGGCTGAAAGGCCTAAGAGTATATAAACGACGTCGTTAAGTACACACATTGAACAAATAACGTTGATACCAAAACGATGTCGTATGGTAGAAAAAGTTTTGGGTAATTAACTCGGTGACTGTGAGTTTAGTAATCGAATCCGGTGACTCGGTGAGAATGGAGCGGAGCCGAGTGACCAGAGAATCACCGACCGGAACGAGGATCCTGCTTGCGTCACTATCTGCAATGGTCGCAGAGTCAGTTACGTTTCCGATAGATCTCACAAAGACCAGAATGCAGCTCCATGGTGCGCAACGGATTGGCGCCATCGGAGTCGTATCGGAGATTGCGAGGAAGGAAGGTGTGATTGGTCTCTACAAAGGTTTATCTCCGGCGATAATGAGACATTTGTTCTACACGCCTATTAGAATCATTGGATACGAGAATTTGAAAGGATTCGTCGTCAGATCTGAAGCTAACAGCGGCGAGTCTCTTCCTCTCGCCACTAAGGCTCTCGTCGGAGGATTTTCTGGTGTTATAGCTCAGGTAACGGTGCTTCTTCATCGGTGAATCCTTAGAGTCTTGTTAAGTTTTTGTAATCAATGTAGCAGTTGTTAAGAGTATATTTAGCTAATCGAATTGAACATTTGATCTCTATGTTTAGTTTCCTTTGATAATGCTTCTTAGAATAAGGCTGCAAAAGGGGATTTTGTTCCATTTTTATTGAATTCTAGTAGCTGCGACTTTTGGTTTAAAGATGAGAGAATCCATGCAGATCTTAAAACTTGGATTGCTCAATGTTCAGTTCACATATCCTTATTCTAAATCATTTGCTTGCTTGTTGTCTGCTAGTTGTTACAATTAAGCTCCCTCAGAACACTGATTACTAATGGAAACTCGTGGATCTCTGGAGAATTTAAGACTTCTCAAGTTCTGTATAGAGATCTTCTAGTTTGATTATATCTTTAGAATTGACATTTGAGTGTTATCTAAAGACTAAAACTAAAATGTTTCTTATTGTGCTTTTACTAGAAATGCAGGTAGTAGCTAGCCCAGCTGATTTGGTTAAAGTGAGAATGCAAGCAGATGGTAGATTGGTGAGTCAAGGCCTGAAACCGAGATACTCGGGACCAATCGAAGCTTTCACCAAAATCCTTCAATCAGAAGGAGTAATAGGGCTATGGAAAGGTGTTCTTCCAAACATCCAGAGAGCATTTCTAGTGAATATGGGAGAACTAGCTTGTTATGATCACGCCAAACACTTTGTCATCGATAAAAAGATCTCTGAGGATAACATTTACGCGCACACGCTTGCTTCTATAATGTCGGGTCTTGCTTCTACAACTCTGAGTTGTCCGGCTGATGTGGTGAAGACAAGGATGATGAATCAAGGTGAGAAAGCTGTGTATAGAAATTCTTACGAGTGTTTGGCGAAGACAGTTAAGTTTGAAGGAATAAGAGCTTTGTGGAAAGGGTTCTTCCCGACATGGGCAAGGCTTGGACCGTGGCAGTTCGTGTTTTGGGTCTCATATGAGAAGTTTAGACAACTCGCAGGGATGTCTTCCTTTTAGACCTGAGATATTGGAATTGCAAACTTGAGATTTGGGTCTTACACATCTTGTAAGAAAACTTGAGATTTTGAGATTTGGGTCTTACACATCTTGTAAGAAAACTCGAGAAGTAGCAGATATCAGTTTCTGATTAAGGTGAGTGAGAGTAGGGCCTATATATCTATCATAATTTTAAGTTTTCAAATTGATTGTTTTTTCAGTCAGTGAGTTGATTAAACAAACAATTATTTATAAAGTAAGAATTTAATCAAATATTTCATAATATATATGAATTTGATATACTGTAATTTGCAAAATTCTGAAGAAAATAATGTTTTGGCACATATCTATATACTAAAAATTTTATATGAAAATGGAATATTAATGAATATATGCATGTATTTTGGTTGGTAAAGTTAGTGTAGTTTTAAGAAAAATTGCATTCATGATAATTGGATGGATGAATTTTACAGGATGTTTAGAGATTTTTGTTGTTGTTGTCAATTTTCCATTTTTTGGTGAAAGATTTTTTTCCTTTATTAAGAAAACTAAAAGACTAGAAAGTTAGAAGAAGATTTGGGAAAAATTAGAAATTTAGGAAAAGAAAAAATAAATAAAGAAATTTGGCGCGTGGAGAACGTTGCGTAAAATTATTGACGCCATTTCCTTGTCGTAATGTGAGGTCTGAGGGACAAAACAAAACACAACTCGCAAAGCAGAAAAGTCTCTGTAGATCCAAATTACTTCCCGAGTTCGATTTCGTTTTTCTTACTCGTCTGTAATAAGCCACTCGTACACTTGATCAACTCCTTTCGTTTCCTCGAGAAAATCTTAGATCCCCGACGAAATTAAGGTACTCTTTTACTTCTGAAAATCTCTTTTGAGCATAGATATATAAAGAAGATAATCAAATTTTCACGTAAGTGATGTTTACCCAGAATAAGCAAAAATATCGATTCGTCTTTGTCTATATAGCTTGTTCGGTTTGTAGAACAAAAAAAGGGGTGAATGCATCTTGTTTACGCATAACTCTGTATTGGGTTTCCTTCAATTTTAGACGTAATTGATGTTTGTCCAGAAGAAGTAGTAGTGGATGTCTTGTTAATTTTATTCTAATTGATTTAGATGTAAATTTGTTTTCACTGATAACTGTTTTAGCCAATTTGAGATATAAAAGTTTCAAACTTTTTTTTTCCTCTGTTTCGTTGGAACGAAGTGTTTGTCGAATTCAGACTACTTTAGTGTTTTGATCAGAGAAAATTGTCTTTGGTGAAACTAATTTTCTACATTGATCTCATCCATTACGTCATTACTCTCTAAGGATGTTTTCTTTTCCTCTTTATAACATTGGCCTTAGGTTGTTGCGTTGAGTAGAGAAATACTTCTTGTTTTGAGCCTCTCCATTGAAGATAAATGGTGGAACAAAATGGAGTCACTCCGACTATAGACTTGGGAGAGGTTTCTGATAAGATTCTGAATCAGAAAATCCGTGAAGCGAGTGAGCGATGGGGTTGTTTTAGGGTGATTAACCATGGAGTCTCATTTTCTTTGATGTCTGACATGAAGAAGACTGTTATTGATCTCTTTGAGCGTCCATACGAGGTGAAACTGCGTAACACCGATGTGCTACTAGGTAGTGGTTACAGGGCTCCAAATGAAACCAATCCTTACTATGAAGCATTAGGCCTCTATGACATGGCTTCTCCTCAAGCTGTCAATATCTTTTGTGACCAACTTGAAGCTTCTGCAGATCAAAGGTTCATTTCTTTTTTTCTTTGGTTTCAAAAGGGTTCTTCTTGTGATGGAACAATTGATTTATGTCTTGATGAATCTTGCAGGGAGATTATGGTTAAGTATGCAGAAGCTATCAATGGACTTGCAACGGATTTAGTGAGGAGACTAGCAGAGAGTTACGGGCTTGTTGAAACTGAGTTTTTCAAAGGTTGGCCAAGCCAGTTTCGGATTAACAAATATCATTTTAAACCCGAAGCAGTCGGTAAGCTCGGTGTGCAATTACACACGGATTCAGGGTTCTTGACGATTCTTCAAGATGATGAAAATGTTGGTGGACTTGAAGCTATGGACAGCTCTTCAGGAAACTTTTTCCCAATAGACCCGTTGCCAAACACGCTTGCTATCAACCTCGGGGACATGGCTACGATATGGAGCAATGGAAGATTGTGCAATGTGAAGCATAGAGTGCAATGCAAAGAAGCAACAATGAGGTATTCTATAGCCTCCTTCTTATTGGGACCAATGGATACAGATTTGGAACCTCCAAGTGAGTTTGTAGATGCAGAGCATCCCCGGCTATACAAGGCTATTAGTCACGAAGGGATACGGAATATTAGAATGACTAAAAAAATGCATGATGGAGAAGCTCTGAAGCTTATAACCCATGAAGAGCTAGATAATTGACCTAAAGGGGATTTTTAATATGGTTGCGTTATGGAGCTAGAAAACTGCAGGTTAGTGTGATTGTTCCCTAGGAATGAGAAATAAAGATATAAATCACTATCCTTTTTGGTGGTTCAAAAATAAAGATGTATACCTATTCGATTGTTGCATTGTATGAATTTTTTTACCTTCAGATCTTTGTGGATGCAATACTATTCTTGATCCTCTGTTTCTTGGTATCTGAAAAGAAGAAAGAAATTATCAAAATCATATTCAGTAACTGTAGAGTTGATTAAAGATTGGAGTCCGGAAGTAAATAGTCTGGTTTTGTCCAAATCACCAACTTGTAATTGATCCATGAGCCTTATGGCAAACCCATTGGTAGATTGATCTACTTGGCAGTAACAAGAACCAATTTAATTTGCTTATTGTTTACATGTGTTGTTGGCACAACTTATGCAATTGGCGTGCAACTTGAGGAGTAGTTCGATGTCTGCATGCATATAGTGGGCAAATACACCATCCTCTGTAGCTGTAGATCCGCCCATGTCGCCACATGTTATCTCAAACCACTAATAAGAGAGTAAGCGGTGACGTTGATCATCAGTCATTATTAAACTATGTAGTTGCATTGCATCACTATATAATCAAATTATCATTTGCATGCATGTATGGTTTTAGCAAAACTATGCCCGTAGTATCAGGCTGAGTAGGATATTATTAATAAATTTCACGTGGAAAACGTTGTGGGATAGGCGTCGACGTTCAGTTTCTTCTCTATTCAATATTTTATAAAGTAAATTATTAAGGCAAGACTTTTGTGTGTGGTCGAAAATACTTGGGACTTCTTTATAAAGTGATCTTGCCTTCGATAAGCCAACCCTTTTCCATTACATCTACTCATTTGTTTTCTCGAGAGAATTTAGAGACACTAGTAGATCCCCGACAACGTTAACTCGTTAAGGTACGTACTCTTTTATTTCTGAAATTCTTTAAACTCACTAATTTTTACGTCATTCTCTAGTTAATGTCTATACAACCATATATTGGATTAAGTAGGGTTTTGAGTTGACTAGAGAAAGAACTCTTTTCTTTTATAATTCTTTTTGTCAACCTTTCCATGGAAGATAATGGTGGAACTAAAAGGAGTAATTCCGACAATAGACTTGGAAGAAGGTTATGTTGAGATTCTGAATCGAAAGATCCGTAAGGCAAGTGAGAAATGGGGATGTTTCATGGTGATAAACCATGGAGTCTCTTTGTCTTTGATGGCTGAGATGAAAAAGACTGTTAGAGATCTCCATGAGCGTCCACACGAGACGAAAATGGGAAACACCGATGTGTTACTTGGGAGTGGTTACAAGCCTCAAAGTGAGTCGAATCCTTTGTATGAATCATTAGGTCTTTTTGACATGACATCTCCTCAAGCTGTCAGTAGCTTTTGTGATAAACTCCACGTCTCTGCACATCATAGGTTTCTATCTTTGCACTTTTCTTTTCCTGTCGTTATTACTGAATGCACTGTTGGTTTGGTTCGGATAGATCATCAAACGCACTCTGGTTTAATATGTATGTTTTTGTTTGTTGTTGTTGCAAGGGAGATTATGCTGAAGTATGCGACAGCTATTGATGGTCTTGCAAGGGATTTAGCAAGGAGATTAGCGGAGAGTTACGGAGTCAAGGATCCACATTTTTTGAGAGGATGGCCGAGCCATTTTCGGATGAACAAATATCATTTTAAGCCCGAAACAGTTGGAAAACTCGGTGTGGAACTACACACTGATCCTGGTTTCCTGACAATTCTTCAAGGCGATGAGGATGTTGGTGGACTTGAAGTCATGGACAATTCTTCAGGATCCTTTTTCCCCATAAACACAGCGCCGAACACCCTTCTTGTCAACCTTGGTGACATGGCTACGGTGAGATATTATATATATCACCACTAGCTAGCTATAGTATATATATAGTTCAAAATTGTGTAGACTGTTGCACATGAAACATTGAACTTTATAATTGCTTTTTGATAGATATGGAGCAATGGAAGGTTATGCAATGTGAAGCATAGAGTGCAATGCATAGAGGCAAAAGTGAGGCTTACAATCGCCTCGTTCCTATTAGGACCAGTGGATAGAGATCTTGAAGCTCCAGATGAATTTGTGGATGCTGAACATCCGCGACTATACAAGCCTATCAGCGACGGAGGATTAAGAAAGATTAGACTGAGCAAGAATCTTCATGCTGGTGGATCTCTCAAGTTTATAACCTATGAAAGACTTAAAAATGACGTCCCAAATTAAGATATATTTTTGGGCACTGTTAAACGAACCATCTTAATTCTCAAAATAATTTTATTATTTTGTTACAATGGATCATATCATAAATTTCATGCTACTTAATTAATAGTATCCCGTTTTTTTCTTCCAATCATTCCGCTTGCGTACATGCATATTATATAGATTAGATATGATCAAATGTAATCAATAATTGAAGGGACTTTAAGACAAGTCGGAGGAGAATGGAACAAGGCTCTACAAATGGTGTGTCAAAGATCTATGCGGTTGTTGAGAATCCAATAAATTAATCATGCCTTAGATCTTGAGCTACGCATCCAAATATTTTTACCTGCCATACTCGAGATATATTTACATCTCAGACTTTAATTTGTTTTCGAAGATGTAAGAACCCTGTTTCCAAGAGCATACGCTGAAACCTACACCATGTGTTTCGATCCTCATCATGAATTCATGTGTAGACCATGCGCTTATGAATATCAGAATATGTTATCAGTTAAACTGATTGGTAGATACAACTTCCGTGTTGGACGGTGTTGTAGCCATCTGGATATAAACGTATTTCACGTTTTAGTGTTTTTTGCAACCTCACGTGACTCACGCTTTAGCTTCATTAAACCCTTGTTAGTTGTTAGACATATATAATATTAGGTTTTCAAATATTTGGCTCTTCATGTTTGTTCAAACGTCTTTGTCGAATTCAACTACTATATATGGTACTGATCGATGATTTGATAAATTAAATGATGAGAGAGAGAACGTCTTTTGGTCTAATTACGTCATTAGTTACACCATTTTCTCGTAGGATTGTCAATTCTTCTTTATAACATCGGACAAGGTTGTGTTGAAAGTAGCCAAGGACCTACTTTGTGACATATTTGGGGCAATGGAATATGAAACATAGAGTGAGTGCATAGACGCAAAAGTGGGGATTTCTATATATCTCCTCATCATTCCTATTAGGTCCAGTGACCACTGACCAGTGGTCCAGTGGATAGTAGTAACTCGAAACTCGGGATCATATGAATTTTTGGATGCTGATCTATCAGCGATGTAGGCCTAAAAAAGATTAGATTGAGCAAGAATCTTCGTGCTGCCGAATCTCTCAAGTTTATAACCATAAAAGACCTAAACGACACAACGATAGATTAAGGCGACTGTTATATGAACCAACATCAACATGAACTGTCATCAAATATTGTTTAGTTTTCCCTTGTAATTAAGACACAAAAATGAAAAGAGAGACAAGTTATATAAAGATGCATCTTCATCATATTGTTTATATTAATAATTATGGGAAATATATATGAGGCTGGTAAATCTCAAAAAACTCGTAAACTCTGTTGTTGTCACAAGTTAGGCCATGCATTCACACCATGACAAACTATATATTTCATTCAAATGTTTCACCATTTCAGATTGGATATGAATTTCAGATCAAATCATAATACGGCACATCATTAATATTCTCTCCCAATCATCCCCAATATCAATTTCAAGTAATTAAATACTAGAATGTGACATATTAACCCATTATTACGTACGTGAAGATAATCATGCACATCGAGAATTGGGTACAATTTTAAATTAATATAAGTTTGTGGAAAATATAAGAAGATAGTCAATAGTTCAGGGGCTTATATGAGATTCTTAAGAAATAGAGATACTGAACAAACGTGTGCTAGTCACGTGCTCAGTATCCCTAGCGAGTATCTATCTTCTGTAGCGAGTCGCGTATTGACTCACTGATATTGCAAATCGCCGTCGCGTCAGTGAAATTAGTCAGCAATCTCGCCGAGTACAGAGAGAAATTAAAATATGGCGATGTAAGATGACATCTCACCATTGACTCGGTTAGTGAACTCCGATGATGTCTTCCGTTGAAGTCAGACGTTCCTAATATAAGCTCCTTAAGTTATTAGAGTAGTCTGGATTCAGAGAGGTGAGATGACCAGAACAGTTTGTAACAATTTGTTTTGTTTTAGAGGAACAGATCCAACGGCTCGCGAATAAAGGATGCTAGTGAATGCAAGTAGAAGCACGGAGCAGACTACAAAGAAAGTGATGAATGTTTTGGTGGAACACATTGTACCATATACATTTAAGGGTTCGCCGGAACTTTGGTTTGCTGGAGCCTGGAGATTTGTTAGAAGCTGATGATGTCTTCTCAGTTTCTTAGTTATTCTGATTTGTTTGTCTGTGTGTAAGATGGGTTCAGTTTTGAAAGCGAGGGAAATGGACTCACGCTCTGATCTGAAGTTACATTTTTCCCCGTTTCTTTGAGTCACATGTTTATTCCAGATCTAAACTAGCAAAACACCATTTCTCGAAGCATTACGATGTTGATACATAACTAGTCTCTTTCAGAACACACAATAGGACAATCCAAAGCCAGTCTCCCAGTTTTGGTGTTTTCAGGAATTTGTTAAAGCAACAATGATGAACATAAAAGAAGATGAAGCGTTACTATCAAAATTCATCTCAGACATCAACTAGCTTAAGGCCTGTGGTCCAATCCTCACAATACCTAACAAAAGGGGTGTTTTTGATTATCTTGGATTGACAACCATGGAGCGGAGCTCTAAGTAAACATGGATCCATCGACATGGCCCTAACACATGGCGGATTAGGAACTATGCGGTTCCTTGGTTCGTAGAGGATCCATGGCTTTAATCCTCCAAGACCTTGAGCTACGTATCCAAAGGTAGACCTTGTGCTTGTGACAAGTTTATCAGTTAGGCTTAGGAGGTAGATTTCGGCAAGCGCCTTTTGGTCATGCAGCTTCTTGTCTGTTTGTTGAACTCTTTCTCCACTTGGCTGATAAACTTCAATGATTTCTCCTGTCGAACTTGGTCGTTCGAAAAACATGTTCTTTAGTTTATCAGAGTACTCCGGATACAGAGATGTGACCAGGACAGCTTTCAGTTTCGGGCTTGTTGATGCGTTACTGGCTTGTGATTCTGGTGCGGCCAATATAGGCAAAAGTTTCTCTCCTTGTGTACATGATAGAATCTGATCCATCACGTGCTGGAAATATCCAGCGTGTTTGCCATATACTCGTACTTGAATCCCAAGTCTCTCGTCTGCTCTGGATAAGTAAGCATTGTAGGACCTACTGATCATACCCCAAACTTGGTTTGTGGGTTGAAAAAGATACCGAGCCAAATGGTGAAAGACAGTATCTTTCTGTGGGAATAGCTGAATGAGTTTGGTTTGGAAACTTGGGATCATCCATAGAGATGGAACAAAGTAAAGGTTGGATTTGACGACAAGCCAAGGGACTTTCCCAAGGAAAGCTTGGTCTCCTTCACAGAAGAACATCTTATCATGATCCCTGGAATCATGGAAAATATCAAGATAAAGATGGGCCGGTATTGTAGTTGAGTTAGTGGCATGATTCTTCAACATTGTTCCGTAACAACGCGGGTGTTTCCGGTCGAAGCTATCTAACTGATTCGTCAATGGGAAATCCAGAGGAAGTAACCAGGAAGTTTCAGGAAAAGGCTCGCAGAAGAGGTCCGTAATATCTTTCCGTTGGTCAACAAGGATGACCCTCTCTGTCAAGAGAGCATAGAGGAAGACAGAGACCAAAGAAAGCATTCTGTTTCCCAGACCAAACATAGGCATCCACACTACATACCGACATTCATCACCAGAGCTTCTGACATCATTGTGACCAAGCTGCTCTGTAGCTCTCTTGTATGCCTTTGTGCCAGGACCGCAATGCTTGTGAAGTATCTCGTAACTTCTAAGCTTAGAAACAAGAGATTCAGATGGTTTGTATGGTGAAGGTTTGCGCAAAGATGGCTGATGATACCTACTCAAGCAAGATTCCTCATCAAAATCTGTAGCAAGAAGCCCTCCTAGCAGTTTCTCCCTCGGTTTTTTAGAACCTTTTCAAGAAGATCAAAGAAAGAGAAGATGATGAGCAATTTTGATTCTGCTGAAGCAAATTTAACCCCATAAAGATTATGATCCTATTACCTGTGAATGTAAGATCAGACTTGAGACGGTTGAAGATGTTGGAGGATGGTAGTAGTAGCACCAAGCTAAGTACTAAGCAAGTGGTGATTGCTATCGCCAACTTCATCTTGCTAGAGGTATCCTAAACGAGATGTTTTCTTCCTGTCTTGCTACTTTGTTGCATGTATGATGTTACTACTGATTCTGGTTTCAGGATGAAAGGGATGGAAACATAATCTCGTATTATGAATTTATGATGCGGTGAAGGAAATGAGATCTAATAGATTTGTTTCGATCATGTTCTTAATATAAATTCATTACATGCCATTAATATTTTTTTTTTTATGTTTAGACAGTTTAGTTATTCTTATTTAATTATTTTTTCTTAAACAATTTTTCCTTTGACAAAATAGTAAATAATTTTCTTAATAATGCTTGACAATGTTTAGAAAGAGAATCTCAGAATTTATGATTCAATAATATGTTTCCATATTGTAAGTAATTGTTTTCAAAATAGTGAAATGCATATAGTACTCTTAACTATTCAATTTGTAAAAAAATTAATTATGTTTATGGAATAAAATACACAAATTTGTGTTGAATAATTTTTTAAAGTTAATATATAAGTAGATGAGAATTAATTAATAGAAGTAAAGGTGAAAAAAAAATATAATTTATATATACAAATATATTTTATTGTTTTGAATTGGAAAAAAAAAAAGAGTTAAAAGTTAATATTTTACGCAGATACAGAAAACGTATAGTGCGAATTCCACTTCCACGTGAGATTAAATGATTAGAGGAAGGTTTTACAATTACATATAGAATTGCCTCTGCATTGCACTAAGGTTGGTAAACTGAATCAACTAGTTTAAGGCCTGTGATCCGATCCTCACAATACCTAACGAAAGGGGTGATCTTCACATTCTTAGCTTGACAACCATAGAGTGGAGCTCTAAGGAAACATGGCTCCATTGACACGGCTCGAACACATGGTGGGTCAGGAGCTGTGTGGTTCTTTGGCTTGTAGAGTATCCATGGCTTTAATCCTCCAAGACCTTGAGCAACGTATCCGAACGTAGATGAGTCGCTCGTGACAATGTGGTCCGTTAAACTTAGAAGATATATCTCAGCGAGTGCCTTTTGGTCGTGAAGCTTATTGTCTGTTTGTTGATACATCTCTTGGCTTGGTTGGTAAACTTGTATTATGTCTCCTGTTGAACTCGGGCCTTCCCAATACATAGTCCTTAGTTCCTCAGAGTACTCTGGGTAAAGAGATGTGACAAGGACAGCTTTGAGTTTTGGGCTTCTTGATGTATTAGGGACTTGTGGTTCTGAAGCAAACACTTCAGGTAGTAGTTTCTCTCTTTGTGCACAAGCTAGGATTTGGCTCATGACGTGCGGGAAATATCCAGCCGGGTTGCTAAAAACTCGTACTTGTATCCCAAGTCTCTCGTCTGCTCTTGATAAATAAGCATTGTAGGATCTTGTGATCATACCCCAAACCTGGTTTGTGGGGTGAATTAGATAGCGAGTCAGATGGTGAAAGACAGTTTCTTTCTGTGGGAATAGCTTGCTAAGTTCGGTTTGGAAACTAGGGATCAGCCATAAAGATGGAATAAAGTAAAGGTTTGAGTTGAAGACCAACCAAGGGACTTGCCTGATGAGACTTTGATCTCTTTCACAAAAGAACATCTTATCATGATCCTCGTAATCGTGAATAAGATAGAAACAAAGGTAGGAGGCCGGGATGATGCTTTCTATTGTAGTGGAGTTAATGGCAAGATTCTTCAACATGGTTCCATAACAACGCGGAGATTCCTTGTTGAAGCTATCTAGTTGATCTGTGAGTGGGAAATCCAGAGGGAGTAGCCAGGAAGTACCCGGAAAAGGCTCACAGAAGAGATCAATTATGTCCTTGCGTTGGTCAACAAGCATGATTCTCTCAGTCAAGAGAGCATAGAGGAACACAGAAGCAAGAGTAAGTATTCTGTTTCCAAGCCCGTAAACAGCAATCCACACAATGTATCTGCATTCACCAACAGATTTGCTTGCAACGTCATCATGAACAAGATTCTCTGTTGCTTTCTTGTAAGCTTCCGTGCCTGGACCGCAACGCTTGTGAAGCTTCTCATAGTTTCTAAGCTTAGAGACGAGATATCTGGATGGTTTGAATGGTGAAGGCTTGCGATACAAGGAAGACTGATACCTACTCAAGCAAGAACTTTCATCAAACTCTTCAGTAAGCAGGCCTCCTAACAGTTTATCCCTCGGTTTTGCTGAATTTTCTGAACCTATTACGTGAAAATGAAGTACTAATAAGTCAAAGGAGCACTCTCGAGTAAAACAAGACTAAAAGATGAATGATTTTACCGGTGGTTGCAGCATTATGAACCTGGTGGTTGAAGATGTTGAAAAATAATACTAAGATCATCAATGACCAAAGTAGTAAGCAAGTGACTAGTGTTATCATGAGCCTCATCTTCAAAGGCAAAGCTCAGAAAACTTCCAAGAGATCTCAAATACTGAAACAGTTATAATGAAGTGCTTTAAAAGACGTCCCTTCGGGTACATACGATAAAATTGAAACGATATAGAGAAGATTAGCATGGTCCCTGCGCAAGGATGACACGTACAAATCGAGAAATGGTCCAAATTTTTTATATCTTTTAACAAAAAAAAAAAAAAAAAGTGCTTTAAAAGACTTTAAAATTTTGATTCTAATTTTGGTGACGACATTGATGGTGAAGCCTCTTGTCTCTTTCTTGGTAGAATCTGATCTTTCACATGGTGGGGCTGGAAATGACCCTGCTCTGCTCCTTTGTTGGTACAATCTGCCATTGTAACCATAAGATGAATTTGAACCGTAGTTTCCCACACACACACACAAATTGGTTACATTGGTACACAAGAAGTGACAACACTGGTTTAACAGGTTCCGGTTTAATTTGATTTTTAAAACGATTTTGGAATCGGTTGGGTTTTGGTCAATATGCTCTCTATCATGTGAAAAAACCCTCACTCGTCGTCGGAGATAAAAAAAAAATCTCTGCCAGTTGTGTTTTCCGGCTGCCACTGCATCGGGAAACGTCTAATGATTGATTTTGCGATTCCGTTACTCTCACATGTGAGAGGTTTGATTCATAGAGATCCTCTTGGCGATTCGACGTGGTTCCTTCAGCACTTGATCTGACGAACCCTTCAATCCCACACTCGGAGCAAGTGAAAGAAGGTAACTTTGATTGTAATGGGTATTGAAGTTGAATGAAAAGGGTTCTTTAGGTTTTAAATACTATGAAGGATGAACCTTACCTTGCTTTGTCTTTTCTGAAACGAATTAAAGGAAATGGGGCTTTGCCTATTGTCCAAGCTTATGCAGCTGATATCAGAATTGTTTCTCCTGAAAACTCATGAGGATGTAAACAGTCTTACGGATTTCAATTTGTAAGTAACTGTAATGTGTTACTAAAGTAAACGAAACATGTCCTGTAAAATGTTTTTAAAATTTGTTTTGAGTGTTCATGAACATATTAATACAGAGGATGAAATTGTAAACTGTAAAGTGTTCTGATATTCCATAAAGCATTCAAACATGATTAGTATTATTTGTGTGTATAGTTAAAAACTGAACCTGATTATTATAGACGACTCTAAAAAGAAAGATAAAAACTTTGATTGTTACATTACATACAATCAGAAGAATTCATCAAAAGACTCTGTTTCATTAACTCACAATCCAATACAATCAGCTATTGTAAACAAGATCTATAACTCATCATATAGCTTAAGCCCATCGTTACCAAGATCCTCACAATGCTTTACAAAAGGAACCACCTTCCCCGAGTTAGTTCCCCATTCGGGCTCACATCCATGAGACGGAGGGGTAAGGTGACAAGGGTCCATCGACGTGGATCGAACACACGGTGGATCAGGAGCTCTATTACCTGTTGGCTGATAGAGTAACCATGGCTTTAACCCTCCAAGACTATGAGCAACATATCCAAATGTAGACTTTGCGCTTGTGACAATGTTATCAGTTAGACTCAGAAGATACATCTCGGCTAGCGCCTTTTGGTCGTGAAGCTTCTTGTCAGTTTGTTGAACCCTTTCTCCACTTGGCTGATAGACTTCAATTATCTCTCCTGTTGAAGTCGGTCGTTCCCAATACATGTTCTTTAAGTTGTCAGAGTACTCTGGATACAAAGATGTGACAAGAACAGCCTTAAGTTTCTGGCTTTTCGATATATTGAACTTTGGTTCTTCTTGTGCAGCTGGCTCAGGTAAAAGTTTCTCTCTTTGTGTGCAAGAGACAACCTGATCCATTACATGCTGAAAGTATCCAGCTCTATCACTGAAGATCCGTATTTGAACCCCGAGTGTCTCGTCTGCTCTTGACAAGTAAGCATTGTAGGATCTTGTGATCAAGCCCCAAACTTGATTCGTCGGGTGAAAAAGATACCGAGCCAGATGATGAAAGACGGCTTCTTTCTGCGGGAACATCTTCATTAGTTCGGTTTGGAAAGTTGGATTGAACCATAGAGAAGGAACAAAGTAGACATTGGCTTTGACAATCAACCAAGGTACTTTGTTGACTAAAGATTGATCCTTTTGGCAGACGAACATTTTATCATTATCCCTGGAATCATGAAGAATATGAAGATACATATGCGGCGGGATTAAAGTGGAGTTGATGGCATGATTGTTCAACATTGTTCCGTAACAACGAGAGTATCCCTTGTTGTAGCCATCAATCTGTTTCATCAATGGGAATTCAAGAGGAAGTAACCATGAGGTACCTGGAAAAGGCTCGCAGAAGAGATCACTAATATCTTTGCTTTGATCAACAAGAACGACTCTCTCAGTCAAGAGAGCGTAGAGGAAGACAGAGGCCAGAGTAAGTATTCTGTTTCCAAGCCCGTAAACCGCAACCCACACTATGTATCTGCATTCACCAACAGATTTGGTTGCATAATTCTCATCATTATGACCAAGAATCTCTGTTGCTTTCTTGTAAGCATCTGTGCCTGGACCGCAACGCTTGTGAAGCTTCTCATAGTTTCTAAGCTTAGAGACGAGGTACTCAGAAGGCTTGTACGGTGAAGGCTTGCGGTACAACAAAGATTGATGATACCTACTGAGGCAAGAACCTTCATCGAAATCCGCGGTTAAAAGCCCTCCTATCAGTTTATCCCTCGGTGGTGTTTCTGATTCCTTTGAATCTGTAAACAAGAACTATAAAGTCATAAAAAGAGTACTCTCTACGTTAAACAAAACAAAAACAAATTCAAAAGATGGATAAGTTTTATTTTACCGTTGGTTGTAGCAGCAAGAAGCTGGCTGTTGAAGTTGGTTGAGGATGATAATAACATTACAGACCAAATAAGTAAGCCACTAACGATGACAGTCAGCAGAATCTTCATCTTTATCCCTAAAGACCTGAAAACTTCGCCGGAGATCTGAAATTTGTGATACATGTTTGACTTCATCAGTTTGATCACTAATATAGAGATGATTCAAAAAGAGTTATATAGCTAGCGTGAGTACAACTCTAGATTTTCTTAATTAAAGGTGAAGAAATAACATGTATAAGCTCCCTATACATTACTAAGTGTTTTGAATATTCTAATGAGTCATTGTTAAGTTGTGACAATCGACGAACTCCGTAACGTGACTCCACATTTGTTTAATGTTAAAAAAAAGTGTTGACCTTCGATTTATGTGAATCATCAAGCTGTGTAGTATTATAACATTATGGAAGGAATTGGCCAATCAGGGAGTTGTTTTGAATTATAGCAAAAAGCCCTCATAGTGTTGAGAACTTGGAATATAAACAATGTATCGCATCACACCACATGTCATTGTATTATTTCTTTGAAATTGACAAATTCTTAAGTTTATGGAAGTAAGATTAATCAGATCCGGAAGTTCGCGTTGTTGACTACGAAATAATACAAGAAAAAGTAAACAAATTCGATTTGATAAGATAAGCACAATCAATATCTAGTTTCCTAAAACGGCCTAATTTTTTTGTACTCCCTTTGATAATTCAACTTTTCTAAGTTTTGGTTTAAAAAGGGTTTAAAGATGTTTTGTGTAATATTTGGCTAACCAAGTCGGTTTTCTTATAGAAAACTTATTGTAACGACCATCTAATAAAAAAAGTTACTAGTATGACTGTTCTTTTCTTCTAATTGAAACGTATGGAATTAAATAAGATTGTAACGACTAAAAATTTGGGGAATTAAATCAGTCAATTGTTAAAACGTATGGAATTAATTAAGTGTGTTTAACAACTAAGCTCAAAATTAAGAAATGGAAGCCTTTCCCCGACCTTTCAATAAAATCAATGATTAAACAAACCAGCCTAAACCAAGGAAGAACCAAATCGACATCAGTGAAAGCCACATAGAGGGGTTCGTTACGATCTCTAATGAAATGATCATACTAAGACCATTGAACTATAAGATTCTAATGTTTATCAGATGAATTTTTCTCCATATTTTGGATATACATAAATTAAAAGTATATATCGAATGTGTACTTAAATATGAACATAAAACAAAGAGGAACAGAGTGAATTGAGAAAAAAAAAAAGAAAAAAAAATTGTACATAAATTTATAACGTACCTTGCATTGATTTGGTAGTGGTTGAGTTGATCTTTGACAATGTGTTTGTTCTTTAACATATGAATCGGATGACTTTTTGGTTTCCATAATGTTTGATCAAACTATAAACAAATTTTTTTTTTTTTTTGGAATTACAAAAAAAAAAAAAATAACTTAAGGAATATTCATGTGAAAAAAAAAAAGCAAAACTGATTTTTGAGTGAAATAAAAGAACACCAAAAAAAAAAACCCCCGAAACAGAGAAGAACAAGAAGGTGAAAAGAAAATACAAAAGAAGAAGAAGAAGAACAGAGGATTTTGGTTTTTCTCAACCAAGAAAAAAAAAAGATTAATATGAAACGTTCATATGTAACAAAGGTGATAAGATTTTTTTGGTCTTTATGGTTATTTCCATATTTATGTTACACAATAATGTTTAGGTCAATAGTCATAAGTAGATATTATTTTGTTTCCCAAAGAAAGGCTTAATACAGTAGTTTCAAACTTAACTTGGAATGTAATCTTTTTAACATTTAATTTTGTGATATGCAGTAACGTTTAATAGGTAACATTACATTGACTATGTAGGAAATGATAATATTCTTTATTATCAGCACATATATAAATAATTTCATTTTCTGACACATGTTACAACACAACTTTATAATTATTTATCATTCTTATTCTGTTGTTTTTTCAATGTGTATTTTAAAGAAGTAATTTTCAAAATAAATGGTTTGCTAAAACTACAAATGTAAAATATAAAGCGAATCAGACATGGTATTTCCCTAAAAAAAAAAATAGAGATAAAATCAAATATCAATAACGCATAGTATTTCAGATTAATTAAAATACACTCAGTTATAAAGTCCGGGAATGTTTCTTTCTTTATTACCAAGTTTCTCCGCAATAACTGTAATTGCTCTGTTTTTCTCCTCTTCTCCAAATAGGTTAGGTTAGCTGCAAAAGAAAATTTCAACAGAGCCGAGTTTCTCCTCATCACTCGCGATTGTGTCTCATTGATTCCATAACTTTCTTTGTCAGATAGCCTAAAATTATCTCTAAAAGAGGAGGAGTACGGAGCGATTTAGTTTTAGGAGAGTGATTGAGTTTTCAAGAAACATAGACTTGAGCTCACGAAATCCGACAGAGAAGTGAAGGTCATGTTCCGTTGAAATTTCAGTAGACGTGTTTCGGACCAGAACGTCATAATTAATTCAAAGTTTTAATTTTGAAGACAACTGTATACATTTACAGTTACATCAGATCGGAATTTATCAAAGATCCTCTGTTTCAATTTGAAAAAAGAAAAATTTATAACTCATCGTTCGTATCATCAACTAGCTTAAGCCCTGAGTGTCTAAGATCCTCACAATGTCTTACAAAAGGAATTATTTTAGCTGTATTAATACTCTTCTTGGCTTCGCATCCATGAGCTGGAGGGGTAAGGAAACAAGGCTCCATGGACACAGCACGGCCACATGGTGGATCAGGAGTTTTGAACTTCTTTGGTGTGTAGAGTATCCATGGCTTTAACCCTCCTAGACCTTGAGCAACATATCCAAAAGTAGAGCAAGCGCTTGTGACAAGCTTATCAGTTAGGCTTAGGAGGTACATCTCTGCTAAAGCCTTTTGGTCGTGAAGCTTCTTGTCTGTTTGCTGAAACCTTTCCCCACTTGGCTGATAAACTTTGACTATCTCTCCTGTTGAAGTTGGGCGTTCCCAATACATGTTCTTTAAGTTGTTAGAGTATTCTGGATTCAGAGATGTGACCAGGACTGCTTTAAGTTTTGGGGGTTTTGTTGTATTTGTTACTTGTGATTCTTCTTGTGCAGCTGCTTCAGGTAAAAGTTTCTCTCTTTGTGTACATGCTACAATCTGGTTCATTACATGCTGGAAATATTTAGTCTGTCTGCTGAAGACCCGCACTTGAATCCCAAGTAACTCGTCTGCTCTTGATAAGTAAGCATTGTAGGATCTAGTGACCATACCCCAAACTTGGTTTGTCGGGTGAAAAAGATAGCGAGCCAAATGGTAGAAGACGGTGTCTTTCTGTGGGAATAGCTTGATTAGTTCGGGTTGGAAACTAGGATTCAACCATAGAGATGGAATAAAGTAAAGATTGGATTTGACAACCACCCAAGGGACTTTGTCGACCAAAGATTGATCATTTTCGCAGAAGAACCTCTTGTCATAATCCCTGTAATCATGGAGAAGATGAAGATAAAGATGGGATGGGATTGTAGTCGAGTTAATGGTATGATTCCGCAACATTGTTCCGTGGCAGTGCGAGTATTCTCGGTCAAAACTATCTATCTGACCCATCAATGGGAAATCAAGAGGAAGTAACCATGAAGTACCCGGAAAAGGCTCACAGAAGAGATCACTTATGTCCTTGCGTTGGTCGACAAGAATGATTCTGTCAGTCAAGAGAGCATAGAGGAACACAGAAGCAAGAGTAAGTATTCTGTTTCCAAGCCCATAAACAGCAACCCACACAATATATTTGCATTCACCAACAGATTTTCTTGAATAATTCTCATCATCATCATGACCAAGATTCTCTGTTGCTTTCTTGTAAGCATCTGTGCCTGGACCGCAACGCTTGTGAAGCATCTCATAGTTTCTAAGCTTAGAGACAAGATAATGAGAAGTGTTGTAAGGCGAAGGTTTGCGATACAAGGAAGACTGATACCTGCTCAAACAAGAATCTTGGTCGAAATCAGCGGTTAATAGCCCTCCTAACAGTTTATCTCTCGGTTTTACAAAATCCTTTGAAGCTACTGCAAGAAAATGAAATATTAAGCCAAGAGGATAATCTCTGAAAATAAGAAACCCCAAAAGATGAATGATTATACCGTTGATTGTAGCACCAAGAAGCTGGTGTTTGAAGATGTTGGAGAATGAAAGTAACATCACCGACCAAAGTAGTAAGCAAGTGAAGATTGTTATCATGAGCTTCAACTTCATACTGAGAGCCGAGGTAAACTTCACCGGAGATTCGAAATAGTAGATGATCGATATTGACATTTCTACATACTATATATGTGTGAATTCTAGTTTCAATTATTGGTAGGAGTTTACAAGTTATTAAAGAGTTTTTTAACTCTTCAAGTGACCAAGTCAAAGAAACTTGTACATTTATAAATATCCTAAATATGTTGTGCTGTGAAAGTTGACGAAATCCGAAAGTGACTAAAACAATTTTATAGTGATTACCTAATATATTTATTTCCCTTTATTACAATAAACAAGTTGATGTTGGTGTCTATACCCGATTTAAAGAATGGCAAATAAGAGAGTTGTGTGTTAATTAACAACAAGCATTGATGTTGAGATCTCAACAAAACAACAATCAAATAGTCACGTAGCATTTTCTGAATTAATTTGGTTGATGTAAAGAATAATACAGTATGTAGCTTCAATGGTTCAACCAAAGTTTCGGTTCGGTTTGTTCCACAAATCCCGTTTTGAAAATGTTGATGTATCATATGGCTCATCTCATATGTTGACTCTTGCTATAAATCTCCCAACAAATAAACCTATTCACTCTTTCTATATAATATATAAAAAAGAAGTATCGAAAAGGGTTTAAAAAGATGGTGTGAAGTAGTAGACAAATTAATTAGCCTGATTTTGGTGAGAAATGAGAATGAAAGAAACTAAACAAATTTGGCTATTCCTATGGATTATCGAATGGCGAAGAAAGACACACGAAAGCAAACAAGAGTCTTACAAAACACACTATCTATATAAATAAAACCAACAATAAAATTGTTAATTCTTAAATGACTAGGTACATTTTTCATCTAAGTGTTAATTAATCCTTAACTAATAATTCATCATAAACCCATGTAAGCAATTATTTTTAGAATATTTTCAAAAATAATAGCTAAGTATCAATTTACAGAATTAATATTACGTATAATAAAGAAAGTGAAAGAAAAAAAAAAGAAAGTGAAAGAAAAAAAAAAGGGAAAAAGTGATGAGCACAAGAAAGAAAGGGTTTTTGAGGGGTTTTAACATAAGACTGTTTCGATTACACATCTCTCTCTCTGGCTAAGCTGTAAGACTCGGCGGCGGCGGCGGCACCGAGAGAGAAATTTTCCCTTGATAACACATCTCTCCATCTGAATCCCCAATTCCCATAAGATCCGATCTCTCAACCACAACTCAAGAAAAATAAAATGGGAATCATATCATCCACCGATCCAAAAACGGAGACTTCCGAGCCCATATCTCAAACCAACGAAGCTCCATCAGAGAAACTGAGAGATTCGTCTACATCGGAGGAACTGGGAGATGGTTCATCCCCGTCGGAGAAACTTGGAGATTCATCATCTGTTTGGAGAGATCCAGTAGATTCCGAATCGGATCAACAAGGAGAAGGAGAAGGAGGAGGAGACGCAGAGGGTGAAGAGGAAGGAGAGTGTGGGTTTTGCTTGTTTATGAAAGGTGGTGGCTGCAAGGACTCGTTCGTTGCTTGGGAAGAGTGTGTGGAGGAAGCTGAGAAGACCAATGAAGATATTGTTACCAAGTGTATGGAAGTCACATCGTTGCTGAAGAAGTGTATGGATGAGCATTCGGATTACTATCAGCCCATCCTCGCTGCTGAGAAAGCTGCTGAAGCTGAGGTCAAGAGGGAACTCGAAGATGAGAAGAAGAAGAAGATGGAAGAAGAAGAGAAGATCTCGGAAGAAGAGGTGGCTGCTAGGAAGCAAGCTCAAGGTTGATTAGGTAAAATTTTCATGGTTTCTTGTTTATGGGAATGAATTTCAAATTATTGGAAATTTGGGAATACAATTAGGAACAGAGGAATATTTCGTTTTTTTTAGATTCGTAACTTATATGATCGAAACCATTGATGGTTTAAGTTTCTTTCTCTAATGAATCTGCCACTTTTGTATGCGAATAAGTTGATTGATTGAAGTCATCTGAATGAATACTCCCTTCTTTTTATATGAATCGAGAGAGAATTTGCTCTTTAATGGTCATTACTTTGTTCATCCCTATGTATGTTTCAGTGAAGAGATGTTGTCTTCTTTGTGGTTTTGCTTACCTTATTCTTCATTTCAATGTGATTTGCTGGTTCTGAAACTGTTAAAGGTCAGACCTTTTTTCAGTAATGATTGCTTCTGGTTTCTAGCATTTTCTAGTTTGTCAGCAGATCAAGTTTACTTTTGTTGTGGTTTCACTATGTGCTTAAGTTACACTAGCAGTTCTTTTCCTCTTCGATGATGTTCTGTTAGGTTGAAGTCTCCTGGAAGATGAAAATCTTTACAAATCCCAGGTCTGCCCAGCATGTGTCGTTTGTAGGGAGATAATGAGACATAACACAACTTCATATATGTTATCAGCCTCCATACATGACCATATATGATTCTTTGCTTACCTTCTTAGTCATATGCTATTTATATGTTAATTATGCTTTCGACAATCATGTTTAAGGAGAGCATAGTTGTTAGCTTTAATCATTTTGTTGGGTTTAATCTGAAGTATTTTATGGCTTTGAAGCCAGCATGGTCTCTGCATAAGTTTCTAGTTACATGAATCTCAATTTTTGTCTTGTCAACTCTTATCTCTGTAAACGTAATATTTGGTTGCAAACTAGGTACAAAGAGCAAAGTTGAGTAGAAATAATTTTATAAACTCTTTACATGATTAACCACTATATAACGACCTGTTATGTTATATGCATTTGTGCAACCCCTACATTTCTCATTCTACAACAACATCAACATAAAAAAAAAGACGGTCTTTTAAGTTTTATGGGATTTGGTACTTTAAAGGAGTATCCACTACTAAATAGTCTTTATATCCATCTTACAAGAAAGTGAAACGTTAAGGAGCCACCTAGGAAGTGTACTAAGAAGAGAAGGAAGAAATAAGTCATGAAAATGCCAGAAGGAGTTAGACTTGCATCTAATCTATAAATGTATGCTTCAAAGAGATCATTTCAGTCATATCTAATTTGAGTACGGTGGAAACAAAGATGGAAATATATGTATTTCTAAGATGTATGAAGAAAATGTACAACTGTGTCTGTGCGGTAAGATTGGCTGTGTCAATCGTATTTTCAATATGGGAGTCTTTCATGTCCAATACTTTACGTGAATGAATTGTGTAATTATCAAACTATTTAATAAAAATTTGTAATTATCAAATATTTAATAAAAATATAATTATCAAATATTTAATAAAAGTTGTAGTTATCAAATATTTAATAAAAGTCAAATAATTGCGGTTATCAAATCCCTATATATATTGTAATTTTCTCATCTAGTGAACTAGAGATTCATTAGATGCATGGTAGGGTAATCATCATCTCTTAATTCTATCATTCAGAAAAATATTTCATTCTCTAATCTCTCTCTCTCTCACGCCATGGGGATAACGTCATCCAAGGATCTGAATCAAGAGAATTCCGATCCCAAAACTCAAAAAACCCAAGTGCAGACAGAGAAAGTAGGAGACTCGTCAAGTGTTTTGAAAGATCAATTACAAGTGTTCATGAGAGAAGGTGGATGCAAGGAAACATATGAGGCTTTTCAAGATTGCGTGGAGGAAGCTCAAAATAAGAATAAGGATCCTATCTCTATGTGTTATCCGACGTTGGAGAAGTGTATGGAGGCTCACTATGATTACTATCATCCCTTTTTCGCGGCTAAGAAAAGTGCTGCGAAAGTGTTGATGAAGGATTTTGTGCCTTCGTCTGTATGGCGAGATCCAGGGGAATATGTATCCCCAAAACAGTTAAAGGAAGAGGAAGAGAAAGAAGAGTTGTTTTTGGCGTTCATGAGAGGAGGGGGTTGCAAAGAACCCTATACAGCTTGGGAAAATTGCATTGATGAAGCCGACAAGAATCCGGAAGACATCGTCCTTAAGTGTGCTGGAGTTTTTTCTAGGATGACCAAGTGTATGGACGCTCACTCCGATTACTATCGTCCCATTCTCGAGGCCAAGAAAACTGCTGAAGAACACATGGAGAATGAGCTTCAAGTCTTTCTCTCGGAAGCAAGCTGAGTGTTTTTTTTTTTCTTTTGGAGCAAAAATTGGATATGGTTTCCATCTGAATTACTAATCTTATTTTTCCATATGATTCTAGAGATAATTTGCTCTTAATAATATTACTTTGTTGGCCTCTTCTTGTGGTTTCCCTAGCTATTTCTTTATTTGAATGTGATTATTTTGTTGTTTCAATTCGTGCTTAAGATACACTAGCGCTAGTTTTGTTTCACAATTGTGAAGAAGGTAAAAAAAAATATATGCTAGTCTTGGTTTTGTTGGGGCTAAAGTCTCCCTCCTCAGTGAAACCCCTCTAGGCCTCTACTTGACTTGAAAAGATGAAAATTGTTGCAAATCCCAAATGATACTACCCGGTTTAGTTATAATTTTGTTGTTTGGATTTAAAAAAAAAAAAACAGGCTATATATTTGACCGACTGACCAAATGATACTATCCGGTTGTTAATACTCTTCTTAATCTTGTATTTGCTTGATTCCTTCCTATTCGTAATTCTCTTCTCGATATTGTATTTATTTCCTATTCGTAATTTGCCATGCAACCGTAATCGTACGTTCATAAAATAATGAGAGGTAGAATTACAAAAGGAATATTTTGTAGCAGATTTCACATGTACGGTTCTTAATTAATAGTACCATCAGAAAATTATTTGAACCCTAATCCATCGTCTTCCTCTGTTACTTGGAGAGTTCCAATCCCAAATCTCAAAGCAACACATTCTGGATAATATTCTGGATGTTTTTTCTTCCTTTCTATTGTTATTGTCTGAAAAAGAATATAATTGGTGTGGCCCGTCTTGTTCAACACATTCTTTCAACTATTTTGGCTCAACGTGTGATTGATTTTGCAAACTAATATCAGATACAGTTCACAAATTAGGTACGAAGAGCAAAGTTGAATAGAAAGAATCATATAAACCGAAATGAACGAACAATCTGAAGAATATGTTTTTTACACGAATTACCCACTAAAGATCGAACCTTATGTGTTATATATGTGATATGCAACTGATGCATCCCTACAATTCTCATCTGACAGAACAAAAAAAGAAGAGAGACCGTGTCAGCAATTTGATGGTCTCTGCGTAGCTAAAGAGTATTGTATTCACGGGTCTTCTGAAACTACTAATCGTCTTTATCGTCATCTTCATCGTAGTTGAATGGTAATGGAACCGACTTGAAGGCTCGGTATTTCCCAACATTGTTCAAATGCTCGTTCTCTAATCTGTTTTCCACAACCCAAACAAAAAAACAGAGAGTTACTAATTGGAATATTAATGCAACACATTTTGTGGTGTCAGTGTAATGTGAGTTTTGAAGTTTTTTTCACCTGAAGAAGTTCCAAATACCACGACGAATGATCTCAAGACTAGCGACAATGGTAACCATCGTCTGTCTATGCATGAAGGAAAAGTGGAAATCCAGAACCGTCTGGATCCACGCAAATCTCAGAAGGACATTCACAACCTGGTACATGTTCTTAGATCAGTTGCTATAAAACATCTTTGACTTAATAAAAAGTGTTTTTGATACTCACCATGGCAATGAAATATACTTTCTTCTGAGGAATGAGGAGTTTATCTCGAAGCCAACGGTTTTTGGATGTCCGGTTTAAAAGACCCCAATCATGAACAAAGTCCCACCAAGTGCAGTATACTGCAGCTATAAATGAGAAGACAGCGGCTAAAACCCTCCAAGCAACTTGACCTTTTTGGATGCTGTAAGCTGTTCTCAAGCAAACTGCCACTATAGTCAAGAAATACTTGATTCCGTTGTACCCTTGTTCCGGGTTTTTTTCCTCAAATAGCCGTCGCAGGCACTGTATGAGTAACAAGGTTTTGTTATAGACTGCTAGATTTGGGATTCTTATTTTTGAGGGAAGTGACTATGTGTACCTGAAGGAGGCGAGCGGCATAAGGGATGACAGCAACAATGAACAAGAAAGTGCTGTAGACATCAGAATCTTTGCAAGTGTTTTCTCTCTTTCTGTAGTCTCCCGAGCCATAATAACATATATAGAACTGAATGCTTCGAAGCGCTTGAACCTGGCTAGTTAATTGATCTCCCAAGAAGAAATCAGGCAATGTAACCTGCAAGGGAAAAGGAAAAAATTGGACCGTCAATACCTAGTGGAATAGAAAATTAACAGCATTCTCTTTGGTCAATAAGCATATTCCATCTCTGATTTACCTTGTAAAGAGGAGCGGCAAGGCAATGAAACAGACAAGTGAGGAAGAAATACCGACTCGAGCGATAAAAGAAGTTGAATGGCAGGACTAAAACCATGAACATAGCCTGCAAAAGTAAACATCACTGAGTTATTATGTCACTGTTTTTTAGTAAAGAAGTTTGAAAAACTCGGATTTGAGGGTTTTGGGACTTACACCAAGTAGGACAAGAGGAAGAAGTTCAGTTTTGGCTTGATAGGCTTTCGTTTTGGGGTCTGCCTCCATGTCAAGATTGGCAAGAACACAGAGCAATGCAAAGACTCCAATGCTGAAACCCACAAGTAGGACTTGTCTGTATCCAAGTTCAGTTCCTTGCTTGAACCCAAATATGAAGGAATAGTTAACTCGGTATCGCCTCCAGTAGTATACATTACCAGCATACATGATGACATGCAGCACGATAAACCCGAATAAGCTGCAAGAAACAGCAACAAAGACAAGATTCTAAACATCACACTCCAACTCTTAAACCAAAAAAAAAGAAGAATACATTCCAACTCAAATGCTTGATATAAACTCTTAAGATGACCAGGTTACTAAGCTCTTACCTATAAAGAGGGAACATAGTATTCATGTATTCCTTTTGGCCTTCCTTTTCCAAGAGATGTCGGGTGCGGATGATGGCAACAAGAGCCACAATAAGAGAGAAAACGCATCCAGCCGTGAAACCTGAAACCAATATCCTCATAAGCGCCACATATTTGAAAAAAACAATACTACTATTTTATGCAAGTTACAGTGTTTGCTTACCAGTAGAAAATGTAGTTCTATGTCTCTCTCGTTTTGCTTTAGGTCGCAAAATGTTCATTGCTTTTGTTCGATTAGCGTTAGCAAAATGCTTAATGAATGTTGCTTCAACTCGCTCCATGAGTCTCATAACCTGTCCATAACAGAGCATCGATATAAGAATAAGAAACAGAGGAATTGAAGAAGTTACTTATCCAAATAAGAAAAATCACAAAAAAAAAAAACAGAGTATCTTACCTCATCAGAGTTTCCCAAGGTCGAACTATCAACCACTTTCATGTAAGTTCTCGTTGCATTTCTCGACGTTATCTGTAAAAAAAAAAAAAACATTTCGTCGAACACATTACAGTCATTCTGAAACATATAAAACCCTCCAAAATAAAAGTAAAAACTCAAAATCTTACCTTATCATACTTCTTCAATATCTTCGAAAACGCCAATACATTCAAAAAGCTGCATTAACATTAACGAATATTCATAATCAAAACCCATCAATCATCAAAAAAATAAAAATCCAAACTTTAGAGAAACCAAAACTTACGCATAGTTCTTGAGAAGGCGAAGCTTGTGATAAAACTCGATGAAAGCACGCTTGAGACTCTCTTCGACTTTCTTAAGATTCTCTCTGTTGAATTTTAACTCAGTCTGATTCGGTACGTTGAGAACTCCTTTAATGGTGGAACGAGGCGTCTCTTTGGTGTTGTTGATCGTGACTCGATCGAGGACATCGATAGGAGCTGGTCTCGCTGCTCTCAATCTGCTCGTCGTCACGTCATTGACTGCTCCGGAAGAAACCACCGAGGTTCCTTTTTCTTCTTCTTCTTCTTCGTCTTCATCAACTCCCATTAGCCCAGCTCTGCTCGACCCTCCTTCTTGTATAGCTTCCATGTGCTCTTGACTTCGAACTTTAACTACAATTTTGAAATTATCGGTTTGGTAAATTATGCTGGAATACCATTTACGTAGACCGGGAATTAAATTCAACCAATTCTAACCCGGTTTTGGTACAGCGCCGTGTAAAATAATTGATATACAAGTTGCATGAAAGCAAAACGTTATGTTCAAAAACATAATCTTTAAATTATCTTTTGAAAAACGAAATAATACGTGGTGGGAGTTGTTAATGTGTGTTATACATATCTTATCCATTACATTAAATAATTTTGTTAATGTAAATTAACCCAAGTGGAACTAATAATACTAACCACTAAAACTTGTTACATTGGACTAAACAATCATGAGAATTTCACTAAATCCAAACATATATGGAATACTCAATTTCAAATTGGAATTTTTTTTTTTAATTGAAAGTCACAGACCACAGTTCACTTGTTAGTGACGATATTTAACACTAACATATAAAATACCAAAAAAAAGTAACTCTAATCTGGATTTTGTATCCGCCTTAAGTATATTTTTTTGGTTGGCACTATCAAATGTAATCAATCTAGACATAAAAGAATATAAATTGGTGATATTTTCTATCGAAAAAGTCGGATATGAGTTAGGTGAGAAGAGTAGATATGTAATAAATTATACGATGGCTTACTTGATCTAGCTCGGGCGGGAGTGGAAGCAGAGAGAGCCGCCGCAGAAGTAGCGATATCGGAAGCCAATCGAGTAATCTCCACCGTCCGTTCCTCCCAGCGCCACCCATCAGGATTCTCAACTTTAACACGAAAGGCGATCAAAGCGTCCATCTGTTTGTTAAGCATGGCAGCTTCGTTCAACACTTCTTCAACTTTCTTTTTGTAAAACTTATCAACCTTGTTGAACTCATCGTCCAGTCTCCTGAAAAACACCAGCTCGTACTCTCCTCCTTCCTCCGCCGCCATCAGAAACGTCGTCTCGCACCCGTGGCTCGAGTTTGTGTTTACAAGGATCGGCACCGGGGTCGTCGCCGTTGCTGTTGCCGTCAACTGTACGCCTTCTTCGATATCATGAGGGTTATGCCCGCGTTTGTGTCTTCCCGGCGTCGAGACCAAACCGCTGAACGCACGGTACAGAGTCATTTTCCGGTTTAATC